CTCTGTCATGTTTCCTCCGATGCCGCTGCACTTTCATAAATAAATCGCGTTTTTAAAACATAACAAAGTAGACGGCGGAGTTTTGATTTCAGAAACGCCTTAAATTACTATGGAAAGCAATGCTATGAGGACGAGTCGACTTGTTCTTCCGGCTCCTCTACCTGTGTGTGTGTCGGCTGCTTCAGGTGAGAGCATCGGACGGGACTTGGAGCTGCGCGCCCTCGGTCCTGCCTTTTTACGCAAAGGGGGCGCGTCTTTCCGTACAAACCAAGCTGCATTGAACTGTACTCACTAAGGATTTGACTTCCCGAAATGTTGCCTGTGCACTGCAGGGAAAATCCCAACTTTCTCTCGACTTTCCCTTTCTCTGGTTTCGCTTCTGGATTTGGGTGTACAGATTCAGAAGGCAAACGAACCAAGTTTTTAAACTTTAGTGGGTAAACGACACGCATTTAAAATACCATATGAAAATAATTTAATTGTAGATGTCCTACTAAAATTGCCAGATTGAAGAGTTTAAATTCCACTATAGGAACAATACATATTTAAAGGTCACTCATTACTTGATTGATTTGGCTTTCAATGTTTTAATACAATTGGCAAATGTGTAGCTTTTCAGAGAGAAGAGAGATATAGCATGTATTCATGTCCATAATTATGGAGTAAGTAAGAATGCTATATTAAGGCATAAGGTATTATGAGGTTAAAAGCATCAGAAAGTCATAAAACTAAGAAAAGCAAATTTCAGATGTATTTCCTGAGATGTATTTCTTGCAGAAAAGTGCTTCCATATTGGCTCAGTTGATATAATATGGCCATATAACAGTGGATGGCTTATCTTAATATTGCATTCTGCTGATAAACTCAGAAAAAATATGAATCCAAAAATCAATCCAGTGTGAGTAGCTTTAGAGACGTTTTGGCCCCAGTGGGGATCTGTCACAGTATTTAATCACAGTTTTTTGCCACGTGTTCCAAGTTGCTTGTAAGACATTTATTTTTAATCCATTGATTTAAAGCTATCTATTTATTCTAGTTATAGAAAAAAATAATTGTACTTTCATACTTGAGATGCATCGCCCTGTCACAGTAGGAGAAGCATGTAGATAATAATGAGAATAGGGGCTGAAATCCATTTATTTTCAGGTTCCTGTCACACTGTCATAGCTCACTGGGACACTCGAATGGAGCAGTGTTATGCAGGGTGAATAAGTTATGAATCCAAACTTTTACACAAAGCGTGCATTCTGATCAAATGTAGAAATGGTGGTACATGCATTCACCGCACATTTTAACATTCAAACAAACTATACAAATGATATGTGAAACTGACCAGCAGGGGCATGATGGATATGACGTTTAGAGGATGAGAGATGCTGTTACACAGACTTTTAAATATTCTTTGTTTGCAGTGTTCAGTAAGTTACTTCAAATTTAAAGTAATCATTTCTGTAAAACGGTTTTAGTTTGCCTTTGGTTTTTCACCATTACCAAAAGTGAAGCTTCCAGGAGCATCATATGAACCCAGACCCATTTTTACTTTTGGGGAAATTAAGGGGAACATCATTTAGACCACATAGAACACATTTCTGACAAGTAACCCCCCCTAGTGTGAAACATCTGAAAAGTGACATAATTGTCACATTGGGCTTTAATGGTAAAGTAACTCTTCTTTATAACTTAATTAATGAGGATGATTTTTTGGTTTCAAATGTGTTTGAACATTCTTTGAATTGAAGAATAAAGAATATATTAACTAAATATAATTGAATCAGCTAAATTAAAGGAGAGGTGTCATGCTTTTCCGGTTATTACCCGTCCCCTTGTGTGTTATGAAGGTTTTTATGCATGTAAACGGTGTGCAGAGTCAAAACCCTCAAAGTACACCCTGTAGCGAGTAAAACTCTAACACAGAAAATACCTCCCCAAAACGCCTCGTTGGAGATACGTCACTGTCCATTTGATTCTTCCGGGTATGGCATGATGTCATGCGGTACCCGGAACAAAATGGACCAATCCGGAAGAGCTATGGCCACACCCAGCGGCACAGCATTTGAAACTGAAGGACGATGCTATTCCTAGTTTGTTTCGACCGTTTGGAGCAGCGGAAGATTCGGGTACACAACCTGTAAGTTTGCATTGTTATTTGTGTATTTATCAAACAAGACTGTTTAAATGTGTAAACGTGTGTCGGACTGCTAAGCCATTGACACAGTGCTAACTAAGTTGCTAGCGTTTCCATATATCAACTCTAATATCAGCAGATGGCCTTACATACATGTATCTCATAGCAGGAGAATGTCTGCATTCACACACGAAATACTCATAGACAGTATACTCCGGGTGATTTACCGTATGGTCAGTACATTACAGTTGGCTTTCCTCCGAGCTACGCTGATAGCATGTATAGCTAACGAGGCTAGCTATACATGCTAGCGGAAAACATTGTATTCATGCCAGTTACAATGAATGACCGAACGTAGCAGACTAACCGTATAAGATTGCAATTATAAACACGTTATTGCTAGCCTAATATGAACCACTAGCTTTTGTTCATAGTTTTATTACACTACATTAGTTGCCGTTCCTCCGAGCTACCGTTCATATCGTGTTTGCTACCAAGGTAAACAAGAAAGCTAGGTTAGCATATTAGCTGGCAAGCTTACTGTGTTGATTAGATAGATGGATTAGTTAGATCCACACTCCTACCACAACTACTACTAACGAATCTAAAACAACTAAGTTTCTCTAATATTTTGTGATTTGCATTTGATTTCGTCCAGCCAGATCCTGGCGGACAATACATGACGGGACTACCACACTGATGCATCGTCCTAAAAAGCCCCGGCTGCGATAGGCAAGATGCCTACAACGGGGAGGAATGGATGATATACCGTGTATATATGTATATTTATGTTCATTTTGTACATTTCTAAAAATAAAGTTTGATGGAAATACTTAGTAGGCCTATCCTTTCTTCCCTGAATTATTTGCTCCTATAACATATCATTCATATATAGCAGGGGTTTTCAAAGTCTGGGAAGGTGAGCCTCCCCTCAGAGAACATGAGAACAGCCGCGTCCCCCCTCCCAATTATTATTGCTATCATTATTATTATTATTATTGTTGTTGTTGCTATAATGCAGGGGTATTCAATTGCATTTCAAAGAGGTCCAATAAGAGCAAATGTCATTAAATGCTCTGTTTTCGCTGTCTACCTTTCTCTTTTTTGAGCACGCCATTTGAAGTTACTCCAACTGTTTCTCTCTTCTTGTCTCGTCTCTGTGTGTTTGAATCTATCGTGCTGACTCACTGACTGCACCGATTTGAATGGCTGAGTAGCATCACCTCCTAAAAACATTAAAAAATAACTTTTTAAAACCTTTTTATCTTTATGTTTTAAATATGTGTTTTAAACATTTTTTACATTTTCAACATCGTGGATGAATCCTTATATGCTCCCGGCAACACACTGAACATCAACTTTGCCTCCTTATTACACTCACCCCTACTTTAGTGCTGGGAACAATGAGTCTGCGTCTTTGATGCGCACATGCGGGTGATGCGGGGATCAGAGTCCTGCGGGGATCAGAGTCCTGCGGGGATCAGAGTCCTGCATTGGGTCGGTACCCGACGGGTGACCCGCAAAAAAAGTGATTCGCGGGTGGTAAGTTTCCTCAGACCTCTCCCCGCGGGACCGCGCATAATCATAACCTCTGCACCGCATCAATCTGCTGCTGAGCGCGCCACATTCGAAATGGCTGAGGTGAAGCTCTAGCGGAGAATACAGCATTGTAAATAACTCTTCCTCAAGAGCGAAATCCAACGTCTGGGAGGCTTTTGGTGTCATGGAGAAAATAACCAACATCCCACGCTTTTTGAGCCAAATACGCAACTGCGTGTGTTAATAATTGCATGTTTTCAGTGCTCCTAGGATATGCGGGTTCGGGTCGGTTTGCGGATCTTGTGCCGACGGGTCGGGTCGGTTTGCGGAACTAATTGGCAATATGTGCGGGTGGCGGGGCGGGTTCGGTATTGCACGTTGCAGGTGCGGGGCGTGAGCGGGTCTTGAAAATCAGACCCGTGCAGGACTCTGGCGGGGATGCAATGTAGACAGGAATAAACGCAGATCAGCCTCTGGCTGCAGCCTTGACCGGTACTTGCTTTTGATCAAAGTCAATGCGGAAAACCCGCACTCACACCGGTAGGTGGAGGTGAAGGGTATGAGCACTTTTACAACCTTTTTGGCGAGGTGGGGGAACTCGGTCTCCACAGACAGCCAAAAGTGTGCAAGTGACACTTTACTCATCTTGTTCTCGTTACTTTTTTTTCTCATGCTGCGCCTCCCCTGAAGCTCTCTGGCGCCCCCCCAGGGAGGCGCGCCTCACACTTTGAAAACCGCTGATATATAGCAAACCATGATTTGATTTCTCATCAAACAGTAGTAGTTTATTACAGGTAAAAATAACTTACTCTTCTATAACAACAGTTGTAGGTACAGTTCGGTTAGTTAGCGTATAAAATATACGGCTGTACCGACGCCATTATAAGACTGATGTTCCGCTCAGATCGAGCCGAAAAAAAGCACTGTTAGACATGGGCGGAGCCTCTCTGGTGGTTGACTAATCAGAACAGAGTGGCCGAGCTGACCAATCGGAGCACACTAGGCTCACAGGGAGAGGGGGGGGCAAGAGCTCCAACGAGCCGTTTAGTGGAGAGAGTGAATACTGCTGAATACACAATTGCACAGTATAAATCTATTTTAGTATACCTCAACAATGTAATTATGATCAGTGGAAATGGCCATGACGCCTGTCCTTTAACTGAGCAGATCATAATCATATTTCTAATTGTGCATATATGTCACTCCGGGTTTACTGCGAAAGTTTAGGGTTAAAGTCCCGATGTGACACCAGTGTCACAGCGATATTTATCTAATTTGCTTCATATCAATTTGATCAAGAAATGTTTCCACAACAGGTTAAATGTAATAAAGGACATGTTATGTAAGTATTTTAATTCTTAAATGGCTTGAATTTTACCTTTAGCAAGAAAAATAAAAAGCTTTCGAAATGTAGCTAGTTCTGTCACATGTGTTAGTCTGAAACATGGACATCTTGGACATGTTGTTATGGGAACACAAAATCACATGACCTGGCCCATGACCCACCAGACTGTTCAGTGCGTGTCACTTAGGGAATTCATCAGATAGAAACAAGGCTAAAGCTGTATGAGGAACTTTCCATAACATTTAAATGTCATGTGACACCTGTGTCACAGTGGGTCCTATTGGGTTTCGCTGCATACTAGCACGAAAAGTTAAAACAGGCCTTCTCAAACATCCGTGTAAACAGTATTTACAGAAGATGTTGTTGCGTGCAAGCAGCATTCTTCTTATTTACATTTCTCAGTATTCAAAGTATGTCTCAAACAAACTGTCCAGTATAGGAATCAGCAGTCTCTGGTAGCACAATGTCCACAACACATTATACAACCTTCACAGTGGATCAAACTAAAAGTATCACAAGTCATTTACAAATAAAACTTTGATTCTTTTCATGTTTTGTCATGTCTTACTCATACAGCGCGACTGTAATTAAAATAGTATTTTGACGTCAAGTCATGACTATACAATTTCTACAGACAATTAGCTTAGCATCAAGACAGGGAGGAAGCAGGGAAAACAGCCAGCCTCTGTCCAAAGGTAAATAAAAAAATACCTATTGTACCACAAATGATTGTTTTTACAAACGTCTTTGTTTCACAGTTCATACTACATTTTTTACCTGTGGAACCTATTATTTGGCAAGAAAGCAGGAGTATGTTTGCAATAAATGTACACCATTACTTTACATTGGGGAGGGTGCAAAAATCACAATACTTAGCTCCCTTATTTGAATTTAAAAACTAATCCAAAATCCAGTCTTCTCAGTTATTTCTACATTCATAATACTGAGCATTTAAAAATGTTGATTCACTCTCGATGCAAAGAAATGTTTTATAAGAAGTCAATGGGGTTGTACATATTATCAATTGACACTGTGATCAAACAATTAAAGTTGTATTTCCCTTTAATTAAATCAAACAGCAGGGGAGATGGGTCACACTGCAGGGAGGTAGGAGAAATCGACAAAAATAGAGTGGGAAGAAGGTGATCCCGACACACTCAAAATGTCATCGAGATGAGGGCAGGCCTGGAGCGAGGGGACAGACTTATACAGACTTTGAGAAGAAGGGTGTCTGGGTGCTGTGCCCTGGGCTGAGAAGGATTGAGAGGAGACAGGGCTCTGATGTTTGTGAAGAGGGACGTTTTTCAGCTCATCTGTTTGGTATGGAGGGGACTCAGATCTCCTGGAGCTCACAGACGGTTCACTGTCTCCACCTAGCTGCCGCTTAACGTCAGTAACGCTGACAGAGCTGTGCTGCCAGGTGTTGGATTGGAGATATGTGAGGGGTGAAGGGACACTTTGGAGCATCTCAGGGAAGACGACTTTGGCGTAGATGGAGGATATATCAGTGTCAGAGGTCGTCCTGGCTCTAGTTGGGCTTTTGATACAGTCATTCTCAGATTTTCTGGTGTTTCCAGGTGTCGGAGCTCCTGAAACTGGCAGCGAAGAGTTGCGGTGACAGAAATACGTTTGGAGACTTTTTTGATAGTCGAAGTCCTGATCTGTGTCCGGGCTCTGTAGCTCACATTCATCCAGCAAAATAACTTCAGAGTATAAGATTTCAGCCTTTTCCGCCATCGTAGGCCGCTTAATACTCTGAGGTGAAGAGACAAAAGGATTTTTTGGGGGTTAACAGTTTTTAACTTTCTGCTCGTTAAACCTGCAATAAGCAGGGAGCAGCACAATCAAGTGACACAACATTACAGTTTTTTTTATTTATTATCGTACCTTTTAAGTTGATATTGCAAACATGTTTGCATATTTACACATCCAGTACTTACAGAGAAAAGATTGTTATTAATTTCGAAATTTGCTTCTGGCCATCTAGTGACTTCAATGCACTCTGTTTTACCTCGTGTTTTGGTCTCTACCAAATTCTGAGTGAAATATGTGGCTCGTCAGCTGCTAAATTATCCACTTTGTTGGACAACTAGTCTCCAACTATGTCAGTGTGGTGGGTAAGCAGTTCTTAATGTGTGGGCCTACAGTATGCAGCAGTGGACAAAGTATTAATATTATACTTATGTAAATGAGTTATTCCACAGTGTAGAAATACTCTGCTACAAGTAAAAATCCTGATGTCAAACTATAACTAACTTGAAATTGCATTACAGAAATCTCTCTCCATTTCAAATCACGTCTCAAAACATATCTTTTCCCACTGGCATATCCACCCCTGATCACATGACACTCTGTTCTTATTGATTATATTGTCCTGTTTTTCTGCTGGTGTTTCGTTTTGTGTTTTTGTATTTCGTTCGGCGACCTTGAGAGCCTTGAAAGGCGCTAAATAAACTGCATTATTATTATTATTATTATTATTATTATTATTATTATTATTATTATTATTATTATTATTATTATTATTATTATTATTATTATTATTATTATTATTGTTAAGTATAGTACAAGTTCCTCGAAAATGTTTCTGGGTAAATGTCTAGAGTAAAAGTCCACCATTGATAGTGTGTTAGGATTTAGCAGACAGTTGATAGGAGAGGGTTTATAGTTTACCTCAAAATTAATTTTGGGGCTCCAGCGGGCCAAGCTGCTTTTGGAAGGGTTGGGGATGTCTCGACACAGCTTCTGTTTCACCCTGCAAGGTTATTTGTTAGGATAAACGTTACAGAATCAACCAAATAATTACCGGAAATGATGAACAAATATTCAAAGTAGGCCAACCAGTAAAAGTGTGACACTGAACTTGGAGTAGGAATGTGCAGAGATGGCAAAAGTACGCACATCCTTTAATCAAGTAGAAGTACAGATACTCGTGTTTAAAAATACTCTGGTAAAAGTAGAAGTACTGACTAAACTTCTTTACTCAAGTAAAAGTAAAGAAGTATGGGCTTTGAAATGTAATTAAGTAAAAAGTACCCATAACTACCAACTGTTTTAAAAAGTAACTGACCTGCCTTTATATTAATAGAATAATCATGTCATCGTTAGCTAATGAATGTTTCCATGCTGAACAACGGCAAAATGACAACGTTTTCATTGGTCAGGTAATGATGGATACACGGATCGTGTTAAGATCAAACGCAATGACTCTAAATAATAATGATCACGCAACCAAACACAGATTAAAACTAAAGTAACCAGCCTGTTTTGAAAATGTAAGAAGTCAAAGTAAAAAGTCGTCAGAAAAATAAGTAGTGGAGTAAAGTACTGATACCAGGAAAATGTACTTAAGTACAGCAACGAAGTATTTGTACTCCATTACTTCCCACCTCTGGGTATGTGTTTGTGTCGAGATCTTACTTCTTGCTCTGGGCCAGGCAGGCCATCAACACCAGCGCCAGTGAAGTCAGGATGAGAGGCAGGACGACATACAGCACTATGGAGACTTCCTCTGAGCCTTCACACACAAACACACACAGTTAACGATATACAGTAGCAATGTGTGTTCTCTTATTTTGAGGATACGGTGATGTTGTGTGTGTGTGTGTGTGTGTTTGTGTGTGTGTGTGTGTGTGTGTGTGTGTGTGTGGTAATCACCAATGTGTACTCTAGCTTTGGGTCCAGCTGCTCCGGCTCCAGCGTCGGTGTTGGCCTGCATGAAGATGTCGTAGTTCCCCGGTGACAGATCCTCCAGAGTGTACCCGAGAGCCTGACCAGGCACAGTCACTCCTGATTTAAAAAGAAAAGAAAGAGCATGTGACAACATATAATGAAATTTGATATCTATAAACAAAGTTCAATTACCCTCACAAGGACACAAAAATAAGAATAATATCTATAATCTTAAAACATTTGACAGGTTACATGTAGTCTATATCATTGTGTTTAGAAACATGTGTCATATCATCTGTAACTTTTCTGTTTCTATTCTTAAAGCTGGAAATTGGATATTAGATTGAGATTAGTATTGAGAATAATGGGAGATGTATTATAGGATTAAAATGATGCACTGAATGCATCACAAACATAACAATACACATGTGTTAACAGTCAACTTAATGGTGATCTATCTTTCAAGTCAACTGCAAATGGAAAGGACACAAACTACATACTTAATCCTAAAGAACTACAATTGAAGTGTAAAGAAATAAGATCACTGACAAAAAAGAGTGTGAGCCATTGAGTGTGTAATCATCCTACTCACAAACCCTTTCAACAGGCCTGTTAGAGTAAAGTGTTTCCTTTTACACTCAACTGTATTCATACATGTGTAAAGTGCAGGCCTGCGTTAACTTTAAATGTGTGTGTGTCACTCACTCTCAGTTGAGTGGTCTGGTGTGATGTAGAAGATTGTGAAGTTGCGGATGAAACCGTGGAGCAGCTCCACAGGAACAGGGATCCACGTGAGATCCACTTTGCTGCCGGAGATCTTCTGTACCGACACTTTAGGACCAGCTGAGGGCGCTACAGAGAGGGACAAGAGACACAGGACATGTCAAAGTCAGTCAAAGGCAAAGTCAACTTTATTGTCAATCTTTCAGTTTGTGTGTACAGACAGAGAGATCGAAATATCGTTTCCCACAATCCCGAATACAATAACAAAGATATATTAAAAAATATGTATATACCTATATATATACACAATCAACCGATACATTTATTATGCACACATTTAGACATTAATAAAATAACAACAATCAACAATCTCAATGTAGTGAGAATAAGACTGGATCCCTGTCTGTAAAGTAACTAAGTACATTCTCTTAAGTACAATTTTCAGGTACTTGTACTTGAGTATTTCAATGTTGTGCTACTTTGTATTTCTACTCCACTACAATTCAGAGGTAAATCATGTACTTTGCAGATTTGGATTACAAATGTGAAATATAATCAACAAAAAAATTAAGAGTTCCACCTGGAGTAAGTTCACAAGCTACCCTGCAGTATACAAAGTAATTAAAACTAGCTGCACCTTTACCAGCTTTGATAAACACATCAATAATTATAATCAAAACATACAATATGTATTCATCTGAAATGGGACATTCTGCATAATGACTACTTTTACTTTTGCTACTTTAATTATATTTTGATGATAATACTTTTGTTCTTTTAACTGAGTAAGACTTTGAATGCAGGACTTGTACTTGTAACAGAGTATTCCTACACTCTGGTACTTCTACTTTTACTCAAGTACAAGATCTGAGTACTTCTTCCACCTCTGGCAACAACTGATGTGGTTACAGGCTTGGGGAGTAACAGATTACATGTAGAGGGATAATTAGGTTACACAAAAAGGTAACTGTCCCTTACAGTTTCACTGGTTTATTTTTGGGATTGTTTATAGACTACTACCTAATTATGCTTAATGAAAGGCAGGTTTTTAAATTGAGATTCTTCTCTTCTTACATTTACACTTGATATTTATTTCCCTTTGGCAATCACTTGCATTGCATTTGATATTCAGCTAATCCAAAAGTAACAGAAGTAATCAGGTTACATTACTTTTATATTGTGATCCTCAGATCAGGGTACTGATTACATTTTTACACCGTTAACTAATAATTGTAAAGGATTACATTTTGTAAGTTACCCTCCCAACTCTGTATGGTATTGCATCAACCGGCTGTGAGGATATTGTCTGATCTGACAATATCGGCTTACAATTAAACAACAGTTTTATTGTTTTCTAACAAACAAGATGTTATGCTCAGGATCTTTGTGATGTTTTCTTTGTGATCACAATTGCAGCAGAGGCGGAAACCAATACAATTAAAGTTAAACCCCAGCTGGAATTCATTTGAAACCATTTGTTCCTTGTTTTTGTTTTCTTCCTCTGAAGTTAAATTGTCATGTTTGACATCTCGCAGATGTTCTTATTGAATCAAACAATTCATGACTGGGACCATTAGATAAAGAATCAACAGATGTCGAGCTCTAATTGAATCACCTCATAACCACCTCATTGCACAACATTAAGGCAAGGCAAGTTTAATATTATAGCACCTTTCAACACAAGGCAATTCAAAGTGCTTTACAAAAATGAAAGACGTTAAGAAATCGTGCAGCTGAAACCCATTATAAAAACAGTCATTCAAAAGCAAAGATAAACATAACACGTGAAAAACACAGGTATAAAATACATGAATAAAAGTTACAGTGCAGTGTAAGATATGATTAGTTCAATTAAAAGCAGCGGCAAAAAGAAAAGTCTTCAGCCTGGATTTAAAAATAGTAAAAGTTGCAGCGGACCTGCATGTTTCTGGTAGTTTGTTCCAGATATTTGGAGCATAATAACTGAACGCTGCTTCTCCGTGTTCCGTTCTCCGTCCCAGAAGACCTGACAGTTCTGGATGGTTCATAATTTAGCAGGAGATCCGAAATGTATTTTGGCCCTAAACCATTCGATGCTTTTTTAAACCAGCAGCAGTATTAGGTGATCAGCTAATATATTGGAACACTAAGCCCTAATCAATCTCTCATTTAGAGGCAACTTTTTATCATCAAGTATTGATGTTAAATTATTAAGAAGAACAATAGTATGCCTTGATTTAAAATAGGTTTATTTACAAACCTATATTATTTTAAGGTCACAATACTTCAATGCTGCTGTATTTATGACACTTAGTTTACTTAAATTGCTGCTACTCATTTTTTAGCCATGGTTGTGCACTACTTATTTGTCTTTGTTTTTATTGAATTACTAATGTCTGCTTACTTTTTTTTTTATAACTTTGTATTTATTCCACAAATATATAACATAAATGGAGATGTACATACAAAGCACACCTGCCTCAGTTTACAGTTCACTCGAATCTACACGTTATTGCTCACATACACATACATACATTATCCCTTTCCTTCTAAGTCTTGGCAAATGATACATGAATACAGACATTCATTTAAATTCTCTGACCTTTCCCTTGGTAGTCGGTACAGGTATGCTTACAGTGCTTACTCTTTTATTATTTCATGTCTCTTCCTAGGTACCTTCACCTTCAAAGGAAATGGTGCGGTCCTGGTCTGAATCTATTTGTACAGCTTGGAATGAGATAAAAAATAATTTCCTGTAGATCACGTACCTCCTTGGCGAGTATAAACGTGAGCGGTCCTGTTCTGTCTCGCCCCTCGTTCCCCATACAGCGCTCTGACAGAGACAGCGTAACACTCCATGGGCTTCACTCCCTCTAAAGCAACACAGAGAGGAAATAACTAATCAGTTGGCAATCATAGATTCTAAGATGTATCCCTCCAAAAAGTCTAAATAAAGGCGTGTCATGTTTTACTCGTTTAACTGTTGGAGGTATTGTTGGATTACCTGTGATGACCCGCTGTGTAAAGGAGCGATTCAGCAGTTCCCAGTGTAGGACGCTGCTGTTTTTCTCTCTGACTGCAAACCACTCCAACACAAAGCCATTCATGGACGGATCCACTGGAGCCGTCCAACGAACATCCAATCCACTGTCATTTAGGGGACTTACAGTGAATTGGCTCGGGGCTGCTGGATCTGAAGAGAAATAAGAAAGAAAATGAAAAAGGCATTATAAACTGTAAAAAATGAACGTTAAGAGGTTTAATATTCTGATTTCAGTATTTTTTCTATTAATCCCAATGGAAGAAAGTATGCATCTTTCCAGTAGAGTTCTAGAGACTTGGAAATCTATGCAAAGTAGCACTGAAACTATTCTGGTGACAAAGTGGAAAAAATACTTTTTATGGGATTTTGTAATGGATTTTCCTCCTTTTGACTCCCATCTTGAAGCAAGCATACCTATTTAAATGTATCAAAGTAACAAAGTATTCTTGTGGCCACTATAATCAGCATGTCAATGTATTCTTGGACTAAATACATAACCCAATGTAAATAGGTGAATCCTGACTTAAAGGTCCCCTATTATACTGTTTTTCATCAATATATTATAGGTCTCAGATATATACAAACATGCCTCTGAAGTGTTTGGCTCCAAACACCAAACAGATCATTGCAGCATCCCATAAACCCCTCCGTTTCAGCCCTGTTTCAAAAGTGCTGATTCTCTGTCTGTTACTTTAGATGAAAATAAGGAGCCACTCCCCACGCCCCTCTGAGAGATATTTGGTTAAAAAGAACACAATGGTGCTCAGGTGATAAGGTGTGGGGGGGGGGGGGTTACCTTGGTTGGTGATTGGCTAATGGTTTCACAAGCCAGAAAATCGTTCTGACATCATAAAGTGGCCAAAATCTGATCAGCTCATTTTCAGACAGGTTTTTATATAAATGGATCAGGACAAAAAGAGAAAGAATGTTTTTTCCTGAAAGTTTCCGAATCTCTTTACACAGAGGGGACACATGTTTATGTATAAAAGACATGAAAAAGTGGATTTTGCATAATAGGTGACCTTTAATAAAAGCACTTTGAGGGGTTGTAAAGAATGAAATAGCGCTATATAAAAAAGGCAGTCCATTTACTAATACATTTGACCAAAGTGTCAACAAGAGTGTTAAGAGTCTCAGGTGATGAAGTATCCATGTCTACACCTTGATTTCTGACCCATGGTTGATATAGTGCGACCCCACCTGTATCAGAGGCTCCACTGAACCATATCCGGGCTTCAGACGAGGCCCCTGCCGAGGTGGAGGCCGTCAGGGCGCAGGAGCACCGTCCAGCAGGAAGGAGCAAGCTACAGGAAGTACTCGTAAGGTGCAAATCTCTGCAGCTCCTGTGATCATTCAGGACGTGAGAGCCCTCTGTCTGACACGTCACGTTGTAGAAAAGGACTCTGCCATTTGCTAGAGAGTGAGGCAAAGGCTGTAAACCATGAGAGAAAACAACAAGCAAGAAGAACATGTGAGCAGCTGTGAGATGATGGAGGTTTAATCAGAATATCCTTATATATAAACAGAGATTGTATGAAATTAAATTCCCTCTTTCTCCAGCTATTTCAGTTTGGTTGAATCAGACTATAACGCAATAAAAAGGTAGTTTCAGATAGAAAACAAATTAGGGGCTGGCATTGAGGAGATGTAGTGATGGTGATTAAAAACTAATCAGATCCGAAAGTTATTAAAACGAAAAACGCTAAAGCTCAAAGCAATGAAAGGAGTCAGTCATGATGCAAATGTACACACACACACACACACACACACACACACACACACACCACACACAACACACACACACACACACACACACACACACACACACACACACACACACACACACACACACACACACACACACCACACACACACACCACACACACACACACACACACACACACACACACACACACACACACACACACACACACACACACACACACACACACACACACACACACACACACACACACACACCACACACACACACACCCACACACACACACACACACACACACACACACACACACACACACACACACACACACACACACACACACACACACACACACACACACACACACACACACACCTTCCAGAGCAGTGTGATGAGCCTCCAACCCTCCTTGTCTGTCTGTCTCACTTGCCTCCAGAAGGCTGGTGCTGCAGATGGAGCTGGTAAATGGAAGAAGGGGACTATAAGTTAAGGTACAGTAGAACGTGTCAAGAGATAACAGCAAGTTCAGACAAGTTCAGATATTATATTGTTCTGGACCCCACCCTGCAGTTCCACAGAAAATTGATGACTATGCACATTGCTGATGTGAGGACTTCCTCTAGTGCCAACATTCACTGAATGGCTTGGCACAGGCTTTTCTAGACAGTCATGGGGTGTTTCTCAATGACGAGTATGCTTGCTTGGTAGCACATGTCTGCCGAGCGTCTTGCTTCAGAAGCGAGGCAAGAATATTTCCTGGCATTCGGAAAACGAAGAGTGGAACAGGCGAGCAAGTGTGCAGGTGTGCGTCATATGAGAGGCCCCGCCTTACATTTTCTGCCACAGATTTGGGGGATTTTAAGACTGCGGAGTCTACACATGTGCAGCCTCGAAATTTCTCGCTACGAAGTACGCCGGGCTCGGTAGAATTCCAAGTATCCTGGACATTGGAACAGTCCTTCGGCGGCACTCGATGACGTAGTATGCTTGAAATAGTGGCTCTGGAGCAGCTTTACTCGACATTGAGAAACACCCATGGTGTCCAGAGGAGAAGTCCTAAACGTAGCATCAACAGGATGTGACATTTGTGGCTTCATGGGGAATGTCTCTTTGGGACGGATTAAAGAGGACTTAGTATTCACACATCACGTAGACAAAAAGCTATTAAAAAGACAGCATCAATGAGGAAAGAGGGAATGCCACAAAAGTTTCAACTACATTTGGATAGTAGTTAAAACATTTGTGGCATCCAACCTTACTTGGATTTTAGTAAGGTTAAAAATACTTTAAAATGTAGCCAATACAATTTTGGATTAATAAGTAAGTGTGCTGGATTAATTGCCTTAAAAACATGGCACACATCCATGAATTTACTTTCCTGCCATTATATCTGGGCAGATTTTCCATTTGTCAAATACTTGGTTTTATGGCCAAATACCTGAGAAACATGACATTACCATCAGCCAATGAGTACATAATTAGCATGCTGACCTTTAACCGCAGAGCTGCAAGCATAGCTGTAGTTTCAACCCTAACTATTTCATCGTAATATCCTCTACTGGCTTTCTTATAGAGTAGGAGCTACAGCGATAAAGAGTTTCAACACACGGTACACCATTTTGTAAAGTCAGTTTCCGCTCACCGTCCTCTCCTGTCCTCCCCTGGCAGGTGTTGCTCCACGGGCTCCAGGGACTCTCTGGGCCCCTGAAGCGATGACGGAGCCGGATGTTGTACAAAGTGTCCGGCCTGAAGATACAAACTTCATAACAGACGCTGTCACCTGTCACCGTCACATTTTGGACCTGAGGATGGATCTGTATAGCCTCCTGAGACCCAGAAAGAAAAAGGTTTCAAATTTCCTTTTATTTTTGATCACACAAGTCTTTAGGGAGGTATAAACATTATGACTAACAAAAACTAAAAATATATATTTTTATTTTTGTTTTATTGTGTGTCCTTTGTAGAGGACATTGGGTGTTAGTTATGTGAAGCATAGTATACAAACAACATTAACATACAAGTACATTTAGACAACTTTAGAGCACAACAACTCAATGCAACACATATTGAGCCCTCATTTGTAGTACTCCATCCTTTTTTGAAATGCAGAGATACATCTGACACTTGAGGCACTTGATGTATGCTTTCCCACTGCATCCGTCTGCCATGAACCCTACAGAAACCTAAGTGTTCGTTTTGGCCCATAGTGGACTCCATTTGTGTTGTGTAAAATGGGGGAAATAAAAAGTTAGCAAATCCCCATGTCCTCCTCAGAGGACATTCATAAAAACATGTAGTTTTAGATCAAATAAGTATTACACTGCTCTGAAAACTCACTACACTAACTCCTAAGATGTTCCCTTACTATAATTAATTAAAAATATTGAACTCACAAAACACTGGTAATTACAAAATTACAAACTTACCATTTCTCTTTCTATAAACAGTGCTTGTGTTGATGGACGCCATTTTGAAATACAATGAAATTATCTTTTTCAAAGCCACACCCCCACATATGTCATATGTTTGGAAAGCCCAGGATGTCCTGTGTGGAGTACAATTGGACTTAATGCTGTGGCATGTATAACCTCAAAGTAATGGACCAAAAACCACATCTTGAAGCAAAGATGCTCCACAGAGGACAAAAATGAATGGGTGGGTCTCTGGAGGATATGATAAATAATACGGAAAAGTAAGGTGCGCGTTAGAGGAAGCTTCACATTTAGTCTTTCCTTAAATTAGTCTTTATTTTAAAACAGTACTACTTAACTTTATTAATAAAACAGCTTAACAGTGTTTTAACTAACCAGGCAAGGAAGCCTAACAGGTTTTTACATTTTGTCCCAGTTTCTTAGATTTGTTGGGACATCCTTTGGATCTATCCCAAAACATTTAAAGGGGCCCTATTGTTCTTTGTTGGGGGTTTCCCTTTCCTGTAGTGTGTTTGTGGCAGCGGGGTGTGGTTAGGGCGCCGGCTGCTGGAGTGAAGGGAGTGGCTCGGCCGGAGGCCAGACAGCTGATCAGAATCAGGTAATCAGTCACTGAATAAAAGCATGTGGTAACCTGGTTCTGGTCTGTCTTGCAGTAAGCTGGATCCTAGAAGGACGCCAAAGGACCTGTGAAGGATCCCGCACGGGCAACGTGTTTTGTGTATGTTTAACAATAAACCCCTGTGTTACACCCAAACCCTGCTCTTTCCGTCCCTCATTGAACCCCGTGTGAGCGGAGAGGCCCACCGTGTTATATAGGGTTTTGCAAAGGCTGAGTTTCTCTCCCACACTCTGCCATGGTATCTAGATATTGTAAATTTGGTCTCGACTTTGAGCAACATGTTTCCATTTCTGAAAAAAATCTACACCCTGCCCCTTAACTTTATTGCTGAATGTGTTCCTTTATGCAAGTGTCATTTTGTTTTGTGTGTATTTGGGAGTGTCAGACCTGCCCCTGTGCTGTGAAGTTGAACTCTATCTGGGAGTTCAGTTTTCCCGCTTTGATTTCAGAGGGAGCCACAGGAAACACGGACAAGGTGCGTCTCCAGGTTACAGTCAGACACCGAGGACTTCCGCCGACTGACTTTGTGCTTGTCAAATCCGCTGGAGGCAACATCACTGAGAAAGAAAGGGAGAAATCAGTGAGATGGAAAAGAGGAAAAATAACATAGTTAGTAGAAAGAAGTACAAGGGCCTCACCTTCAGTCCTGCCTAACTGACAGCGGGGTCGGGACGTGATGTTATGTTTGGGGCCGTGTGCTGTGATGCTGATGCAGAAGCAGTTCCTCACGTCAGTACTTTCTAACGCCGCCGTGCAGCGGGTGTTAGGCGTGATGCAGGTGAACTTTTTGTCAGAGCTGTTTGGTGGTCTGTGCTTCCCCAAATGCACATACAAATAGAAATACATACCCATTAACACAAACAGAAGCATTTTAAAAACAAGGTTCATCCGAGTCCTCAAGTCAACAAGCAGACACACAAACAGGCACAAAACCACAAGCCCTGTCAGTCACACACACATTACCTTGCACACATCACAATACTGCTCACACACACATGTCTCCCACTCAATACCATCTGAAATGTTGCAACATTCACTTTGGCACCAAAAAAAAGCTGAAGAGTTGATGTGGACGCTGTGTGATTCTTATCATCTCAGTGCAGCATACCAACAGTCACACCAATGTGAGATTCAAAGCAGATTATAAACTGAGGCCTTCGCATGTAACAGACAGAATAATAACAAGCTAAAATGCAGACACAAACTAAATCAAATTTGCTTTTCTTATGAACCCTATAGAACCCTCAGGTCTTCTGGTGCGGGCCTTAATCATGCCTCAAGTTCAAAACAAAGACCCTCGTACGGAATTATTACGGCCCCTGAATGTGGAACAGCCTCCCAAGAGAACTGACGGCGGCAGAGGGGGTTCATACTATTGAACGCAAACTAAAGACTTGAATTGTATTTATTAATTCATTAATTATTTTAGAAAGGGAGAAACTCCCACTGGAAAGAACTTTGGGATTGTAGCCTTGGCAGTCCTCTCATGTGCACAAAAACCTATATAACACACTACAGAAAAGGGGACCCCCCCCCCCCAAAACTTAATATGGCCCCTTTAAGTTTTAGTCCATGATGCTAAACAACAAAAAACTAATATTAAGCAGGAGTACGGAGGATGAGTTGAGGAGTCTTACAGCCGGAGGAAGGAATCTGTTGTGCAGTCTGATGAGAGGATGCCCTGTGTCGAACTGCAGGCAGAAAAATAAATGTTGGGTTAGAAGGTACAGGTTGGAAGGAAGAGTAGTTAAGCTATCTGCATAATAGGTGATAGGTGAGTTGGGCTTTTAGGGTACATTACGATGAAGCAATCAGATTAATTTAGTGGAAAGGATTTCCAAGTACAGCATAGACAGATCCTGTCTGATATCAAAGGTACATCTGAGACACTATCAGATACTATGTGTTTCCTGTTTACCAGCCACTCAGTTTAAAAAACGCTCGTTTCAGACGTTTAATCTTGACAGGCTGTAGAAATGTAAAATGGAAGCGGTTTATCAAGTAAAATGTTAAAAAATGTAATTTGTTTGTCATTTTTTCTGTGGTATCTGCATCCACTGTCGCACATGTTACTGATGATAATGAATTAAACACTCTTTAGAAAAAACATAACTAAATGATAGGTCATAAAAAAAATTAAGAAAGGTTAGGATGAAAAGTGTGTTGCTGACAAATTGGGGAAAAGAATTGAGAGACAGTTCAAGAACAAATTCTTCCTATTCTACCCAGATACATGATATCACAATGGGGTCCTCAAATGGGGTCGTCAAATAATATTTATATTTATATCATCTCAATAAATAATCTTTCATCAGAAAACCAGTCTCTCCTCGTCTGACTGAATAATCCTATCCCATTAAAGTCACACATTGACTAGAAAACAACCGTATCCCCCAGACAATAAAAACAAACATTTTATAACAAAAAGCTGATCATGACTTCCAACATATTTAAGGAATGTTTTGCTCACATAAAGACCAGTTGAACTTGCAGAGTGTACTGAGTCGTGTGGTTGTCTCCGGCCTCCCAGTGGCAGGTGACGTTAGCCCGATTCAGGAACACACAGCGGAGCAGCCGCGGGGCGTGGGGGTGCGCCTCGGGGGGCGTAACGGAGAAAGCTGGAGGCAACGCTGGACATGGAGAGAGGCTGGAGTTAACGACATTAAGAGGTCACCTATTATGCAAAATCCACTTGTTCATGTCTTTTATACATAAACATGTGTCCCCTCTGTGTAAAGAGATTCTGAAAGTTTCAGGAAAAAAGATTCTCTCACTTTTTGTCCTGATCCATTTATATAAAAACCTGTCTGAAAATGAGCTGATCAGATTTTGGCCACTTTATGATGTCACAACGATTTTTTTGGCTTGTGTAACCATTAGCCAATAACCAACCAAGGTAACCCCCCCCCCCCACCTTATCACCTGAATCTCCTCCTAGAGCACCATTGTGTTCTTTTTAACCATATATCTCTCAGAGAGGCGTGGGGAGTGGCTCCTTATTTTCATCTAAAGTAACAGACAGAGAATCTGTCTTTAAGGGGAACATTCTGCAAGTCATTGATGAGAACGTTGGCATAGGAAACACCTTCGGGGAGAACGTGGGTTTAACTGGTAGCAAATAAAGAAACAAAAGAAGGAGAAACTTGGGAGAGATAAGGTGTCTGTGAATCTGTGTCATCATCCAACTGTTGCTAAACGGCAGCCCTTCAATCCTCCACAAACTTATTGAAACAAACCCCTGGAGAACTATCTCCATCTAATCAGGCACGTAGGATGAACATGATTCATATTCTGTCAAATACTTGTGCACAGAATGCCATTGCTATTTTGGCCTGAGGCCTTCTTAGACAAGACTGTACAAGATGATTGCCTTCATTTCACAACATGATCATACTACGCTTTACAAACCAGTTGCTTGAGAGCATACTTTTTACCCTGATTTAACTTCAACGTGTTTCCTTTGCTCCTGGTGGTCAATATTTGCTACCATTTACTTCTTTGTTTTTCTTTATAATTTGATTGTTGCTGTTGAAGGAATAATTAACCAACGCTATGACTATTTTTATAAATCAATTCCTCCAGTGTTACCAGTGTTCTTTTTTCTTCTCTCATATGACTCCTAAGTGAACAGATAAAACTCTCAAATGAGTTTGAGAAGTTGTGAGCATATGACTGGTAAATAAGACTAATACTGCACGGGTTGCGTGACGATTTAACGAACGGGTATTTTAATATAGTTTTCCTTTTTTAAACAAATGTATTCTATTAATGAAAGATTTCTGCATTTTGACAATGTTCAGATGGTGAGTCATTTCACAATTAGAAATATTCAGTTGTAGCTGTGTCACAATGTAATGTTTTATTTATTCCTGATGGTCAATATTTAATAGTATCACGCTTTTTGTCTTTTTCATAATTTTCTGAAATAGAATCAAAATAAAAAACGTAATTATTTCTAAAATGTTGAGAAGTAAACTGCTCTTTAAACTATTTCATATTTTTGGGGCAATTTGGCGTCACAACGTTCCTATTAGGCTTAACTGCTAAGCTTCTTTTCACCAGACACACTGATGAACTGCATCTTTAAAACCAGATGAAAAGGTAGGCGGTGTTTATCCAACCCATTGATGCATTGTACGTGTCAAAACAAGAAAAACAGACAGCACCATGATTAGTTGTGGTAGTAACTACCCTCCAGCCTGCTGACATGATCTAATTTACATAATGAATCAACACCCGTCTCAAATAATAAGGATTTGCATCCTCCAGTTCTTATGGCAGTGTCCCAAATATCTCCATAGTTGCATGTTTTTCTCTGGATTTAAAAAAAGGGAATATGTTACCCAGAGTGAGTCCGGCCCCCAGTAGGCAGGTCCACAGCACGGCCCGGGGCCACTCCATATACTCCCCCCCCCGTATATCCTGGGGGTTCAGTCCTGCTCACTCACTGTCTGCCATCCCACCAACAAGCTCTCAGCGCAAACACCCTGCATGTTGAACATCTTAGAACAGGAAATACATACAGTGGTGTGAGAAGTAATCACATATTTTACTTATAGTACCAATAACAAATTGTAAAAATACTGTTACAGGTAAAAGTCCCACAAGATTTTTGATGCGTTAATGTGTCTATCACAGCTAAAGGTGGAGCTATTTTAAGTGACTTTGTTGCTGATCTTAACCTATTATTACTCAAAACTTGAGTAAATGTACTTTACTACAACTCTCACCTCTTTTAAATTACGATTTTAAATGTCAATTTATATTTTGTGATTCCGCTGCACTATATCTTAAGGCTCTCTTTATTTTTGGAAAGCACTTTGAATCGCCTTGTGTTGAAAGATGCTATTTACATACATTTACCTTACATCCAACAGTGAGAACATAATGTCAAATTTGACAAAGATTCACCCGGTGAAAGGGCCAGATGTCCAAGAATGACTCAGTGTAGAGGATACATTTCATCATTTTGCTTGTAAAGCTTCCTGTGTAGTAGTTCACTACAACATTTGGATTGTTTTGAGCCCTAGCTGTTATTCAAATTGGCGTTGCCACATAGGAAATGTGTCAGTATACAAAATGCAGCAGTTTGTACAAGAAGAGACTATCTGACTTCCTATGGTGGGTCTAAAGGGTGTTTGTGTTTACAATTCTCTGGTTCATCCATCATAATAAAGACTAAACATCAGGTCTAACCTTTTATGATTATTAGCATTTTAACTTCAAGAGAGTTCAGGCTTATTATGGATCATCCCCAAGGACAGGTGTAATATAAATAATATAAATCTAAAGTAAAAGCTCTTCAATGAATCCAATCTTTGTGAAGCTTGTAACGCTTCGGTTGATGTAACCCCACACTGAAAGATCTTGATTCAACTCTTTTTTGGAGATGTTGGTTAAAGTAGAATTGTACTGGACTGCTTGGTGACACTTTCCTTTATTTCCCCTACATCTATTTGATACAGTGTCAACAAAACAAGAGCACTGCAAGCTTCACAAGTATACACCTTTTCTCTCTTTCTATAAAACACTCACATCTATTTCTTGTTTAAAAGCAGAAATACAACGACTAACCTGTATTTATAATTTTTCACCATAAAAGTTCAGAGCACTTGTTGGACAAACGAATGACCCCTGTTTCATATTATTGGATTATTATTACTGCACATTTCAGCAGCAGTTTATTTTGCAGCTGGTCGAGGTGATGTTTATTACATATATACAGAAATATATGTATATTGAATTTTCTATTTTTAATAAGTACAATTAAAGCTGCAATATATCGTTTTTAATACATTCATCTACTTTTTTCTTTGTTAAACGAGTATTCTGAGCAAATTCCCATCACAAGCTACTTGATCATAAAATGAAACTGTTATCTTAGTAATGTACACATTGTGTTTTTGAGGTCATTTACTAACCTTACACTATATTGTAGACACATATTTATATACGAGTAGGAAAAATCCACATTATTTTCTTTGAATTACAAATAAAGTTGTATTATTACTTACAATAACTATTGCATTATCTTTTATATATATATATATATATATATATATATATATATATATATATATATATATATATATATACATGTGTAGCATTTGAGTTCCTACTTCATGTCGCCTTAAGGAGTAATTTTACTTCCTACATGTCATTTTTTTGAGCGGACAGGTGTGTGTATGGCACTACTTGTGCAACAGGTGAGTGGGTGAATGAATGGGGAGAAGTTAAACCAGAAAGAGTGTTACATATTTAAATGTTTAAATAGTTTTCCAACAAACCAGCCTCCAAAAGACTAGCAGTACATTACATTTGAAAGGATATATTATATAACAAGTCTCAAATCTTAACATCTTACACTGAAAAAAAGGACTTTTTGGCTTTGTAAATATTACTTTGATTATATGTTTAAATTCTACAATACATTAGTATTTCAGTAATTTTACTCCAAATGTCTCCTTTTATTTAATGTGTTACTTGTGTTTCTATGTAATTTTGAATCTTCATTTTGATAAGTGAATTTTAACAATAGCACCAAGTAAATATTACCTAAATTATTGTATTGACTGTACAACCTGTTAAATCTATTAAAATGTACATGGGAAATGCAAGTTAACTGTGGGTGACGTCATAGGAGAGTATTTCCCGCACGTTGCCCCCGCAGACATGCACGGACAGTCTACTCAGAAGGTTGACATTTGAGTGGAACTTGAAGACTGCTTGGTCGACCATTTCATTTGAATATTCATCGATGTGGAGTCATGTGAGTATGTTTATGTGCTTGGTTAACTTGTTACATTCCTATTAGCTTGTCAACTGAAGTCAGTATTTGGTTATTAAAAATGTAAGGCTAAGTTAGCTAACATTAGCTGGCTAACTAGCTCATTATCGTGCTAGCAAACTTAGCCCGGTTTCATGCAAGTTGCACACATCAGATATAATATATTTTTTTTAATGGCTTATTTGAAGCTTCAAAGTTGTCGGCTACGACAACATTCGCCGTTTATAATGGAAACTATGGCGCACTTTTTAAAATTTGAATAGTTTTTTATTTCGGGAGAGGGGGGTGTTCATGGCTCCAGCTCGACAAAAGAAATACTCAACAGTATGTGCGACGCTACGTGATGCGGTCAGTTTCACTGCAGCCTAGAGAAGGACAAAGTGGTCAAGGAATATTATATTTGCAATTAAATATGAACAGCGCGATTTAAAAGGTAAGTGTGTCTGTGTGTTTGCCTCGATGGATTCACTGTTGGCGCTTTTCCAGTGCAGCACTTAGCACAGTTTGGTTTGTCCCGGCCCGTAACAACATACTGATACCGGTTAGTAAAAACCATGAATTAATGCTTTGACAAGTCTGCGGTTTGTACTTGTTTCACTTTTGTCTAGTTTCTGAACAAATATGAGGAGCTGTGAGCTCTGAGTGCTAACAGCTAACGGCTGATGTTCCGGTGTGAACGCGGCTATTGAAGATTCCTGCAGTACAGGAAGTGACGATCCTGAACACGTTTTTTTCCCGGCCCCCCGAAGGACTCATCACGGAGGTGATGAGTCCGCTCACCATGCACTTTGGGTCGGCCTTGGTCAAGCCCTTTTGACCCCCCCAGCCTGGTTCTCGTAAAAGCCATTTTTCGCTCAAATGATACCATGGAAGAATGTAACGGGAGTTGACAGGGGACTCTCCCCGCCTCACGAGTGCCTATTTTCGGACACTTTTTTTCACATTTTCCCCGGTTCTATTCATTTTTATTTTGTTGGCTATTTCACCCGGTTCCTTCTAACTGGGACACTGCCCGGTCCGGGTGTCCCCCCACGGCCAGTGTCCAGCCCCCCCTCCCACTCATCCATATATTAACAGATTTTGACATGTTTTGTTGCATTTTTCTCCTCTCCGCTCTGTGATCGAATGGCAAACGCGACCCACCATGCCCACGGCCTAGTTCTGCTGCTCTGGCGGTTGGTTCTTCCGAACTGCGGGTTAGACTCTGATGACCGGGAGGGTGTGCTGCGTTGGGGTGGGGGACTTCCCCCACTTTGCGTGTCTCTTCCTTCCCGGCCGGCCGACGACGCACGGTCTGACTGGTCCCACCACGGGTCCCGCAGCGGGGTAGAGGTTCAGGGCTGGAACCTCCCCACCTCCGCCGCGGTGCACCCGGCCAACACGGTTGTTTGTCGAACCCGCCACTGTTGTCTAGCGGGTGTAACTATACAAGATATCGTTATTTATTTATTTATATAAAAAAATATATATATATATATATATATATAATAAGTGTCATTGCGATTTTATTTTGTATTAGCGTGCATTTCCTGTTCGGAAAGTGGTGCTGTACTGAGAGTAAACAATACAATTGAAACAGTCGAGGGGAACGTGCACCTTTTGCACACAAACAAATTGCGTTTGTTTTGCTAATGTACCATTAGCTCCTGGGTTTTAGGCGGCGGAAGTGACGTAATCTGCCACCCAGGACAAGAGATAAAAATAACGCCATACTCAGAGAATGTATTCCTACGGTTTAAAACACATTATTGTACATTAAAGTTACATTCTGATGATTAGTGACATTTCATTTTATTTATTTCATTATTTGAAAAACAAAACACTTTCCACTAGGGAGGAAAAGGTCGGCGCCCTTTATTGACCAGCCGCCACTGATAACAATACTATTTCTGTGTCTCATATATATTCATCCTTTCATATATATATATATATATATATATATTCATCCTTTTTTACTTTATATTAATTGCAATGTCTTCTATAGTAACAGTGACTTTAATGATATAGGGCTAACTAGATGTGCTTGCATTATGTTAGCTAATCATGCTTATCTGTTCCCTTCCCTTTTCAGTTTTGTTTTTGTTCTTAGGCAACATTTCATTTGATGGTTGGTGTTTTCCTCCAGCAGCCTGTTGAAATTACAGTGCCCTCTCACTGTACAACAGCATCAAGTTACAACAGCAAGACAAGACACCTGACCATGGAGGTAACTTTACAAATAATTGTATATTGTGTAGGGCTAGGTAAATTAAAAAAGTCGTCAAAACCAACATTCTTAATCTGTTACCGACCAAATTTCAGTCACATCGATAAGTTATGTGGTCACACTTAGTCTTCAGCCAACACCATACAAACAAAGCTAAATGTAAATACTGTCGAAAAATAGCAGATTAGCACAGCCTTTAAGTAGCGTTTAGTGTGCATTGGGTGGCGGAGGAAGGGAGATGGTGTGGCAGAGCTCAGAGAGGTATAAATTCTGCTGTCTGAGTAAATGTAGTGATACATTTACTCAAATTTGAAAAACACAAGGAGGTTAAGAAGCTATGGATAAAGCAGTTATGAAGAACCGGATGTCTGTCATTGTATTGAAGGGTTGTATTTTGGATAAAAGTATTATTACGTTATTTTTACTTTGCGTATTGATTAGCCTTGAATGCAGTGACAAGTTGTATGTATACATGTGTGATAGAATTATTTTTTTAAATAACATTTTACATGATAAAAATGGCTCTGAATGTATATTGATGTGTTCATATTTAAGCAATAAATTGCAAGACAGTAAGTTCTGTAATTTACATAATTAATTTATAATGTACTTTCTATATATTTCACAGGTTACCAAGGGAAATTGAGTCATTCAGCAATTTTGTCTTCGACAGCTAATGCAGAGTAAGTTGATCAACTCAGTACTGTTAGAAGTTTAAGTTGACATAAATGTTTTTGTAACATGGTTTAGTTTCAAGAGGTTTAAAGATTGAATTAATTTGTGTTTTTTTCAGATTCCACTAGATGGGTGTGCAAAACATGTAGCTTTGAATCTAACAAAAGGACAGGATTGTTAAAGCACTACAGGCTAAAACATGTAACTGGTTTTAAGTTAAATGTTTATCAACTCATTTGTATGCACAGCTTGATCCTGCTTTGCATCCTTGCACCTAGTTGGTGACTTCTTTTGTAGCAGGTTCAATTGACCATTACGCAACATCTTTTGCTTTCTCTCTACAATAATGTACTTGTCTGTTTTAACAGCTACATGTAGAAGATAGACGAGATGCCATCATCCGCTGCTTGATGGAGTTCCTTGGAGAGTCTACAGAGGAACTCATCAAAGACTACCAGGTAAATGTTCTGATGATTGTTGTATCCATAAACATGTTGTCTGTTCTTCAATATTTGTAAATGGATATCTCTACAGGTTAGTGACTCATGCTAGTATGTGGAAAAGGCATGTCTTTTTAATTAAGTTTAACATTTAGATGAAATAAATTGGTATTTAATATATTTAAAATAAAAGCAAACATTTTACTTTATTCCATTCATTCTTTTTTTCATTCTTTCTCTAATGATCTTTTTTTACATTCTGATTCATAATTTGGTTTTCAGTAGAATTGAAGATTTGAGCCTTTAAACCTCCGATCCCACCTCATTTTTGCTAAACTGAATCCAGTACTATACCAGCTTTTACTTCCTGCTTGGAACAGAGCAGCTTTTTTAAACCAAGAAATAAAAAGTGACTACAAATTCCCTACATAACTTACCTCGTCTTTATCTACAAAAGGAAAGGAACTATAAAATCAATAGTTAGTTAAATACTAGGGCTGAACGATTAAAAAAAAAAGATGTAATTGCAATTATTTTAACTGATATTGCAATTGCGATATCAGGAAATGATCATCATTATTCTCATTTTCATTGAAACATTTTTAAATGATCATGGTGTGATTTTTGCGAGGATTTGTAGCAAACAAAAATGTTTTCTTTAGACTGTAGAATATGATGTGTAGGCATCTCTGCAGCACGACAATATTACATTTAAAATGCTACTTTGACACACATTTTTCCTTTTACAAATATCGCACCTGCTGCGATTTGAAAATTGTTGTAGGCAATATTGCAGTTTCGATAACATTTTGATTGATTGTTCAGCACTTTAACCTAATGAATCACCTTTTGCATATTCAGTCACTTAAAAGAAAACATGTACAGTATAGTGTATCTCAACACCAATTCACATGTTTTGACAGGATGTGAGCAAAGAAATCGTCAGAGGACTATGCTGAGCACGTCATGAAAATAGTTGTCCTCCGTGGAAGTGCAGCACACGAAGGCCCTGCCGATGTGTCCATCATCATCGAGGGAAGTGAGGTTCTTGATGACTGCAGATGTGTGTCAAAGGCTTGCCTTCTGCTCATGGGCTTCATATATGCAATGAACTTAAGTTATCCACCGAAGATGAAATACACTTTTGAGGTATTTCAGAAGCTCTTTCTTGAGCTAAATGTCCTGAAGATGTCTCCAAAAGTCCATGCATTGTGCAACAAACTTGTAGCCTAAGTGTATGCAAAGGTGTTTCTTCAACTTGCAGTTCAGAGGAAATACTTGGTATTTATGGTGTCGAGCAACAGTGACCTTTTTCATATGATTTGCCTGAGCCCACTTTGTACAACTACATGTTTTGTATATTGTTAAGATAATGTTTCAAAACCTTGTTTAGGGGGTTCTTGACACAGCACTTTTTAGTTTCCCCTGGAAACAGTTTCATTTGTTGTGCTTTGAGTATTTGCAGCTCAATGAGGCACTTGTCAAATTGGTGAAGATTTTTTCTTCATTTGATTGTGTTTTGTATGTTTTCTTGAGTGCGTTGAATTCTCAGGGCCACTGTACAACTTCATATTGTGTAATTATTCTCTATAACCAGGGGTGCACACAACTTTCTCAGTGAGGTACTCAGATGAGTACCTGGAGTCAGTGTTTGGTACTCCAACTTCTGGCGATTGTCAACGGGGGGGGGGGGGTAGTGGAGTACAGAGCTTCGGAGCTACAGAGTGTGCACGTTGTGATCAGCTGTTTTAGCGCAGGGCTGCTGTACAGACCGACGTTAACAGCAGCCCTGTCTGTGCACACGGAGACACGGTGATCTAACCGCCTTCTGGAAAAGCTTCACATGTACGTCGGTACGCAAATGCGCTTTGTGACACATGTGACGGTACGCATTTCAGATTGTTGCCGCGCATGCGTACCTGCGTACCAGTTATGTGCACCCCTGTCTATAACACTAAAAGCAAGGGATGTCAGGGATGAGTGATTGCACTTAGTTTTCTTGCAAAGTCATTGTACTGTATAGATGTGCTGAATATGATCAGGGCCACATGTGATTTATTTTTTTTAAGTCGGAATTCTGACTTGAAAACTAAAATAATTAATGTTTTGAGCATGGCCCTAATCCTATTCCATAAAAATGACACTTTTGTAAATGTCATTGGACATTTTATCTGAGATGTACTGAAATAGATCACTGTGAATTCTGTCCTCAGGATCAGCCAGAGAATGTTGTTTTAAGAATGTTTCATCTTCACTGAGACTATCGGTAAAAAGTGTTCTAACCATTCTGTTTAGCTGCACCGATGTAGGTGCTGTGTGCACCAGATTGCATATGTTTAAACCATTGTAAACTGTTGCTTAGTCCTGGCTGGTACCAGTGTTTCAAAACATAAAGTTGCTGTTTTAAAGAGTACATTGTTTCATGTTTTGTATGCCCATATTTAACAGGGTATTGCTGTTAAAGGTAGAATACATATTATGTAAATATTACTTATATATTTAAGTAAAAAATACTATGCAATAGTGAGTACACTTTTAAATAGAAGAAGAAATATTATGTAAATATTACTTATATATTTAAGTAAAAAATACTATGCAATAGTGAGTACACTTAAATAGAAGACGAAATATTATGTAAATATTACTTATATATTTAAGTAAAAAATACTATGCAATAGTGAGTAAAATTAAATAGAAGAAGAAATATTATGTAAATATTACTTATATATTTAAGTAAAAAATACTATGCAATAGTGAGTACACTTAAATAACAAAAACAGAAAGCACAGTAAAGTTTACTTGTGTACCTGTTGTTAGAAACACTTCTGAACTGTAAGTAGAATTTACTTGAAATATAGGTTGTTAAATTTACTTACAATTTCTGCGTGGAATATTGTTACAGAGGTTTTTCTAAGTAAATGTCACTCCACTTTTTTTTCAGTGTAGAAGCTTGAACCAACATTTCTTTGCGTGACAATATAAATACAAAGTGTCGCAAAAATAAATTTATATTTCAATCAACCAGTCGATTAATCAACGTATCCTCTCAGGTCTAATTACAGTCAAAGCAATCTCAATACATCCAAAACCCCACAACTTCCCATCACATCAAGCAAGCTATATTAGGAATACACATCTGAATGTCTGAGTGAGTCCTTCTGTGACTACATGTACTTGTTGAATAGTTTTGACACTTCACTTACACACACAACCCACTCAGGCTTCGCGAGACATTCACGGAAAAGTTGAAGACACGAGCGCTAAATAAAACACATGAAAAGGTTTGAGTCAAAATCACTTACCGGTGCGAGCTCGACCAACACGCGCCGCTCCGAGTCCAATGACCGACTTGATGGATCTGAGGGATTACTAACACCCGCCTTCCAGCGTCAACACATGTTAATTGTGAGGTTTCAAAACTGCGGGTCGCGGACCGCTGGAGCCTGGAGGACCGTGGAGTTGTCCGATATTAGGCTTTTATAGATCAAGTTTTATCGTAGCCTACAATCATTTCCATCCACGTGATATAAGATAAACAAAACAATCTATTTTTAAGGGATATATATAAAGTAAACCCTCACTTTCAGTAGATTGCACACAGTTAAAACTAAATGTTATTACTCACTCAGTAACTTAGGTGTGTGATCGTGTTATATAACATTAAAATGACTTAGCTGTCTTTTGTTATGGCTCATTAAGCCTTTTGGAAATGTATTATTTATAGTTCAGCATTTCTCAGCAGAGCTGACTCATTGGCCTGTGTTCACAATAACAATAATAATAACAAAACAAATAAGATGTGAAGGATATGAGCAGCAGGATGTGCGCTGCAGGACGTCTCAAAACAATTTCAGCTGCTGTGAACAATATCTCCCTCTATGTCTATTTTATCTCATGGTCTAACAATGAAGTGACTGCAATGAGGGGTACAGGGTCTTCTTGTTCATAATGTAGCCAACTAGTGGCACCCATGAGACCACTATTAAAAATGCATTACAACAACCACTGGTGTGTGTAATGCATTACAACTGGTTTTGATTGATGCCCATAAAACCATCAACTTTTAGTTTTTAGTATAGCCAAGAAAACCTGGTATATGATTAAATAAGAGGCATTTGATTTTGACTGAAAACTACTTTTATCACAATGAGGAAAATGAGAACAATACACATTTTTGGAATCAAACCCCATCCCTCCTAGTTTGAGGCGCATTTGCGAGGCAGAGGTAGACACAGCTGTTGAATCCGAGGCGAGGGGCTGGCAGAGCGGGCCGCCCGGCTAACGATGTTCGGGTCGTACCCCTCGAACAGAGCCTTCCTCTTTTGGGCCCGCACAGCTCGAGAAGTCTATGGCTGGCCGAGCAGTTTCTCGCCGCTCTGGAGACGGGCCAGCAGACGGAGCGCTGCCCTTCAAACTTAGGGTGGTCGTGCTTAGGGGCTGAAAACATAAAAGCAATTATGTCATACAGCAAGTAGAACAATGCCACGATAGATAAACAATTGAAATACTTACTAGCCAGTAGTTCTATGTGTGCTGATGCTTTGTAGGGTATGTGGGTCAAAGGTAAAAGTTTAGATTTGGGGCTACAACCCTCCAGAACTGGCCTTCGTTTCGGTTGGGCAAGCTGGCAAATTCGTGAAGTGGCGACTGCCGTCTGCGTCCCTCTGTTCAACTACAACCATCATAAAGGAGGTTATACACACACAAGCACCATATCAGACAGGAGCTGCTCTGAAGCTATCAAACAAATGTACATTCATAAGTTTGCTGTTTACTCTCAATGCAGTGAAGAAGGTTTAACAACAGATACATTTTGTTTAGAGAACATCTTATCAAAGTAATTTACATCCAGTCTGCTGCCACTTATTAGACTCTTAGTTCACTCATTCTGTTGCCGTCAACCTAAAAAGGGATCAACTTTAAAGTTAAGGTCATATTTTGTATGTATGAACTCAAGTTGTATGTTTTTTGTGTCTCGACTGTGACATGTTCACATGTTTTAATGTTCAAAAAGCTCTTTATTTTTCTCATACTGCCTATGCTGCAGCACCTCTTTTCACCCTCTGTCTGTTCTGATTGGTTAGCTGGCCGACTCTGTTGTGATTGGTCAACTGCTTAGAGATGTCCTGGCCCTTAGCATATCACGTATAATGTGTTGGAGCGCTAGCCAATAGACGTACAAGTGTTACATACTGATGTCACTATGTTACGGATATAAAACAAGGAGGCCAATGGAGGCATTTCAGGCAAGAAAACACCAAACCACTGGAACAACAGTGGGCGAGGAGACAACACGCCAATAAGCAATACACTCAGAGGACTCAAAGAAAACGTGTAAGTTCAGTCGTCTTCCTAAATACTTGATGCTCCTGCCTTACTAACACCGTTGGCTGTGGAGTTTTAAAGACATATCGACAGGTCAGTTGGAAAGCGGCCAGCTACCTCGTGATAAGCATTTCCTCAGGAAATAGTGTGTGTGTTACTCACAGGGCTAAGCAGAGGGCGTTCAGGCTGCCAGCCGACCGCAGGAGTCGGAGGTAGAGCCAGAGCACAGAGGCGATCTGAGGGGACGGCCCGGAGAGCTGCGCCGCTCACCGCCCACTCGGGAGAAATTCTGAGGAAAGGAAGAGAGTAATGAGAGCGTGGATAAATGAGGATACAGAAAGTTAAAAAGGAAGTTGATAAGACATAAAAGAGGAAGAGGAAGGGAAAGGAAGGTAGGGGGAAGACACTAGCAAAAACCCAAGAAGAGAAAGTAGAACATTAAAGCCAGATGGAGATGAGTTCAGATCTAAAAAGTTCACAGCGAGGTTTCTCTTTTAAACAACTTGATTTTTTCCTCATTAAATCTTTATAAAGTTATTTAAAAGTGGACCTATCATGCTATATTATAATAATATAGTGTAGGACCATACCTATATAAGGCATATTTATACTATTTTTTTTTCAAAATACCAAACAGATCATGCATTTTAGCCATGCCTCATTTCGCTCAATTTGCACATTTTTACCCCTGTTTTTGCAAGGGCTGATTCTGTGAGAACAGCACCATTTACAGGCCTGGCATATGTACTACAGCGTCTCCAGCGCTTTCGAACGGCAATGGCCGTGGCTATCTCCTCCTGATTGGTGGAGTTGGCCCAATAGCCGTAGCGCCACTGTCCTAACGTCAGGACAGTGTTCAAATCTGGATCAGTTTTTATCAGATCCGTTGCAGCCCCTTTTTTAGAGATTTGGGTATGGAGGAAAATAGAGAGGGTTGTGTTTTCTGACACTTGGTGAGTTCCCTGGAACACCGGGGACACATATTCATGTATAAAAGACGTACAAAAGTGCATTTTGCATGATAGGTCCCCTTTAAATATTATTGTCATTTAACATTGTTACCAGCTGCATTGCTGTGTTTCCTGGCAAGTGGGGAAAACACTTCATGGTAGTAATTTTTGTCAGGATTTTTTCCAATTAATTGCTGTTGTAAATGGTAAATGTAAATTGTAAAAATGTATTTACTGTATGTCTAAATTCTCCTGGCAAAACCTGTATTCACATGTGTTCTTTAGTCATAAACACAGGAGAGAAAACCATTTAAACCAGACTTACAAAGTGCATCACAGGACTTACTTTTTTCTCATTGCCTCTCACAAATCACACATGCATAAGCAGTTCATTCATCACTAGTATAATGCATAAATTCATATTTACGTGACTTGACTGTAGAATGTTTTATTTCTACATAGCTCCGACCAGTGAGGGGTTAACTCTAAAAAGAAAAACATGTATGCACACATCACAAAAAAGCAGTTCAGGGCATGTTATAAATAGAAGAAAATGTTGGAGAGATGTGAATGATGTACCGATTTTGGTGATGGATCCAGTACTCTCTGGTGGCATCTGATCCAGCCAGTAAACAGAACGACTGGAAAATAAAAGAGAGGACTCAGAATACAAACGGAGACAGAGAGAGAAAGACAGGATTCAGTTGGGCCTACCGGTCTGGATATCTGAGTCTGTTGGGTTTGGGTTGAGCAAGTTTCTTCGTGAAAGTTGCCATGAAAATAGTTGAAGCTGGCTGGCGAGGGAAGCAGAGGATAGTCATCACAATGCCATTGTCCTTCACAAACATGACAGTAAACAACATTGTTTGTCACATACTACACAGTGTGCCAACAACAACTCAAGTGAAGGCTTTGAAAGTTGTGTTACTTATTATAAGAGTAGAAATGTCATTCTGTGATTTCAGTTTCAAAATTACGAATAAAATAGCCCTGAAACAATTATTGATACTAAGACATAAAAACTGTAAAGCCCAACTATTCAGGATTGACTTTTATATTATTTTTTACATAAGTAAAGGTTACATTGAATACTTTTAATGATGTATAATAAGTAGAAGTCATTTTGATGTTTTAACTATAGTTGAATCTTCTCGCTAGAGAAAAAAACCCCACATCAGACACATATTAATTCAAAGCTCAATATTTGTGTGTAGGTTTTAAGCCATATCTAATGTATCTAGCAGACATTTAAAACATTAAATGTACGGATTAATTGCTTTTTTCAGATATATTTAGTCTGTGAGTTATACACAACAAATTTAAACACAAAACACCAATAGAAAGGGAAGGAAGTTGTAATAATAATAACTTGCATCCTTAATTTAGCTAAACATTTTTGCCATGTAATACACTCTATTGGTAATGGCTAATCCATTTTAAGAGTGCTGTAGCCCGTGAAAATAAATATTGAGTATGTCCTGTTGAGGCTTAACCCTTCAATGCACCAACCACACACACATTTCATCTGTAGCTGACCCCATTAATAACACATAGAGACAAATGTATTTATCTTTAACTAATCACGTTACTGTTTCTCTACTGTAAAAGTAACTACACAATTATAAGCAATAATAGTTTTTACCTGTACTATTGGTTCTCGTGGTGACACCGACACCTGCTGGTTGCTAGGGGATCAGGTGTATAGGCTGTATATCAGGTGACACTGGTGGGTACAGAAAACAAAAGATCCTCTATGGGCAGGGAGAGGCGATGTCCCACTCCGCTTTACTGTGTGCCGCATTAAGGCATCACTATGGATATTTTAGGTTTAAAAAAACAAACAAATTCCCAATCATTTTGTCTGTGTTGATGCAAGAACCATACATTTTATCAATGGTTGTTTTTTAGAAGTTCAACCTCAGCTCCTATGATAAGTTTAAAATATTTTTTACCAGATTTATCTCTATGGGCCACGTACATGCCAGTTTCCATTTCTCCTGGTTTCCTGAATAAAATAAAATAAAATAAAATGCATCAAAGCACTAGACCATCTTTATTACACCAACCAACGGCAAAACGTACCACACCTGAGCCACCTCAACCTTCATTTTGATCTCAACAACACATCTGTAAAGAAACTGCATCTTGCATGGTTGCAGCTATCTCTGAGAATGAATTAATCCAAAAGGTGGTTTCAATCAACTACACATTAAAAAAGCAATAAATAAGCATGTGTTGTCTAGAATAGAAAACATCTTTCTCTGGTTGTAAATATTTAAATAGGAACTTACCTGTCATCGCCTTAAAGGTGGGGTAGGTAAGTTTGAGAAACCGGCTCGAGATACACTTTTTGTTATATTCCATGGAATGCTCTTAACATCCCGATAGCAATGAATATCTTAAGTGCTTTGACAAAAAATCCATAAAAAAATGTAATCTGTGGAAGCCGTAGTACTGTAAAAAGCACGACCAATCATTTTAGCCGTTCGTGTGTGTTGGAGGAGGGGCTCTGTAAGGAAGTGGCAGATTTTTTCCGGTTGTGTATTTTCAAATTCTAGCGCACTCGAGCCGGTTTCTCCAAAATTACCTACCCCACCTTTAACTTACCTCACCTTTAGATGAGAAATAACTTAAATATATATTTTGCCAGAACCATCTGTTTATATGACACAATCAAAAATATGCTCATATAAAATTCACAGTCCGACTTCAGGATGCAAAAATAAAAACCAGCAGACTATTTAAAAACAAACACTTTTATTTTCAACACACATTTAAAATCTTATAAAACAGCACAGTCCATAGTCTACCAAAGCTCCTTTAATAGTCATAATCACAAAGCAATAAGCTTTCGGTATAATACTGCTATTGATCTCTAAACTAGTATTGCAAAGAGAGTGACGTGTCATGTCTTTGGGACATTATGCTGTCACTTTGTGTTGTTCACTGGAAACATGAACTCAGGGAAACACTGCAAGGAAGCAGCTATATAACAAATCACAGGCCAGGGATAAAGGGTTGATACTGTAACTAACACTTAAGATGATAATAATAGTTGTTTTGCAGTCAGAGCACTTTTTAAACTGCTTTGTACACTGTCGAAATCTAGTTTAAAAGCCCACACCCCATATCCATCATCTTGCTTGATATTCTTTACCTATACCAAGAAAAACACCTGTTCCATTATCCTTTAAGTGACCTAGTGGTACAGTCACTCTTTGCTCTACAGTAAAAGAGACCAGTCTTCATGCAATGTAGTGTAGATCCTACTCTCTCAGGACACATTTTTTTTAAAGTACTTAGTTATCAATCTTTCTTTGAATGATTGCTGCTTTGAGGATTCCATAGTATTAAAATAAGGGGATTTCAGTGACAATACCAGTTCACAGGTGATTATACATGAGGCACTGAGATGTTTTATTGAGCTGCCAGTGTAGTTACTGGGGTTATAGTAAAAGGAGAAGATGGCACCAAACAGTCCAATCTCTTGCGGGCAGTGCAGGTAGAATGGCGATGAAAAGGCATGTAGGAGAACAGGAAGGTAGTAGGTAAATATTGAGTATATATCGTATTCAGTAGCACCAGGAGAAAGAGAGTGTGAGTGTGAGTGTGAGTGTGAGTGTGAGTGTGAGTGTGAGAGAGTGTGAGTGTGTGTGTGTGTGTGTGTGTGTCAGTGTCAGAGGGTCTGCACTATGACGGGATACAGTAGAGACATGTGTTCAGCTCCTCTGATTGGCAGCTTGTGTGTAGTGTAGAAGTGGATGACCTCGGGGATGGTGGAGAAGGGAGGGCTGTTCTCTCCGAGCACATAGCGCCTGTCTGCAGAGCGAGTGAACTTCATGTGCATGAAGCCCTTAAAGCTCCTGTGAAGAAGGAGGGAAACGGATTAATATGTGTTTGTTGTTTGTGACATTTACAAAAGGGCATTTATGGGAACACACATTCCTAAAACCAAATGTGGTTTCTTGGAGTGAAGTGTTGCGGCGAGCGAGTAAAACCATCTGGAGACATGTCAAGGTATGCCTCTGAAAACAATTATGGGAACGCATTCTATTCTGGGGAAAGACGAAAGTTGTTACCGAAAATGTGTCAATGTTCTTAATCTTGTTAGGACGTCCCTATGGCTTAGGCTGGGATGTATATGCGAAACATCAACACAACACCCTTTGTTCAAATACTGCAGGGGGCTTTGTTGTATATTTTCATGCCACTTGTTACCCGTCATCTCTCCACTACTGCTCCCTTATTAAAAGGCATACATTACCCGAAATAAAAAATGATGACTCAGTGGGGTCCCAAATGGCTGTGGAATGAATTTGTTTGTAATTTGCAACAAATGTACTTTAGCTTGGAGAGTTTTACCATGAATCATTACCATGTTGTTATTAGGGCTGTGCAATTAATCATATTTTAAGCTCGATTACGATTTTGGCTTGCAACGATTACGAAAACAACGTAATCGAAATAAAACGATTATTTTTATTTAAAAAAAAAAAAAAAAAATGTAATCACTTTTTTTTTTTTTTTGGTTTTTCAGTTGAATTATACTTAAAGTTCAGGGTAATCAACTGTTAAAAACATACTGTTCACATTTTTTCTTTCAATAAATGGATGTTTTCAAAGTAAATGGATAATCGTTTTTAATAATCGTGATATCAATTATTGACCAAAATAATCGTGATTATGATTTTTGCCATAATCGCACAGCCCTAGTTGTTATTATATTCATCTCCTATGACGTTTGCGAAATGTCATCAATATTTATAACACTGATGTAAACTCAGATTGATGAATATGTCTTATCAACTTTATCTAACATTCTTACTGCTTTGTTGGCTCTTTAGAGGATTGTTGAACATAATTATTATAACACTGGACTAGAAAATAATCCACAGAGATCCTAGAAACATCTTGTATTTGTAATCTGATCTATTCACTGGACACCTCCGATCACTATTCATGCCTTTTTGTTTTGGTTGGCTACATACATGAGCGTTCAGCTTGGTTTAATCCACTAACATTAATGAGTACAGACGAGAGATAAGTCCCAGCACGCAGAGGATCACTGGAAAAACAGCTGCTTTCATGCTAATTATTCATAAGTGTTCATAAGTAAAACACACTTGCAGAGAGGAGTGGGGGATGGGGGAAGGAAAAAGCAACACAGATAAAAGCGCCTATATGGGAAGAGAGATAAAGGGAAAAGGGCGAACAATGAAAAGCTGCCTTAGGGCTCAAGTCTGAGAAGATTAGCACCACCCACAGACCAGAAGAGAAGCAAATGAGGCAAATCGGATCATTTTGGAGACATTACAGTGGAATAGGATTCCCCTTTAAGAGAATGCAATTTTGAATTGAGACAATATGAGAAGCAGTTTTTTGGGGGGTGGGGAGTCCAGTACAGCTTGCAATAAAACAAAAAGAGGCTACAACTGTAAATGAGACCCAGAATGTGCATTAAACTCGTTGAAAGGACGAATGTGGGACAGCAACGATCTGCAGCTGGACTGTGAGAGTGTGAGAAGGAGAGTTTACCTGAGAGAGAGCGAGTACTCGTTCCTGCCGGTCTGGCTGTTCCTCACCAGGTACGAGCTCTCCTTGCACAGAGTCAGCAGACTCTCTGCCTCCGAGCGGCTCAGGGCTCCATGGTACCACCTGCAGAGACCAGGAGGAAACAACAGAACACTGAGATCCATGCAGTGTAACTCAGGGACTATTGCTAGCTAAGTTGCTTCAATACTGAAACCGCTACATGGTACAAACATTGTGTGTCTGCAATACACTACGACGATGACAACAGGCATGAAAGAAGAAGGAGTTGTAAGTCGACATACTTTAAAAACAACTCTTGAATTCAACAGATCTTATTGTATCAATGCAAATTAAAAAAAAGGTACGGTAAGCTGTTCCTAGCAATGGAAAACGTAATTGAAAAGTCCCCTCCCAAAAGGATGCTGAACTCATTAGAGCAAATTAAATATTGTGAAGAAAAGTTAATGAAACATAACAAAACAGCAAGCAGGTCTTGATCCCACTTAAATATGTGCCAAGTATTTTGGATTTCCATAGGAGTTACTGCAGCTTCCACTTTGCATGTGAAGTGTTCAGTGTGTTACATCTACCCGTGTTTACAGGTAAGCTTTCAGCAGCGTCAAAACAACTTTCACTGATTTTCTGTCTAAATGTGTCGTTTGAATGCTTAAATAGCAGACTGACTGTTGGACATTGCGATATGTGGCAGTGATTTTGGTGATTCATGTATCCGGTAAATGTGCATTCCCACTATGTTGCAACAGTTTTATCTGAGACTGCAAAAAGTAAGCTTCCTTTATTTACCATAAAGCTCACACACAGTTGATTTCCATAAAGAACAAAATGGAGAAATAACAGTGTACGACAAAAGTGAAGAAAGATGATAATTGCTCTTGAACAATCATTGTAATAAAAAATTAATCAGAGGAAAACATGTAATAAGAAAACAATAAAGAAATTAAACCTTTTATTTTGATCAATATCACACTGTAAAGTCATTTCCTCTCTATGCTCATATGTCGAGTCATGAAGCCATTAAAAGCTAATATTTCCCCACTAAGGATGAATAACACATTACCACATTTCCCCACCGACACAGAAAGCCCACTAAGGAACCATGGGAAAGAAAATCAATATCATCCATAACCCTTCAAACATCACCATCATACAGTAGTGTTATTGGAGCCAGAAAGGTTTTCTCAGCAGCATGTTTGCTTAAATTGCCACACAATTCTTGCTGAAAAATGAATGTAATACGGCCTAAAGTCCTTACCTTCCATTGGTATGTGCAATTACAAACCAACATATGTTAAAAACTCTCATGTTCCTCTGTTGTTTTGATTGGTTGATATCTCAGCTGAACTTTGATATACCTTGTCTAATTTATGCAATGCATTAGTATACTATCTTTTTCATTTTTAAATCTGATTACATTTTCTTTTTTATGCAGTTCTTTCCCCAATGTTCTACACTTTTCCTCTTTGTTTGAAAAGTGTTAGAAATCAACTTATATAGGAGTAAGTCTTTTAGAAGCTCTAAAAAATTATATTTTCAAAAATGTTTACCCAGTGGGAGAAAAAACAAAACAATAATCCAGGTTTTTAAATCTATGTGATGTGGGTGAGGTTATCAAATAAAATGGCACTGAAATAAAAACAGCAGAAATGATCTTTGAACATTGCAGATGTACACTTACACTTGTCTCTCCAGCGGCATAAACGGGTCCACTCTCTCTCCCAGGAGAGGAGGAGTGTCTCCCACCAGACGCAGTGTAGTGGACTCAGACGCTGTAGAACAAGTGCCCGTCTTGGTGAGCCTGGTCTGATCTGTCTGAGCCCGCGAGCGCTCCCTTTCTGCCCCTTCAAACTGAACTATGGCCAAAAAGAACCATACAGTATGTTAAAAAAGAAAAAAAAGAGTATTCAAGACAACAGATACAGATTGAGACATCGAGTTTACCTGCTAGAGCTTTTGAGATGTTGTCCTTCTTCCACTCCCAGGGCTGGTCGTACTCGTCCGCCGGCCTCTCATCATCCTGAGGCAGCCTGCTCTCCCTGCCGTCTATCGGGGGGAGACCGCCCTCAACGCGCTGAGTCAGCTGCTGTGTGGCTGGATTGGCTCGGTGCTGGTGGCGAGTCCTCTCCTCGTACGGGTTATCGTAGATTTGGCCCCCATCTCCACTCCCAGACCTGTTAGTCATCATGCTGTGCTGCAGCTCTGCACAGTAAACAAAGAGTACATTAATTCCAGCACAATTTTAAAGGTCCCTTTTTTTTAAGGTAGGACTAGGTGATAAATTAATACTTTGAATCAAAAATGACAAGTGCACGCAGCGCTAATTTAGAAACAGTGCCTTTAACCCATACAGTCTATGCTTTAAACAGGCCAGACTTCTGTAACTTTGTGATATCCAACTATACCAACTATGCTACAAATAAGTAGAAGTGCCACTCCAGTGCTGCTATAATCACTCCCTGGCTGCATGGATGTAGCAGAGGCCACAGGGCATATTTGGAAAAACACTGACCAATCAGAGCAGACTGAGCTATTTTGAGAGGGGGATTAAAGAGACGGGAAATAAAACTGAGCTTTTCAGACAGATGGCGAATACAGATATATTCAGACAGACAGTATACGAAAACACTGTGTTTGTTGTAGTAGAAACTGAGAATAAAAATGTCACTTTCAGAAGAAAAAAAGCATGCATGCACTGTGAATATAGTCTAAAATTGTAAATATTCCAAGAGGAACCTAAAATGTGAGGGGGGAAAAGATCGCAAAACAAACCTGAGATAATCCTCTGGGCCTCAAATGGCTCCATATAACTGCAGCAGTCGGTTGGTGCAGATTTTGGCTCCCAGTTTGGTCTGCCTCTTGGGTCTGGACGGACATCAAATGGATCAGAGTAGTCGGTTTCAACGTCCGACGCTGCTGGGGCAGAGGGAACCACCTTGAAATGGAGAGAGGAACAAAGCATCTCACTTTGTGTGTGTGCTGTGTGTGTGTGTATATTTGTGAATTATGAAAGGGAAAAAGCAAGGAGGGTGATGTGCCAGAAAAAATGAAAGCTGATCACAAATAAAAAAACGGTTCTTACAGGTTCCTCCTGTATAGTCACAGGACTGAGGGGGACTTTACTGCAGCCAAACTCCTGAGAGTCCACTTTAATAAGTCTGTGCTTGGGAGATACCACTTTCACCTGAAACACAACACACACAACTTTAAATTAATCTTCAACACTCATTGTCCAAGTGAGATGAAAGTCTACATTGTCAACATCTAAACAGTATCTGGTAAAACATTTTCAAGACAATGAAACTTTGCTGTAAATGCAAACTTTTTTTTGTATTCACGTAAATGACTGTAAAAACATACATGCCATACCTCCAGACCGCTAGGCAGCACTGAGTCGAATGCAGGGAAAGAGGGAAGGCTCACTGTGGCCTTACAGGGGCTGAAACCACCATTCTGACGCTCCTTATCACAGTGTTGATACGGGTCCTCAAAATCTAGCTCCTTCTGAGCTCTGTAGGCCCTCAAAATGTCACTCTCACTGTAATCTGGCCTTGGGACCTGCGGAGGGTCACGCCTGGAGCCAAAGTTTAGGTAGTCCTTCAGCCACTTTGCCATGGATCTGGGAATGAAGTGGCATATAGATATGTTAGAATAATCTACATTATCTTTTTCAATAATCAATTGGGACAATATAAGTTGCTTCTGTTAATTAATGATGGATATATGGTATCGAGAACAATGAACTAAATACCAGACAAATGGTAAAACTGTAACCTTGAATTAAAGTCTTATAAGTAAAGCCAGCGGTGGAATGTACCTAAGTACATTTACTCAAGTACCGTTGAGTGCGCTACTTGTACTTGACTTGACTATTTTCACATTATGCTACTTTATACTTTTACCAGACTACATTTTATAGGCACATGTTGTACTGTTTTACTCAACTACATTCATTTTACAGATATAGATACTTTGCAGATTTAGATTATTATTATAAAATATAAATCGACTAATACATTATCGTGTATTTCCATTGGTTAATCTACCCAGTAGTGTATAAAGTAATCCAGATCAAGTGCAACATTGAAGTGATGAACATATTAATGCACCACTAATTATAATATATTATTATAAAAATATAAAAGTGCCTAAATGGGCCATTCTGCATAACAAATACTTGTGGTACATAAAGTATATATTTGATGCCAATACTTGTGTACTTTTACTTAAGTGCAATTTTGATTACAGTACTTTTACTTGTAACTTGGTATTTTTTACATTGTGGTATCGCTATTTTAACTTCAGTAAATAATCTGAGTATTTCTTCCACCTCTGAGTAAAGCAGGCTAATGATCACAACGAGATTTGTATTCAGTTAGCATACATATCATTGGCTAGAGTTGTTAAATCCCTCTAAAATCTGGCAATGCCCTGAGAAATAAAAAGGTATTGGCATTAATCAACAGGTCCAGGAGAAATAAAATGTCCAGCACCTCAGACTTAACATTATTAAATGCAAGATGACAGTGAGCTTTTAAAGGTCAGCGCTAGCAATCTTGCTAAATCAGAAAATCACAACAACCATTGACAATAGCTAGTTAGCATCAGGGGGTAAATTAGGGGATTCAATCAATCAAATATTAATAACAGCAGATTCAAGATTTCCTTTCAAAGTATCAGCACCAAGCGTAATATTTGACAAACGCTTATGTTATGTTATATATTTAAAAAAAATAAAGGGTTAAAGAATTATGAGTCGTACAACTGATAGTCAACACTGTTGTTAATATGCCAAAACTAGCTTAGCCAAGTTAGCCGGATAGCATCTAACGTCGAAGCGTTCCAACCATTTACTAACTGCTAACGGCTTTACTTCTTCACGCTCACCCTCTTTCGTTGCATTGACGGTTCCCGGTCCAGTTACGTCTTTCTGCTAACCATCCGGCGTTTCGTTTTTTTTTCACGTTTTTAGGACTAAGAATAAAACATTGTTATCCGTGAAATCCGTCCTGCTGCCTCTGAGCCAAGCAGGTCAGTCAGCTAATGTTAGCCGGACAAGACGGTGGAGCAGACCGAGACACAACACTCACTGACGGCGGGCTTAAAGGGGAACACTGCGATGTTTTAACTGTGACGACATTAATGCAGATATCACTGTGGCTTGATCCACAATTACAACCATTTGTTTTACAGATGCAGAGACCGTAATGTGGACTGTTTTTGGTGGAAAGAAGTAAGTAAAAGTAGCAATACTAGTGTACAAATACTCAGTTACAAGACAAAGTACAAAAGTATTAGCATTAACATAAGTTCCAAAAGTAATAGTACTCGTTATTGAAAATAGCCATTTTAAGCACCAGATAGCACTAGTTTGTTTTAAAACATGATTGCTGCATTAACGTGTTAATCTCTTCAATGTTGCACTTGGTAAAGGTGGGGTTTACTTTAATGACTTTATACACTACTATGGGGTAGCTAAACCTATACTATTATAATATAGTGTGCGTTGATTTATATCTTGTATTAATAACCTAAATCTGCAAAGAAACTAGTAACTATATATGTAAAAAAAGATGTTGTGGAGAAAAAGGTACATTAGCCTACAAAATGTAGTGAAGTAAAAGTATAAAGTAGCATAATGTGAAAATACTGAAGTACATAGTGTGTTCATGCATTAACATACTTAAAAGGTGGAATACAGTATTAACATAATACAAATAAAAACAACAGCAAATATAAACATATCTACAGTAGAAAATACACATATCACAAGTAATACATAATAAAAGTAATAATATTCTGGATAAATTACAATGTTCTATAAAAGACCAAAATACTACAGCAACATAAATAGATTTATACTACAGGAAAAGAAAGGATTTTAAAGAAAGGAGCAAAATATAGTACTATTATGAAAGCTATTTGACAAAACTATTTTTAAAGACTATTGTAACACGTAAAAAAAGGCAATATTTTACACAAAATATAAATATGTAAGAAACTGACTACAGTAAAGTAAAATATGACATTGGAGATTCCCCTCTGTATTCAGACTAAACCAGGAGGGTTTTATAAGAGGAAAATGGCGTACATGTGACAAACAGATAAGACATTATCTCTTTGAATTTAACCCAGCCGTATAAAATATAAAATCACAATCAACGATGCAAAAAGAATGATGAATTACATAATACTTTTATTAATTTTTTGGAATCATTGCAAGTTTATAGTTGATTCTTCTTATATTCCTGTCTCTGACGTACATAAATCAATGTATTTGTGTGCCAACTGACATTTTGTGGCACAACAATATAAAAACGACATATTCAGATTCCACATTTAAGTTTTATGAGAGACATTAAAGGACGTCAAAGCATGTCAAGGACACCGGGTTGAATACAACCCATTTTAATAAACATTACAATTTAAATCTGATATTCTCACAGGGCGAATACCACTTGCATGGATTCAACGTGTCCATGAAACAGTGGATTGGCTAAGAAATCATTGTTTTGTTCACTGGGTTTGGTCCACAGACAATATAATTCCCACTAATGAATGCCTGCCAACACATTGACTTCATCATTAACTTCTTTATAGAAAGGTTTTCATAGGATAGACCCACAGACTGGTTAACATATGACGCTGCTTTCTGTGCAGATTACAAAAAGGTCCACATCATAATATCCTTGATGCATCATTTATACAATTGTATGTCAATCAATCAAATCAAAAACCACCCGAGCAACTTTTCATTCGCTGTCATTGCTGTCACTGTCTGAATACGCCCCCAGCAGGCTGAGAGACGATGACCCATTTTGTGTGGTAACAGGCTTGGAGGCATTCTTAGAGTCAGTCGTAGATGCCTTTGAATCTGAAAGACAAAACACACAAAGATGTGCTCATAGGTTTAATGAAGAAATAAAGTAGATAATGGCTTATATATCAGAAGATTTTAATTTACGCTGTGTGAGATACTGATGTTTACCTGTTTGTGAAGTGGGGGCTGAAGCTGCTGCCACTGGATGGGGTTTGAGGAAAATCGCTGCTGGTTTCTTTCGCACAACCACCAACCCAAGTGCCCCTTTACCTCCCAGTGTCCCCACACTCCTCTCCCAAGTCTCCACCTTGGCCTTCTTCACTCCTCCAGCTGAGGGTCCCTGTGAAAACATGGCATTTAGTATTTGCATCGTTGTTATTGTCAACACTGCAGCATTACTGTTAAACCCATTTCAGTAAATGTTTTAGCTAATATAGAAACAAGAACTAAACTAAAAACAGCATTCTCCAATTAAATCTAAATTAAAACTCATTGAAACTATTATAACTTTGCTGGTAATGCGATGTTTGTGTCACAGTGTTCAGCACTAAGGGCAATAGTTCATCAATGATGTGTATACAAAACAAGACATGGTTCTTTTTTGGCAAAGAAGGAGAAGAAAGAGAGCATAATGAGTTTTTAGATGAAGACTTTCATGCAACAGGATGGATATCTTGAGGAGTATAACAAAAAATAGGCTTAAACAAGCTATGACCAATATATATATAAGTATAGAAGATTCATTTGTTGAATGTGAGCGGTCATCGTACCAATGCCTCTGTGGGTTTGAGTGTGGTGAGGATGTCTGTGGGTTTGTCTGTGCTGGGTTTCTTTGCCTGCGGGCCGCTGCTGTCCTCCTCCTCCTTCTCTGAATCAGAGTCAGAGTCTCTGAGTCTCTTTACGAGGGCACGATCCAACATCTCTCTGTGAAACAATTCACACACTCAGTTTCAAGTGATTCCCACTGATTATAAGAAGAATACACATGACTAAAGGATGAAAGTTTCTATGTATCTAAAGCATTTGGCATTGTGTATTTTAACCTTTCCTCACTCACTTTGTCTCTCGCTCATCCTCTTCTTTCTCTCGTTCTTTCTCCCTCTTCTCGAAGTCTCTGTAGCGGTCGATCATGCCCTCAAAGTCCACCTGAGCCTGCCTCTGGTTCAGCTCCTTCAGCTCCTGCAGGTTCTCCAGGACCTCCATCTCCATCTTTGAATCCTTTGTGCGGTTCTCCAACACCTGGAAGAGGATTGGGAAATCATTAACTTTTCATTCCAATTGCCAAATAAAAAAACACACAAACCGTAAATTCCATTTGAACACTGACCTTCATGGGGTTGTTCAGTTCCTCCTCTTCCCTGTCCTGTACGATTCTTTTCTCCTCCTCCTCAAGCAGTTTCTCTGCCTGGAAGTTCCGCGTTGCACCGTGCTCCATTGCATAGTCTGTGTTCTCAGGGTCAGTCTGTGGTCACGTGATAAGAAAGTGTGAGAGATTATTTTATGCATAATGCTTGTAAGTTGATAAAAATAGCACTGACACAGCTCTACATTAACCTTTAATGTAGAAGTATTTGTCTAATTTGAATAAATATTACAGTGATAATCAGTCTTTTAAATACTCTCACCTTAAATGTGATCTCAGCAAGACATCGAGTGCATTTGATGTAGAAACGGAAAATGGGCAGTCCCATGTACAGCTCGTTCATAACGGTCTCTTTACGTGCATTGAACTTCTTCCCCTTGTAGATGTACTCGCCACATGTTTTACACCTGCAAACAACCAGAGAAGCATTACTGAAGACACCATAGTCAATGTGTTCATTACCAATTTGTAACACCCTTTCAGTGTACTACGTTCTTTAAACTATATTCAGAATTAGAGCTGAAGATGACATTATTTACCAAGTTTAGCTTATCAGAATCTCTTTGGGTTGGATGGTGAATATAAATACATGGTAGCTAACAAATGTTATTGTTCAATATTGACATTGGCCTCAATAATCACATTTTGGTAGAGGGTTATCCTGAATTATACCATTAATGGACATGGATAGACAGAACCTGTGATTTGATGTCACAGGCTAAGGTTTAACTGTGAAAGTAGGTAAATAGAGCACAATTAAGGCAGCAAATTAAATAATCGAACAATTGCTCACTTTCTTTCTTACACTTGCAGGATAAGAGAATGAAAGACACTTAGGTGTACGGACCTTATATCCCCAAGCTATTAAGATCAAATCATGGAATTGCACCAGGATGTAAATATTTAAATCAATTGTACTGTGTTGTTTTTTTTGTGTGTATTGAAAACAGCACACTTGACTGTGTAATGTTATATTTTTGACATTACTGTGAAGCATGGATGAAACACACATACCTCATATTGAATGGAGCCATCAATCTGACCACATACTGACGATCTTTGGGGAGTTTAAGCTTTGGGATTTTGCATGGATCAAAATCCGGGGGGTAGTATTTCTGCGGAACACAAAACAGAGATGAAAGTGAATAACAAGCCAATGTGGCGCTATTTTATTTCTTTAGGCATTTTATTATTTCAAAAACGTCAGTGGTAACAATAGTTACTTAAGATGTCACAAATGCAAAGTTGAAACAATCATAACAACGCAAAGTTAACACATTCATCGCTAATGCTAATAGCTTGTGTAATTATCTTAACACCGCACTTAGCTTCAAAGCTAACACTAGCCTGGTTTCTTACACTGCTCAAACTGTTTAAAAAGAGAGGCAGACTGTTTATATACTTACATTTAATACTTTTCGTTCAGACATTGTTCCCTGTGCTAGAAACCCAACCTGAACAATGAAACGTTAAAAAAGATTGAGAATTATCTCCACAACACTGCTAGCTGCACTGGGCACTTCCGGTTTTGTCATTATTCACTTCCGGAGCTTCAGAGTGTGCTGCTGCCCCCCTGCAGGCGGGAGTGAGGAACTGCAACCACAGCCATTAAATGATTTTGGAATTCTTGCAAAATGCAGGGGGATAGGGAAATTATCAGATACATGCAGACAATCACAGGGAAGTGATTTGTTTTAAACAAGTGTATTAAGTAGAAATATTGACTTGTTATATTAATTTGTTTAATGTCTTGTAATTGCATTGTTGAGGAATCTGTGACCCACAGTTTTCATTTATTACACAACTACACTGATATGATAGGACATTAAACCTTTGAATTTTGAATCTTGTCTGTTTGAATGACTCCTTCAACAGGTTTCAGTTCATATTTAATCAGGATAAGATGCGCGTTTATTTATTTAGGTTCACAATTACATTCATCCATATAATACATGTTACATTGATTAAAAGTATAATTGAGTCACCTTTTTTTAATTCAAAAACATCCACCTTACTGTCTTTTCTACTAATAAAATCAATACTGGCGTTTGTAAAACCATTAACCACTCAAAACCATCACATTACCATGATAGACATCTTAAAATGTGGATGAAAAAAATCAGTTTTCAAAATTCAGTTACAAAAGTACATAGCCTGCTGTACTTGCTTGTTCTGGCACATACATATGTAGCCTATATATAATATCGTCACCTTCTTAAACTAATGGCCTAAGTCATATTTTGGAGAAAATGTTTTTTTTGCCTAAATCATCATCTTCTTGATGCTGGCCACCTCTGGTAAAATTATTATCCTTATTGAAAGGATAGTGCTGTTCCTACCCTGATAGTATAATGGCCTATGTCAAGAGTGTGACTTAGGCCATATATTTAAAAAAGATAATTGTCTTGTGACTTAGGCCATTTTACAAGCTTTACAAAATGGCTGCTTCAAGAAAAAGAAAAACTAACAGATAAATTAAGTTATTTTCATGGTTCAGGGCTCATCCCCTGTTGGTAAGTGATGTTATACTATACTATACTATAGGCTAGGCTATACATGTTGTGTAGTTATTTAGCCTTTTACTTTCACAATTTATAGTTACTGTAGCTACCGAAGCTATACTGTAGGTATACTTTACTGTAGCTACTGTAGCTCCATGAAGCATGCACACATTTCCCTCTGGGACAATAAAGACTAATCTAAAACGAATCTAACCTTTCAAAAGTAACGGTTACAATTACTGCATAATTATGCATTAGGAAAAGTACATTTCAATTCTTAATATTGTATTATTGTGTCCTTTTTCCTTTGTCCTTACGAAAGATTAAATGTTTTTTTAATTGAATTTGGCCAAATAATATTCATCAAAATAGCTTTAATGTATTAATACCACAGTGCAATTACAAAAATGTTTTTCATAATGATCACACAGTTGTGACTGTACGCCTACTCCTTTTTGGTAGGAGATGCACTTGACTTTTCCGACACCGATCAGGAATCATCCAATGAAAATGAGACCGTTGTTAAAGAGGTGGAGCAGCATGTACCAGGCCAAGACCCTGTATCAGATGGAGCAGACAATAACTTAAACACTTTCATTGAAGAAGAGAGTGTTGCTGAAGATGCCAAGCAGACCCGTCCACACCATGAAGAAGACACAGATGATGATGATGATGATGATGATATTATCATAGACCCAAACTACAATCCATCCTCTGATGAGTCCTCTGTCCCTGAAAATGAAGACAGTCTGGCAGCAACTTCAGAACATTATGGTCCTCATCTAGAGGATGTGTATGAAAACAATACGGTCAAAAGGAAACAACATAAATCCCTCAGCCCAGAAACATGGAAGCAAAATGAATCCAGGAAGAAACGTCTCAAAGGAATGGCCAAAGGTGGCAAAGAAATAGCTGCAAAGGCTATGGGCCTTCCCTGCAATTCGAAGTTCTGTCAACGAGTCACAACTCGAGACTGTCAATCCATTACAGAAGAGCAGAGGCAGTGAATATTTCAGAAAGTTTGGTCAATGGACAACTGGGAAGAACATACGTCACCACTTTGGTCACAAAGGTTGCCATGAAGCAAAACAAAGAAAGTTGGTCCAGGCGCAGTTCATACTTTTCCTACCAACTGAAACTTCAGGATGGAACGAATCTTAAAGTGTGCAAAGCTTTTTTTCTTCTACACTTGGTACCCCTGAAAGAACCATTACACTGGCTGAACAAAGACACCATCGACCATGACGAACAAGTGGCAGACCCGCCAACTACATCTCGACCTAAGAGTGGCAAAAATGCAAAGCTGGAAACTGCTGTCACAGATTTCCTTAAGGACTGGTTGAAGGATCTGCCCACTGTTGATTCGCACTACTGCAGAAGCACAGCGACCTACAAAGACAAGAAGTTCCTTCACCCAGGCACAACCATCTCCCAACTACATCAGGAATATCAACAGGCAGCTGCAACTGCTGAAGTTGACGCTCTGCCAATCAAGGAGAGGAAGTTTCAGGACCTTCAGTCCATGAAACATGTCATGCCCGTCGAGTGCCATCAGCTTTTTGACAATTTGCCACACACACACACACACACACACACACACACACACACACACACGCACACACACACACACACACACACACACACACACACACACACACACACACACACACACACACAGAAAAACTGATTTAAAGGTCCCATGTCATGCTTTTCTCGTTATTACCAGTCCCCTTGTGTGTTATGTAGCTTTGTCTGCATGTAAACGGTCTGCAGTGTCAAAAACCCTCAAAGTACACCCTGTAGCGAGTAAAACTCTAACACAGAAAAGACCTTTCTATGCTCCAACAAGGTGTGTAGGACAGAGAGTGAATACACATACTATACAGAGATGCTGTATGAGAAACCAATGTGATTTTGGAACATTGAACAATGTAAATCTATTCTAGTAGACCTCAACAATGGAATTATGATCAGTAGAAATGGCCATGTCATGGGAACTTTAAATGGAAAAGGGTTAGCTACAATTAAAAACACAGCAAAGAAGAGCTGGAGGGAGTAGTGAGGAGAGGCACATGCCTCCTCAGCGTTTGATTTACTTGCCTTTTGTTTTATTTAGCTAAGAGTGATTTAAGTTGTACCTTTTGAGTTTGCTATATTGAATTAAAGGGCCAACCACGGTAACTGCCCTCTGTTTTCTGAGTCTCTGTATGCTCTTCTAGCATTTTAAACTGTTAGTGGCTGACCCAGCCCCATGGTCTGTCACAGTAGTGCGGAAAAGAGAAGTGCACTGTTTTGCCTAAGTCACTTACTCCAGAAGTAATAAGGCCTAAGTCAGGTTTCAAATTGCCTAAGTCACAACAACATGTTCGTAAATTGGCCTAAGTAATCTAATCCTCTTATTTTACACAATTGACAGACAGTGTTATTTGTATGTCAATAGTCATATATTGTCATAACCTTTTTGTGTGAAATAATTAATATATATCATATATTCTATATTTGGTTCAGTTTTTTCAGTCATTTGAAAAACTTTCAAATATGACTTAGGCCATTAGTTTAAGAAGGTGACGATATACAATAATAATATATTGTTTCAAAAACTCCAGATCCAGATCTATAAAACATGTTTTTTTCATTGCATATATTCACCCTGAATGAGTCATAGGCATTATTTATTGACCACTGCCCTCCATTCTTCCTTGGCCTTGGCTTTTTCAGGAGACAGGGGAGAAAATTGGGATCAACATGGTGAAGTAATGGCCCCTCAGGTGTAACGGTGATTGTCATGAGACATGGGGTCTCTGACAGGAGTGGCGTGTAAACATATCCTTTAAGGTTATTCCTACAGAAGGAAATTGGATCCTGATTACAGATTGGTGTCACTGTGGGTTAACCTGAGCTCGGGTTTATTGGACAGAGGTGACAAATGAAGTTAGAATCGTTTAGCAGCAAGACAGGGAAGGAAAGGTTTGTGTCAGGACTCGGGTTAACCCAGTTAGGTTTTAGAAAATGTATAGTGTTGTGTTGTTCCTCAGTTGATTTGACAGTTCACATTCAGATACACAGTTTTGTTCATGGGTTTATGTTCTGTATTATCTATTGTCTGATTCTGACACATCAAACTGACTCATGAATGAATCAGAGGTATGTTTAACTGAAGAGGACTACTTTGCAAACAAATAAAATAGTCATAAAGTAAGAACAAAGTGAAATTAGATTGTAAGCATGTGATCAAAGTTTGATTCCTACACAGCCACTAGATTACGTTATCAAATATGTTTTATGAAATGTAAATCCACCTTTAACCCTCCTTGATTTCCTCCTGCCAGGTCACTTCCGCCAAAGATACAAAGGTGTTGAGCAGTGTCACCGCCGGTAAAAATGGTCATTAATATTTCAGAGGGTGGCTGATGTCAACAGCAGCCTGTTTATATAAAGAGGGGTCTCTCTGTAGACCTCCAAACCTCCACAGATCCACCGCAGACTTCTCACTTTTCTCCCCCGGTAAAGAGAAGGCTGCTCCTGTTTTTGTGTCAGCACCATGGTCAGCGCTCGGGCTCTCTTCCTCGCGGCCACCTGCTGCTGCGCCTACCTGTGGCTCGCTTGTGCAGAAGACTCCTCCCTGGAGACGCGCTCATTGGAGTTCCCCCTGAAAACCCAACAGGAGAAAGACCTGGTAAGAGACTTGACCAGGAACATGGGTGTGAAATGTGTCAGCAGAATGAACGAAGCCTTTGGTTGCTATGTGTCGATAGAGCATTTCATTTGTTGGATACATTAATAATGAAGGATACAAAAAAACAGCACAGTTTTTTTATGAAAATGTCACGGTTTGCCTTTTTTTCTCTGCAGATTGACGCCTTGCAAGAAGTTTTGGTGAAACTGAGAAGCAAAGAGATGCCCTTAGAGAAAAAACATGGCTGGCTGCCTTCGGTATGTAACATTAAATGTATTACTTGGGAATGGGTTACTTTCAATATCTTCTTTTTTTTCATTACATTCTAAAACACGTATGCTCAGGTATAATACTTTTCTGAAATATTATTTCTCCGGCGCATAAGACGAAGCTGTGTAAAAGGTAGATAATAATTGTATAATTGGCGTTTGAACTTGGAATCAAAGCATATGATTACTTTCTGACTTTTTTCTTGCTATAAGACTACTTTAGACATTTCTGTTCGTCGATTAAGAAATGAAGTGTACAACCTGCATTTTCATACATTTATGTTGTTTTTATTGTTTCAGTGTGACGCTGGAGAGCCGTGTGCCGTGCGTAAAGGCGCGCGCATCGGCACGCTATGCAGCTGCCCCCGGGGGACTTCCTGTAACTTTTATGTTCTCAAATGTTTGTAATGAAATAATTCTAAGAAAAAACAGGAGGGATGTATTAAGTATGAAGTGAACAAATGTAATGCCACTGTCATTGTGAGAAAAATAAATGTAACATGTGGTTATGCCTAAAGGGCGATTTTCTTTTATAAACGTGGATTATAATATAGGTTTTTAATAATTGTTGTTATTTTTCTATGTAATGTCTTTGTTGTTATATGGAGAATCAAGTAAAGCCGTCCTAGCATCAGTCACCATTTAAACACATTTGTAAGATACGGAGGTCAATAAATCAACTCAAGTGTATATGTGTCTGTTGGACTGTAGTATTATTTTAAAAATAAAAATGTAACAGCTGGATATTTGTATTTTCTCCACAAACGTCACATGTTGCAAACTTGCTTTTTATTACATTTACAGCACTAAATCACTTAAGGGAATACAATAAAGAAAGATATATTGATTCCTTTTGCCACTTGTAATGAATAATGCAGCGTGTTTCTACACATTCACTAAAGGAGGTATTAGATCTTATACTTAAGTAAAAGTAGAAGTAGGCCTACCAGAGTGTAGGCATACTCTGTTACAAGTAAAGTCCTGCATTCAAAATGTTTCTCAACTGAGGTACAAAAGTATTAGCATCAAAATATTCTTAAAGTATGGCTACCAAAAGTAAAAGTATTCATTGTGCAGATTGGTCAATTTCAGATGAATATATTGTATGTTTTGATTGGAATTATTGATGTGAAGCTGATAAAGCTGGAACTAATTAATTATTTAATTTGAAGCTGGTGAATTCAATCTAGACTAAAGTCTTATTTTAGTGTTGATCATATTGTTTATCTAAAGGTACTACAAGAGAGTCAAGTATAAAGTAAAATATAATACAAGTAAAGTACAAGTAGCCTACCTCAACATTTAAATTAAGTACATTCCTTGATTACACGTATAGGCTTACTTAGTTACTTAATACCACTGCTGTTTCTACAGATTCACTAATGCACGATGCATTCCGGTACACCAGCTGTCATCCCTCGGTAATAAAAGGCGCTGTCAGCCTTTTTCAATGACATCATATCGAAGTGCAAGTTTCCAACATGGCGTCCAGCCGGGTGTCGGAGAGGGAGGTACAGGAGGAGCCGAGGCGCGTCGCGACCGCAAACCCCGACTTGTGCCTGCACAAATACTCCCTGCTCATCATCATAGGACGCACTGCTCACCCCAGACACGCGGGACACACCAGCAGGGACATTGAACGAGGTACGTGTCAACGCCCCTCACAGCGGCACCACGTAGTTTTCCTTTTATCTCTTTATTTGGATTCACAATTCAGACGCCTGCGAGTTCTCATCGCCTGAAAAATTACTGAAGATGCTACACAGACCCCACTGCAGTGTTTATGCAATTTTGTCCACCCTTACTGGCCGAGGATGCGTCATCTGGCGATTCTCCACCATCAGCATCACCTCGTCCCGCTGGGCACATTATAATTAAATGCAGTGTGATTTGTCCATCGCCTCAGTATATCGTTATGTAAGGTAAAGGTTTGGGGGAAATGTTGCATGCAGGATATTCAGTCAACACATAGCCACTTGTAAACGATGTGCTTGTACGTTTGTGTGCAGCGGTAGGCTTACTGGAGACTGCAGTATTAGACAGTACATGGCATAGCCCACAGTCTGCACATTTGAGTGCAGCATATTTATGCAAAACACTAGGCCGAGATAGATAAGGGAACATAAACGGGAACAGAAGGATAGATAGAGAGAGTGACAGAAACTCAGACAGACATGTTATTAATCTTCACAAGGCCTTTAACAATGTCATGACTGTCTAGTGAAGATAATGGGCTACCCTCAAAATGTCAGTATTTTAAGAGCTAAGAAAAGGAGCCCTCTTTTCAGCTTCATGCATTTTTCAAGTTTTCCCATGATGTTCCATCAACTGTGTCACACACTAAATTAAACCTGCAAACCACAGATCTGTTTTTTTTCTTATTTACAATTAGCTAGTGCTGCCTATTTACAAAATAATATTCAATCAAATATATTTTATCCCTTTTCTTTGAATAAGAAGGTTTGCGTCTATTTTTTTACAACTCTTCATCATCTAACCTGTTCCATGGTAAATTAAAGGATATATAGCAGAAAGAGCAATATACTTCCATTAAGGCATTATTATTATTACACATGATTTGCCGCTTAAAATACAACCCATATTTACAATGTTTAATCATTATAATTAGAATAGCCTATTCATAAATGTATTATTTTAATATCATAACACATTTAACTTGACATTTTATTTGGTACAAATTGACTGTTCATTTAAAATGTAATAGGCTTATATTTGTACTTTTACTTGCATAAATACAGAGTACTGTAACTTTTTACAATAACGATACATATACGATCATTGAATTTGCACATTAACAACCTTCACACCTTTAGTTTAGTTTATACGTGGACACTTTTGTGTTATTTATGAAAGATTGTGTTGTTTATGACAAAATAAACCAATCGTTGCCTCATGTATGTCTCCAGGTATTCGGTCATGGGACATCGACTTAAAATCTTGTGACCTGAATCTCTATCTCCAAGAATTTCTGTCCCAGCACACGGCATCTTTTAAGGGTGCGGGTAAGTAACTGGACGTCTTTTTGAGCCTTTCACACTCAGAAAGGACCGTCCCCAGGAAGGAAGGAAGGAAGGAAGGAAGGAAGGGAGGGAGCAGTCGGGTTATTGTTAAACATGGGTGGGCCTTTTGGATTTGAAACAATAGAGACCTGTTACCAAGTTGTGCCACAGCCTTTTTATATGCAGAGCCAAGGACAACTGGGGAAAATGGTAAAAATGCTGAAAAAACATCTGGGGTGATATTAAGTGACAAACACAGACAGACACAGACATCTCTTTCTATAGGGAGGACAAAATGGCAGCCAGAGAGGTGTCCTGTTTCTGGTAAATAGGCCCTCTGTTCATTTGGAGTACGCCAGTGCTCATGCTATTCATGAGAAAAAGAGAGGTGATTTGAAGAAATACTTCAACATTTTGGGAAATACACTTATTTGAGTTTTACTACGAGTTAAATAATAAGATCAATACCTTTATTGTAAAAAGTAGCTACAGCTATAGCACACTGGAACATGGAGAAACACATTTCATGGCTTTCTCTAAAGGTCACAAAGAACAAGCCCATCTACATTTCACTAAATAACACATCCTATTTTAAATTGTGTGCAAGAAATGTATTGTTAAAGGACGAACTGGATCTTTCTCTATCTTTAGACTGTGACTTTTAGTAGCCTTTACTGATTGCTTAGCAACTTCACAGTGACAATACTCCACACAACTGTATACAAATGTAAAAAATGTGATTCAGCGCTATAGACCGTCACAGCAGACACAATGGCCTGGGAAAGCAAAGATTTGAACAATAGCACCATGTCTCAGTAAGCCATTTCACTGAGTGAGTCTTACCTATGGCACGTAGCCATCATTAATGTTATTAATTTCAACAGTGCTTTTCCTGCTTTGACAAGCCAAACTCACTTCTGAAAAGAGAGTCCTAACAAGTAATGATTTTCTTTTTTATTTCTAACTTGACTCAAAGAAAAAGAAACTTTTGGAGCCTACTTATTTGAGTCATTATTTTCCAGTTGGCCGTGTCCGCCTCTGTGTCCTCAAACGTTGATCCAGTTCCCCTCAGACTGGATATTTACTTAATTTGACATTTCATCCGCAGACAGTACCCTTTGACTCAGCTGTTTCCCTCTTCTTCCTTCCTCCCTTTCTGCTGAGCGAGTCAATCTCAATTTACTTTCTCATTGACTTCTTTGACCCTCACCTATTTGCTTCTGGCCTCTCATATTCGCTCAGATCCCTTAGCTTGTTTTCAGATTCCCTCCGCTCAGACTTTTCTGCTTGTCTGCCCCTCTCTCTTTACTCTTTGTTTTTCTCTCTGCCTCCTCAGGGCAGAAGTGCCTGCGCCACAGAACCAGAGTGTTGGACACTCAGGTGCTCATCGGTCCATCTCAGGAACAGGTTCATTCAGAGGTGATACATCCTGGCTCCTTTAAATGCTTTTAAAATATATTTTAAGTCAGGTGTTATCATGTTGCAGAGATTAAAGTATTCTGATATATATTCATCAGCTTCTGATAAACATGAATAATATTTTTAAATGAGATCTGAGAACGAAGCAGGGAATACAATTTGAATATGCTAGTTTACATATAGATTCATATATATAATCATTTTCATATTTTTGCAGACTTTGTCTTACAAATAAACTGAAGTAATGAAATTGGAATGTACTGATAGCAACAGTGTTTTTGTTTGTTGATATTTGTAATGAAGAATCTGACGAATATTTGCCTGATTAACAAGCAATTAGTTTGATCTACTAACCTCAAAGAGACATTAAAACAAAGCTCATGTGGTTGAATGGCTTGTCCAAATGTGCAATATATTTAATTTACAATAATATAAAGCAGAGAAAATATAAAAAATGTTGCCTTAAAAATGTGATAAACATAATCTTAATAGTACCTGAATACTTTTATGCTGATTGTAAAGTAAAGTTATTCATTCCTATCCCTTCCTACTTTTTTCTCAAATTCTTTTTAAATATGGGGAATTAAAGCTACTTTGCAAAATAAAAATCTTACCCCCCCCCTCTCTCTCCAGGCGTTTGCTCTGCTGTCCCGGGAATCGGCTCATAAGTTGTTGATCTTGGCTGGCCAGAGCGAGGAGGAAAGTGGAGACCTTCTGCTTCACAGAGGACGGTTCTCTCCACAGCAGCTGAAACAAATCCTAACAGAGCAGGTACGACAAAGTCTCTCTGACTTTTATATCTGTGCTGATTATTGTAGAGATGATTGTAATCAGAAATGAGTTTGCTGATTATTTTCTTGAATATAAGGTTAATGAAATTGCACAAAACTGTGTCAATTTTTATTCTGATCAATCCCAAAAAAGCCAAAGATATTTATAGATACCTATAATAACATAAAAGCAGTATATTACCACAATCTGTGTTTATAATAAGATAATATAGATCGATTTTTTTGGGACTGTGAGCAAATAAAATAAATAAAAATACAATTTTGAGTTCTGACTTTAATCTCAGAATTCTGAAGAAAAAAAAAAAAAATACAAAAAACTTTTGGTCACATTCCAAAAGAAAATTCTCTTGTGGCCCTAATCCTTTCCCGTAAGTATGGCAATATTTAATACTACAGTAATGTTCTTTTTTTAGTTCATAGAAAAAGAGAGCTCTGCCTCCTCCAACAAACTCAGCCTGACTCTCAGTTGTCCCGACATCAGCCAGTGGAGCAAGAGTCTCTTGGGGAACCAGCAGGGTCCTCTCAGGCTGCTCATCAATCCCCCGGAGGTGCTGCCTGCCATGGAGGCCCTGGGGGAATTCACCTCCCTCATCTCTGGAACCCTTTCCCCTCCATCTCCCTTCGACCTGCTGCCCCCTCCCACCACCGTGGGTTTCCTCAAGCTGTCCCGCCCCTGCTGTTACGTGTTCCCCGCCGGCCGCGGTGACTGTGCCTTTTTTGCTGTTAATGGGTTCACATTGCTGTTAGACGGCGGCTCGGACCCTCAGGCCTGTTTCTGGAAGCTCGTCCGCCACCTTGACCGAGTTGATGCCGTGTTGTTGACGCACATTGGGACGGAGAACCTCCCCGGAGTCAACGTGTTCCTGGAGAGGAAGGTGGCCGAGTTGGAGCTGAGCTCTGAGATAAAAGGTAAGAAATAGAGTCAATTTAATCATATTGCCCAAAATTCTCTATAATTAGACACTTGGGGCTGAATTTTGAAATAACATACTCTCTTTTTACTTTTAGTATGTACTGCAGCTACACTTACAAAGTGTGTACTGTTGCAGGCAGTATGCGTACAAATAGGATTTCATAACATTGCACCTGTTAGCATGCTGGCTTGCATACTACAAAATGTGAACGGATGCAAAAAGACATTGTGGTACTTTTGGAGTACTGCAAAGATATTTTTTCTGGCATACTAAATATGTGGTAGTATGGGAGCATACAGCTAGTTTGGATGAGAGAAAACCATGTCAGGTGAAAAAAGGGAAACTTCTAAACAGCAACAGATAGATGGATAGATAGAATCGGAGGGATGAAACCCTCTTTACATTACATTGCATTTAGCTGACGCTTTTATCCAAAGCGATTTACAATAAGTGCATTTCGACCAAGAAGATACAAACTTGAAGAAAACAGAATCATATAAGTACATCAGGTTTCATAGAGCCAAAACATTTCAAGTGCTACTCAACTGGCTTTAAATAAGCCAGTCCTTTGTTAGTATATAAGTGCTTTGTTAGTAATTGTATTGCTCGAAGTGGAGTCGAAAGAGATGATCTTTAATGGTCACACATGCAGAGCACACTGCACACAGTGACATTTGGCCTCTGCATTTAACTCACCCTAGTAGTAGGAGCAGTGGGCAGCTATTGTACAGCGCCCGGGGAGCAATGGGGGGTGGGGGGTGTCCGGTGCCTTGCTCAAGGGCACCAATGCAGGGCCCAGGAGGTGAACTGGGACCTCTCCAAGTAGCAGTCCACACTCCATATTTAGGTCTGGTCGGGGACTTGAACCGGCGACCCTACGGCTCACAGTCCAAGCCCCTACTGACTGATCCACTGACGCTGTCGCTGATCTCACTGCAGAAAATGATAAAATGTTAAGATTTCTCTGAAGTCATCTTTACCCTTTTTTTGAAATCTCAAAATGTACACTTTTGAGTCTTAATCTTCTTTTATCTGAACAGATGACTCTTCTAAGAGGCTCATCTCCCCAGAGCTTGGAGTCGTGTTCTTTAACGCCCCCAGCAAGCTGCAGACGGAGGAACAGCCTTGTAAGTGATGATTAAAACATACCAGAGTAACTTCTAATGTGAGTGATAATCATCGAGTTAAGTTATCATTCTTCTCGTGACAGGTGAGGACAATGTACTGAAGAGCACCCACCAGGCGGCCTTAACCTTTCAGCTGTTGAAGAAGTTAGACATCAGGCCACAGCCATTGTTTCGCCCCCAGGGGAACCCCATTGAGCCGTTAACCTTATTCCAGAAGATGGGAGTGGGGCAGTTGGATTTATACATCCTCAACCCTGGCAAAAACAGTCAGGATTACCAGACATTTATGCAAAACTGGCCTGATGGGGAGTCATCCACATCCAAATCCCCAATCCTCCCCCTCACCGCCCTTGCCTCAGTTTCCGCCCTGCTTGTGTGGCACCCAGCGTGTCCCCAGGAGAAGGTTGTCAGGGTGTTGTTCCCAGGTGTGACCCCACAGGCACAACTACTGCAGGGGCTGGATAAACTCAAGGGCCTGACCTTCCTCCAGAAACCCACAGTTACCACAGGGGACATGGAGAGGCTTGGGGAGGACAGGAAGACGAAGAGCACAGAGAGTCAGGACAGTGGCAGGTCACAAGGGAAGGACTCAACACTCAAACAGGGAAGAGAAAGGGGAATTAAAGAGGAGGCCAAGGAGGTGCTTGTTAGGGATAAAGGAAAGGTTTTAAATGGATTCGCAACAAGAGATGCCGAGAAAACCAGAATCAAAGAGACAGGTGTAAAGCAAAAAGCGGCAATGTCAGAGAAGAACACCTCGAAGAAAGGAGGGAAGGATGGAAACAAGGAGGAGAAGCCTTTGAGCAAGGAGGAGAAGTTTGGAAAAAAAGAGGACATCGGTGTAATGAGGAATGATAAGGTAAAGAAAGATGTTCTCTCTTCCAAACCAAGGACTGAAAATAAAACTAAGCTCAAAAAGGAAGCAACAAATGACTCTAAGACAGGGGTGAAGAAAACCAGAAAACCATCAGGAAAGGAGGCAAATGCAGACGAGAAGAAGGTGAACCCTGAACTGTCAAAGCCTGACACTGAGAACACGTTCGACATCTCAGATCCAGGAGGTTGTGATACAGAGCAGAAGATTCAAAAAGTAGCGAGGGAGTCTGAAGGGAACCCGTGTGGCTCTAAAATGTCTACCCCTGAGGATATGACGGCAGACTTTCTCAAGCTTCGGGGGGAAACTGAAAGAAGAGAGGCACAGACGGATCCAGCAGATAACAGAGAGCAGAAAAGCAGTGAGTCAGGAAATGAAAAGAGCCTTAAAGTGAAGAGCAAGGATATAGGTAATGAGAATGAGGATACCCCAGGGGAAGAGGCTGCAGGGATAATGGGAGGGAAAAGTGGTGGTAATGGAGCAGAAGATACAGCTTGGACTGGAGAAAAAGCTGATGTAGAGCAGCCTGAAAATGCAGCCAAACCAGCAAAGGTTGTAGGATTTCCTTCTCCCCTGAACAAGGTGCCAAAGAAGGATCCCACTGACGAGCTGGACTTAACTCCGACCGAATACACGCTCCTGGACGGGGCTTTGAGAAACAGCCCTCCCTCGAGATCGTCTCCAGACAACCAGGCCGCTCTCAGCCCTGACGATCGGGCCTCCCCCGGCTCACGGGCCAACAGCGCAGGCCACACTCCTTACTGTCTGTCCCCAGATGATGTGTGGTGCAGTAGCGGCACTCTCAGCAGGTTACAGGCCCAGATGGGGAACTTAGAGTCTGCTGATGTCAACCAGACAAATGGGTCATCGAAGCAAAGTGAGCCCAAAAGCAACCCAGAGAGTAACACAAACCCCAGGGAGAGGCAATTAAGTTTTCTTTCCCTGGGTACATTTAAAGAGGGATCCTCAGACCCCTCTCCCTCTATGGCTACCACCACCACGACCACTACTACACACTCCATGCCAGCAGAGGTGGGCTCACCTCAGTCCACAGAAGTAGATGAATCACTGTCCATGTCCTATGAGCAGGGGTCAACCACTGTGAGCCAGCGAGAGGGGGATGACAGTGTTCATATCTCCAACTCCAATGGAGGCCATTGTACTGGAATGTCTTTACCGATGAAGAAGACTCCCCGATCGTCAGGGCAGGGTTCAGAGACGGGGCGACCTGCCGCTCCTCACACACTTGACTTTGAGGCCTCCGCTCACGATGTGGATCTGTGTCTGGTTTCCCCCTGCGAGTTCAAGCATGTCAAACAGCCCGACTCCAGCTCAGATGCGAGCGAGCCGTCCAGAGGAGCCTTCGCTCTTCATAATCACGGCAACAGAAACCAGGACACATCAGCCAGCGAGTCAAACGCCCCCGTCTGCACAGAGGACTGCCCCTCCACCACAGCAGACGGAGGGCTGGACTCAGATGAGGACGAGTCGTGTAGTGAGCCATCTAACTCTCCCCACGATCTACGCTCCAACCAGGCTCTGCCCCATGACCCTCTCCCGGCTCCTTGCAGAGACGGCCCCCCCCGGCCCCCTCATCCTGACGCCTCCATGCCCGTTCCTCAGTCCGACGGTGACACTTACGGGAAGAAAGCAAAAGCCACTGGCATGCGAGGGAAAAAAGCTGCAGCGGTGAGTTTGTCTTATTCGCATAAAAGAAAGGGGTGTCTGTTATTCAACTAATTTGGTTATGATGTATATTTTTTTGAGGGTGAAATCATACATGTGTCATAAGGAAACATGCAGGTGTAACTTTAAGTGCTTAGTCATGGTTTAAAAGTTGAATATTTAGAACAACTGCAATGTTAATTGCTGGTATGCAATAAACTCTTCACAGTTTTACCTAACTTTTTTATAGAAAAAACTTAACAGATTAGAAAAATAGTGCAAAACTTTTTCTTTTTTTTTTAAATAAACAGGAAAATAAATGCAAGTATTTTATAGAACTTTAATGTGAGATTGTAAAGTCACCATTCACTTATTTAACTGGCAACAAACAGGTTTTTTATGCGTCAAAATGACTTGGTAGCACTGGTAGCTCATCTGGTGGATAGGAGCAGTTGCTAAATGTTATCAAATAAAGGTTAACAAATAATCTTGAAAAAAAACAGGTACTTTTCATAGTCTAAATATTAACTTCAACTATAAGGAGATTCAGAAAATTCACAAAGATTTTGAGCACAGAGATGACCCTTTAATATAATTGATTCTTGATAATCATTTTTCCAGGTTGTTGAAGCTCCTCAAAAATCAAGTTCAGGAAAAAGGAAGACAGGGAGCCAAAGTGGAGTCCCAAAGGGAAATGTCTCATCTATTCGCACACCTTCCTCCAGCACCCGCTCAGCACCAGCTAAATCATCGCCCAATTCAGGTATGAGAAGTACATTTTAAAGGAAACCTATCATGCTATATTTAAATGATATATTGTAGGGCCATTCCTATATAAGGTATATTTATACGTTTCTGTTTTCAAAATACCAAACAGATCATGCATTTTAGCCATGCCTCATTTCGCTCTATGTGCTGTTTGCTGTCTACGGGTCTGATTTTGTGAGCTGCAGCTGACCACGCCCCCCTGCAGGAGAGGGGAGACGTGCTCTGATCAGCTGCTGGGCTGTCAGAAGAGGGGGAGAAAAAGAGATCTCCGTCCTCCGTGTTATTATAGGCCTATAGAGTCGTTATTCATTTGTTTTAAAGCTCAATAAATAACAAAGAAGACCTTTGACCGGCACTTTTCTAATTTTGTCCGGAAGATTTAAACTTTAACGGACATCTTGACCGGCGAAACAAACTGAAACTGAAACTCTGCACGGTCCCCTCGTTCCTTGGAAGAGGTGGAGAGGTGGGTGTTTGTCATCTGCTGGTGGACTAACCGGAGAGAATTACAGTGCTTGCCTCGACGGGGAGGGATTGCATTGCAGCGGGAGCAAATGCTTGCCTCGGGGAGGGAGAAAGAAAGCCACAGCGGAAAATAAACAGAAGGGTAACCATGGTAACCAAGTCTTCTTCGCTGCTTTTGTGGCAGACTACAGCGCCACTTACAGGCCTGGCATATGTACTACAGCGTCTCCAGCGCTTTCGAACGGCAATGGCCGTGGCTGTCTCCTCCTGATTGGTGGAGTTGGCCCAATAGCCGTAGCGCCACCGTCCTGACGTCAGGACAGTGTTCAAATCTGGATCAGTTTTGATCAGATCCGTTGCAGCCCCTTTTTTAGAGATTTGGGTATGGAGGAAAATAGAGAGGGTTGTGTTTTCTGACACTTGGTGAGTTCCCTGGAACACCGGGGACACATATTTATGTATAAAAGACGTACAAAAGTGCATTTTGCATGATAGGTCCCCTTTAAATAAATACAGTAGATCTCCCTCATACTTTTTCATTTCCCCTCTTTTGTACTTGAAACAAATGATGTATGCACTTATTTCTGTTGAAATGTCTCTCTCTCTCCTGCCACAGGGTCTAAGTCTACCTCTGTTGGTGAAGTCAGTGTGTACGTGGACCTGGCCTACATTCCCTCTGGAGCCTCCTCTCCAACAATCAGTGTGGACTTCTTCAGATGCGTTCGCTCCGCCTGTTACATCATCAGCGGCGACAGTCCAGAGAAAGAAGAGATAATGAGGCAGACCCTGGACGCACTACTGGATGCCAAGATATCCTGGCCTGACACCATGCAGGTAGAAAACACACACACAGAGACATGCACATAGCAACATAGTTCATTACTTGATGTTGTTGGCTGTGGTGGTATGATTATTTTGTCATCTTCTAATAACTACAGCTCCCATGAGCCTTTGAAAAGCATACAAATGTTGAGTGTTGTGCAACTTCACACTTCACTAGAGCTCAGACTATTTTTTTCAAAATGTCGGGCACACTTTTTTTGATTATAGAAACTGGGTTTTTTATGTTAAATATAACAACTAAACGGGTGTTAACTGAACAAAACAACCTGCCACAATCTCTTTCTTCTTGTCTGGATTATTGGTGGGTTGCAAACAACTTAAAGGTGCATACCGCCACCTACTGTACAAAAGTGTGCATTGTCACGTCACCAAATCACCACTTATGGAAGTAAACAACCATGTTTAAACTATTTTAAATTGTTCTAATCAACCATGTTCCACCCAAATATTTGGAAAGTGCATTTCTGGTAGCTCTTACCCCCTCCTTCTGATCCATGTATCTCCATAAGGCTCTGCTCCCGTCCTGCCTCTCTAACCCAATCACTGAACTTTTCTCCCTCTGTTTCATAAATGGTGCAATTTTATACAATATGTTCCACATTTTCTTTAAGTCCACAGTACTTACACTCTTCACTGTCACATTACCCAGTACACCTTCCACTATAGAGAGGTGCAGTGACGAGTCCTAAAACCCGGAAGTGAGTTAGCATTTTACCACTACCGGTTCCCTCGTCTCAGAGTCAATGGGATTTCTCCATAGGATTTTGGAAAAGAGCTCGAAATAAGGTCTGTGGAAAACGAACCTGTTTGATAAATGCACGTTTTTCTCAGCCGGATAATATCCACATGTCTACCCTACTTTTATAATTTTCGAATCATAAATCTAATTGCCGGAAGCAAAAGGCTAACGCTATGCTATAAACGAACTACAGCCGAGTACAGCAGGGACGCACAAATTCAACGTCACGCTAACTTAAGATTGATATGCAAAAATACAGATTCAAAATTGTACAAGTTGAAGCGTTTGTTTTAACAGTTTGCAAGAGCGCAGGTACTTGCTTTCAAGCAGAACAGGGGCAAACAAACTTAGCGGGAGTGTTTACGTGTTCGGTGTAATGACGTACAACGTCCTCGACAACTTCTGTAGTCCTATTCAGCCACTTGTTAACAACCATTGTTTTTCTGACACGTAAACTCTTCAAAAATCACCAGTGGGGTCACTGCTGATGGATTTAATGTCGTAGAACAAAACGTGATCCGTCTCTTAAATGTGTGTCAACCACAGACCTTATTTCGAGCTATTTTCCAAAATCCTACGGAGAAATCCCGTTGACTCTGAGACGAGGGAACCGGTAGTGGTAAAATGCTAACTCACTTCCGGGTTTTAGGACTCGTCACTGCACCTCTCTATTCATGAGTCCTCAGCCACGCCTTTTGCTGAACCAGGAAGGAGACACAGAAAGTTATGAATACAAACAAATACATGTGTAAACAATGCTTACATGTCTGCAAATGAACTAAATAATGTCAGGTTTGAATTAAGAGTGTACTATTTTAAAAAGGGAGGTGTTAATTGTTGATGTGGTTGACTGAAACTGAAATGAAGTAAAACTAGTGGAGGTGAGGGTGCAGTGTAATTGCTTTTTTAATCTATATACTGATTGGTTCCTAAAACATTTTCAAATGTTGAAACTGGTTTAAACAGTACCGCTGGCTGTGTTAATAGTCAATTACAGTCTGTGAGCATTGTTAAGTCTCACTATCATTCTCGCTCAGGGAACATACACATTCAGTTGACCATTCACCAAAAACATGGGCACGTTAATCTGAGTTGTATCTTGGCTTCAAAACAAGATACAATAGTACAATATGTAATTTCCTCTCCAGGTGACATTGATCCCTACGTTCGAGTCGGTGCCGATGCAGGAGTGGTACCAGCAGACTCTGGAAAAGCAGAAGGAGCTGGGCATCACTGTGCTGGGATCCAACAGCACGGTCGCCATGCAGGACGAGACCTTTCCTGCCTGCAAGATAGAGTTCTGAGGCACACTTGGGATTGCATCAATTGCATAGTACAGGTGAATATGAGCTGAAGGATAGATATGTGTGTGTGAGAGGAAAGAAAGAGTTAAAAGAGTGACAGAAATAGAAGGTTAGAAACAGATAGTGGGGAGATAAGACATAATGACACCTTTCTGCACACAACTTCATAACACAACTGTCATTGTACTTTTACCCATTCCCCTCCCGGTTAATCGCTTTCTTTCTGAGCTACTTTCACTAAAAAGTACACATTCCTGCGTGTGTGTTTTGCATGTTTTTTTTACACCATTGACCCTGAGCAAAACAAGGAGAGGAGATAACACTGGCTGCAAGAGAAGCATGTCCACTTGCAAACATGTGGAACCACACGAGAGCTGATGGTGTAGATTAGTCCATATAGTAAGTAAACACGGAGTAAACAGCACTTTGTGTAGGCTTCTTTTCTTAATGCTTTCAGCACTGATGTGTTAGTTAGAGCTTAGTTTGCTGCTTTTAATTCAACATTTACTGACAAATTAAAAGATTGTGCTGCCGATATTCCCAAATGGCAAGCCCGTGCCAACTATGATAATTTTGTTTCTTTATTTCACTAATATTTTATGGGTCTGAGCACAGACGATTTCTGTATCATATAAAGAGAGTCTTATAGCGAACCTTAAATTAAATAGCATTTACAGTTTGTGGTCAGGTGTTTCCTGTGAGCATTGTAAGCAGACATGTTGAACTGTGCTGTGTGTTGTGTTTCAAAAAGTATTGCACCGCTGTGGCTTCACTGTTGACCGCAGGTTCGCTGCAGAGCAAACAGCCAAGCTGCGATTTATCTGATGTTGAGGGGTAATCGGAGATTATTCATTATTGAGTGGGAAAAAAACTAGTTCACCAGACTTGAGTTACATAATAAATATATTCTAATTGCAAACTATTACGAGTGCTTAAAATCTGACTATTCAGGAATCATACAGCAAATGCTTTTGTGGAAATATGTATGTTATTATGTAACTTGTTGTTTTACAAAATAAACACAAAAAGTGATGACATTTTGATCGTGGATATGATGGGTAAGGGTTTAAATATTGTAGAAAGATAATTTGCACAGCACAACATCATGGTTTCTTCACAGTGGGAGGCTGTACTTTTAAAATATGAATACATTATTTTGGAACTAAGTAATCCAGTAACTGATATTAATTAATAATCTACAGTTCTTACTTAAATTAAGTTTATTATTTAGTAACATTTTAGATTTTCCCAATTAATTCACACCACACAATTTGACACATTTTTTGTCAAAATGACTAATGATTGAATATTTACTTATTATTTAAAGAGCAGTTATTTTAAGGAGAACTCTTCTGTAAATATACCACAGCATACCACTTACTCACTTTTACCTGAAATTAGAGCCAAATTACAGCAGTTTTGCCTGGATTTACCAGAAAATGATGTGGAAATTACAGAAAATAAAGCACACACATAATTTAATTAATGACATTGTTATCTCTCCAGACATGTCCGTCCAATCCTTTCCTATTTATTTACGTCTGTCCCAGTCTGCATGTCCAATATCGGATGTTGTTTTCAAGTGGGATGTAAATGAATCAAGACTGATAATTATCTCGGTTCACACAAATGCAGGTACATTAAAGGTGGGGTAGGTAATTTTGGAGAAACCAGCTCGAGTGCGTAGAATTTGAAAATACACAACCGGAGAAAATCTGCCACTTCCTTACAGAGCCCCTCCTCCAACACACACGAACGCGCACATGACCAATGAGGGCACAAGATAAGTTTGTGCACAGATGGAAGGCTGACAGGCAGGTAGGCCATCCAGTTACTTTAGCCGGGCCGGCTAAAATGATTGGTCGTACTTTTTACAGTACTACGGCTTCCATAGATGACATTTTTTTATGGATTTTTTGTCAAAGCACTTAAGATATTCATTGCTATCGGGATGTTAAGAGCATTCCATGGAATATAACAAAAAGTGTATCTCGAGCCGGTTTCTCAAACTTACCTACCCCACCTTTAATATCAAAGTGTTTCCTTAATATCAAAGCATGAAATCACAAAGACACCACCAACCATTCTCCCCTCTGTCTGAATGCAGCCTCAAAATGAAGAAACAAAATGTAATTTAATTAAGTGTATCTAAATAATCTGAGAGACATTTTGTATTTATATAAATGCACAGTTGATTTTCTTATCATGGACTTGTACTATCATTGACATTTGTTTTACTTTGTGCATTTTTATTTTCACAACCCTTTTCTGCCAGATTAAATAATGTATGGGATTCAGAGGGTTGAACTAGATCTGTATTATATAGGTGACAATGACTTGAGCCCCACAGTAGCAAAATCAATAGTAACTATGTGTCCCGCATGTATAAAATACTGTATGTACTGTATGTTGTTTCATTCATGATATTCATGAAGATAGAGAGCAAAGCACTGTGGGAGAGATGGATGGTAGAACGATTGAGAACCTTTCACTTTGCAATTGCCTGTAAGTAAATACAGTAACAATGTCAAAATGTGAGGGTTGTGGGGCCGGGACTAATATATGAATAAAGAATGTACATCACCACTCAACAGTGTCTCAAAGTGTCTGTTGAGAGAGAAGTGGAAGTGCAAATTGTTCGGATAAGCTGTAATGAAACGTTGAATGCTTTGTGGATGATTTGCAGCTCAAAACAAGTTAAAGGGGCCCTATTATGATTTTTGGGGGTTCCTCTTTCCTGTAGTGTGTTATAGGTTTGTGTGCATGTAAATGGTCTGCAAAGGCAATAATGTCAAAGTTCAATCCAGAGGGAGTTTCTCTCCCACAAATCCCCTGCCCGAAACCCTCCATTGGACTCCTTTGTTTAGTTCAGTAACATAATGACATCACGATGTAACACGTACGCTTCAGTTGGCTAGCGCTCAAACATTGTACGTGACAGGCTAAGGGGCGGGACATCTCTAAGCGGTTGACCAATACAGAGCCGGCCAGCTAACCAATCAGAGCAGACTGGGCTCTGGTTTTAGACAGAGGGTGAAAAGAGGTGCTGCAGCACAGGCAGTATGAGAACAATAAAGAGCTTTTTGAACATTAAAGCATGGAAATAAGTCAAAGTAGAGACACTACATATGAACCTGAAAATTAGCATAAGATGGCCCCTAGAGACATCTTTTAATTCAACAAAAGATAATCTCAAAATGTTTCGAATATATTTTATTGCCAAAGGAATGCAATGAAAATGTTGAAGGAAAACAAACTTGTGTTTATCAGACAAACAATAATTACTGAGGATAATTATAATACTCGTCATTGTGTGCTGTTTGCTCGGGGTTGTAAGATTCTCTGTCTCTGTAAGACATGATTGGGTAATATTGGTAACATCATATTTATTTACTTTCCTCCATCCGCTCCCCAATAGTATTGTAGCTCAAGGAAGGCATACTCCAGCCTTCAGTGAAGTTATGTTTTAGGTTCTCAAAGCCAAGTAGAAATTGAGCTTGTTAAAGAGATGAGTCGACCAGGAGAGATTATATTATTTTGGGAGAAAATGTATCTTGAAAATGTGCAGCATCTCAACAAGCCTAAAAATAAATGCCAACTGCCAAATCGAAAGCTCCACGATTTATTTAAAAATTGACAATGGTGAGAATTTCAAAAGTAATGCACACAGCAAAAATCACACATCACCCATAGTGTACAAATAAATGAATTCCTGGAGTAATAATAGCAGCCATTGCAGAATGATTGGCCACATGTGGATGACTTCATTGATTAAACATAATGCCAGTCAGCCTGGACCCCAAGGTAAAGTTGGAGAAGCTGCTCCAGTCCAGCCTCCAGATTTCCGTTGCCAATCCAGAGAACTTGTTGTGATATGGAATGAAGGCAAGGAGCTTTGGTGAGGCTTCAAAATCAAACTGGAGATTAGGGGTGTGAGGTCTCCAGCTGTTTATAGGACGTGTTAGTTCCACATCTTAGTACCAATTATTTGTTCTTCCCCCAAACCTTTCAACACAATGAACTGAAAAGGGAGGAGAAAATGAAATCAGTGGACTTACATAACTTGCTAATTGAAATACTCTTTAGCTAAACAAAATAAAAAGTGAAACCTTGTTAATATGAAGAGAATGTACTAACTATTATATAAAAAAGTAATAAATGAGATAAAAAAAATTAAAACAAAAAGACATTTCGGCCACCTCGGTTTATGTCAAATGAACATGTCGTTTTGGTGAAAATGACTTTTTTAATTGACACAATAACGGAAACATGAATTAAAAGGTGTGATTCACAACTTTTTACATCTTAACTATGAAGTGCTTGAGAGAAATATGATACAGTAACTAGGTAAAACTGTCACAGCTTTCTAGCTTCTATTTCAAGAAAATAATTTAAACTTGAAGATACATATGGCAAATCAATCAAACAGTGTTGTCTGCATCTCAGTTCACAAACATTTAAAATACCATGAAAAAAGTCTTTATCATACATGGACTAATGAAAAGCTACACTACAAAGCTGAGAATTGACAGGGACAGCTCTGAGATACTGCTAAAGTTTAATTTAATATCATTTCTGGACATTTACTGCATATATAAATCAATAATGTATTGTTGTTCACAGAGTTCAGCCACTACTAGTATAAATAATGCCAAGAAAAACTTACATATAATTTATCGTCATTATCAAACTTTGCTTTGCCCAAATCATTGTCCGGTAGTTTGAGGTTATCTTTTGCAGCTCCGTCATCATCCATAAGTGCCACAAAACCAGATTGGTCATCAATTTGAAGCAGCTACATGGGCAATCAGGAAAAGAGTAAAAACAGTCTACTGTTAAAAAATTACGATTTTAGATGATGTAACATTTTTTCCTGAGATATAAAAATCTGAGATACAAAAGGCATGTGGCACAGTGGCCTAGTGCGTTGGTGTTCGGATCAGTGGAGCACAGGTTCAAACCCCACTGCAGTCCGCATGTTGTTGTGTCCCTGGGCAAGACACTTCACCCCAAATTGCTCCTGGGGATTGCCCACAGTATTGAGTATGTAAGTCGCTTTGGATAAAAGCGTCTAACAAGTAACATGTAATGTAATGTAATATATAACCAGTGTCAGTCTACAGAGTCCTAGAAGATCAAGCCAATAGGAGGGTGGCAAAGGCAACACAAAAACAGAATGGTAGATGTTGAGGAGACATAACACTTAACTGATGTGACTGGGCCATGTTAGTTGTCCAAACAGAGCAAAAACGTGTGTTCTAATCTGGAGTAAAATACTCTTGACGGAGGTTCATCAGGACGCAAAAGTTAGTGTGATCAATCAATTGGGAGTCTGACCAAACGCAGTGTGTGAGATCACTTATATCACAATAGACCCATTTTGATAAGACATGTGGGAGAATATTGAGGAGACAGCTCAGCTCTAAAGCATGTGACTTGTTTATAAATCAAATCACTGGCTAGGTTAAACATATAAAGCCTTCAAGTAGTTACATGTTTCAATTGACAGAATATCAGGCACACATCATAAATGCTTTGTACCCCTTGGGGCCCCTATATCCAGATCCAACAGAGTCATCTCACCTGGTAATCTTTTCTAAGAACATGTGGGACCACCAAGTTACTTGTAGATGGGCAGATATCAATAATCTCCTCCCCAGTAAAGATGTCAAGTCCTTTGATGGTAATCTGGGAAAACATCAGCCCAAGTAAGCATTGGCGGTTATGAGTAAACCTGAGAAGCTTTAGGCTAAATCAGTCAAATGTCTTTAGCTATGCAATACAAAGGCTGCACAACTAGATTCTACCTTGACATGTCCATGCTTGCCAGACTTAGTGGTAGTGATGTCAACGATCTTACAGGGACGTCCTTTCAGCACGACATGGTCCTTCTCCGTTAATGCAGAGGCCTGCGTTGGATATGTGTCAGAGTTTTCGCTACCTAGAAAATCCATGTTGGGCTCTGTGACATTCAGATGAGCAAAAGAACAAAGATACAATATTTTAACGCAGATTTGTGACATTAAATTGTAAACATTGAACTAAGACTACAGCCAAGACTATCTTAGACGCCCCAACAGCTGTCAGAAAGGAAGTTGACAGTGGTTGGGGCAAAAGTGCTTTAAAATGAATAACCTGCAATCATACAGGCAGCTGGCAGCTAAAAGTGCTTTGAGGAAAATAAAAACAAGCTGCTGCCTGTGAACAGGAGCCTAACCAGCACCACACGGCCTGGACAGCTCCGCCTCAGGGTTAAATCATTTCCTCTGTTTGGAAATAAGCAGGAAGTGATTTATATTTCAAAACCATTTCCATATAGTCTTGTAAGACACATTTTTTACATTAATTTCCCCCCAAAAATTGTGAATCTGATGATAATGCCTTTACATTTGATCAGATTATCCAGCCGTCTATATTCCAGCTAGCTAGAGTTAGACTTCTCTTGTTCTCGTTTGTATCCATATCATCTGGTGTTTGGACCCCCAAAAAGTTTAAAATTAAAGATTTGTTTGAATTACTCCACCTTCAAAAAGTAACTTAAAAAAGAAAGTGAGATGGCTTTGTCCCCATCCCCTTTTTGAACCCCCAAGTGCTATATATCCCCTTTAATTCCCTCGAGACATAATCTAGGTAAGAAACAAACAATATCATAATTACCCGATATTTAAAATTACCTTGCAACTGCTCACACCAAAGACAGTATGAGTGAATTTGCATGCAGCTTTTATAGCACAGTAGGAGCAGGATGGGCAGGTTCAGGCTATGGTGTGTGGAGGGGAGGGGGTTGCAACGCCGCCCACACCTGTACACAACTATCCAGCATACCTTACGCTTTAAACTGGAACTTCACTACATTTAAATGACAGCAATCGCTGTGAGTCACTTTACAAATACTGATTTTACAAACAGACTAAGACCCAATCCAACCTAAAATTGCATTCACTTTAATCAGCTCTCCTTCAATCCTATTATTATTACTTCAGTTTATACTGTTTATAAGGTTTTTTATATTTGTTATTGTTCTTAAATGTTATTATCCGTGTGTTTCATCCTATTAGCTGTTGCTGTTTTGAAAACTGAATTTCCAAACGGGACCTGATAAAGGTTTTTCTAACCTTACTTCCCCTCTTTCAATCGCCACATGTTAATATCAATAATAATGATCTAGTTACAAAAATATATAATGAAAACACTCCAAAAGGGCAAATCTCCATAACTTCTGATACAAAACATTTGTGTAAATGTTACTTAATCATGAGCATTTAATCTTTTTTTGCATTGGTTTATGGATACTTTGCTCAATAGGATTTCATTCTGCCATTTGCCCACCTTTAAAATGGGTCATAAACTGTGTGGTTAAATTAATACTTTACTTTTCTTTACTGTAGAGGAAGACACTTGTTTTCCTTGAAGACAGGCAAAGAAGTCCAGGTTTAATTTTAATGTTATGTGCATCTCTTTAAGTTGGTTCTTGTTTTTCCTGTTGAAGATGAACAAAGGACAGGAGTTTGGAATCTCAAGACTGTAAATCTTAGAGCAAAAGTGCATCTTTGAAAAGCCAACATGTTATTAGTTATTGACCCTGAGGTGTTGCTGAGGGCTGTGTAAGAGTGTACCTGTGTGAAAACAGAGTACTGTGCTTTAAAAGCAAAGACAGTCAAAAAGTGTTTGATTTCTTGTACATATTTCATTTGGTTGTGATAAGCTGTTATACATAAATACCCTACTCTTATTACTGTTTCTTTCGCTATGGAAAAAAAAAATCACATTTTAAACTTGATCAATAAATGTAGTGTTTTTCGTGCAAAACTCATTCCAAGTGCTTTAAAACAGGAAGAAAATGAAAAGAGAAAATTCGAGGAGAAAGAGATAAGTCTTTCATTTTACTTTAAAGATATTAGGAGATTAGGATACAACAATGAACTAGATTTGCTTACATGATGTGCATTCATGTAATGGATAGTGTTTGTGTATAATGTGCCAGGCACAACTCCATCGAGGGATTGGACACAAAACAAAGATTAATCAAATCTATTCTAAAATTGTCAGGCACCAAATAAAGGGACTTCAGACCAGATGAAATGTGTGCTCTCGTTCCGGTGTTAGTCAGACAGGAACGGCTGCATTCTGCACAATCTCTAGCTTAATTATACCTTTCTTAAGATGACTAGTCAGGCTGGTTTAACTAGACAGACAGACAGACAGACAGACAGATCAATCAATCAACAACTTTATTAATCCCGCAAGGGGCAATTGGTTATGATGGATGGATCTGAATGGTGTATGCCAAGAACGTTTACATGGTATATACATGACCATTGTCCTGTACATATCAGAAATATGCACACTTGCACACTCTGCACACTTGTCCCCCTGCATTATGTTGTTTGATGCCATAGCCCAAATTATACATTACTGCCATCTATTGAGCATTTACTGACATTTCAAGCCAGCATAGATGAGAAGTTCTTAAAACGACCCTGCTGAACGTGCAAAAGTGAGAGACTTGAAACAGGCTGTTGATGTTGTCTAATGGATTTGTATTGTTATTGTTGCTCATGTGAACCGTGATTGTATTCAGGGATTTGCAGACTGCAGGCCACTATTTTTTGATGCACCTTGGCTAAGTTGCGGGAGCATAAGTGCTGAATGCTCATGTCAGCTTTTTATGCTACCGTGTGATTTATGAATTATTGTTTGTAACATTCCCTGGACTGTGTGAATTGTCTCAAGATATTTTCTGAGGTCTGTTCCCACTGCCTGTCGGAAGACTGTTTCTCTGTATTTAATGTCCTGTGTTTTGCATCACTCTGCTGCCCTTACTGGTGAAATAATTCACCTTATGGCTCTTTCTAGTTAGTTAAAAGTTATTATGGTACTTTAAACTCAACATGTAGGATTTAGAAGCAGTATACAAAGATTAAATAAAGTTTAATGGAGGCTTGTGTACAACAAATATAAATTAAATACAGATAGAATAGCCTACAGAGTAGTATAATATGTCTAGTATAAAAGTATTTGTTTAGGAGAAGTTATAATTGCCACCAGATATTGAACTACAGCATTGTAATGTGTAAACTTTTGTATTAAAGGTTTATATAGTGCTTATAGTGCTAAATAGTTTGGGTTTTTTATTAAGTTTTCAGAATAAAAGGGGAACAAGTCCTTTCCTTTCTTTTAGTTTAGAATTGAAAGAAGTTGTGTGGTTTGAAAAAAGAAAAATGGCTTCTTGTTTCTTTTCAGCTTAGTTTTTGCCTAATTTACTGCACCCAAATAATTGTTCATCATGATTTTCAGCACTATTGTGGTTTAAAGCTGAATTTCAGAGTGCAGAATGTCTTTACTTTGATATTACATTTCACCTTTTCTATCTGTTAGTCCTGGTTGTAACAGCAGCTGCTGTTGACATTGATACAGAAACTGAGTTTGTCTAAATTGTCAGATATACTTTTTTGTATTTATTGTGGCACACATTCCTTTGTTAAGCTGACTACTCTCCTGTATGACAAAGATGATTATTGATTCATCCTTCTTTAATTTCTCTGTCTGTGTTCTGAGTTTTCAGTCCCGGAGTCTCACTTGGTTTAAAAATGTGCAACATGATAACAATCACTGGCCTACTATAGAAAAACAACAAGAACAACATACTGCATACAACTATTTAAGAGAAGCATGCTATTTTAAAACAATAATTTATATTTTGATGCAAATGCATATTCCATATTTGAGATAAACTATTTTGAAAAAGGGCCAGCAAACATTTTTTTCAGGTGATTGATTATCAAATAAAGTATGTAAGCTGAGAATGTCTTTATGGTTGTAATGTATCTTTGCGTAGCAAAACATACTCAATACATGCATTTACACACTATCTTTCTATCTAAAGCTCACAGTTTTTATTTAGTGTTTAATTGTTAACGTTTGATTTGTTTGTATTCATTTCAAAGGTAAAGTGTAAATTGTGCCACAAATTAATAGGCTACACAGAAAGCGCGGTCACGTTACGTGGTGAGGTTTCGAGCACGTACATTTTGCGTGCGCGCCAAAACCAATGTTGCCTTCAGGTGCTCCTACAAAACTCAAACTTTAGAGGCCAAGATGCCAAATGAAGTATCTAGATTAAAAACAATTCCCCAGAGAATGATATATAATAATGTGAATGTATAGATCATTCTTAATTGTAAGATATTTTTGACATTACTTTAATGTTTACATTTGGTTGTTCTTCTGATTCATGCAGATGAAGTGGTCTGCAATTCATTTTGAATATATATATTTTCATTGGAATACAGTTGTTATTCAGGGTTAAAATACTAAGATCAGGAGTCCAATCTCTCCAATGCACCCCACCTCTAAAATATGTTTCTGTTAATCTATTCAGTTAATTGTCAGATTATATTTGTTGTAAATTAAATGTTACAACATTGAGGTCTAAATGTAAAGTAGTCGAGTATAAAGACTTGGGTCTTAGGCTTATATTCTTATTATTTGATGAGATATTTCCTAATTTAGTTTAGGACTTTTTTTTAATTTATATTAATGTATGTAATAGTATATGGGTTTATTATAATTTGTTAAAAAAAGAAAGGTTCGAAATATCAAGGTTAGGTAAATATCCCAAAGAAGAAGAACATATTCAATAGCTGGCTTCTTATTAAATATAAAAAAGAAAATTAGGCATGTAAAAGAAGAATACTAAGATATTAAAAAGTACACAATAAGTTAGAATGAGGTATAAAATATAACAATAATTTACAAAAAAACAAACAACAATAAGAGGTATTTGTGGTAGACAGAGGTACAGTACTTTATTGATGCAATTAAAAGGTTAAACTAAAAACCTCTAAAATTCCCAGGAAGAAAATAGAAATTGGACATTTCCGACAGCACCAGAAGGCACCAGTAAAACGCGCGTTCCCGTATAACTGTCAGGCTGCAGGTCAGGAACCACTCAGATAGCGGGTCATTGGACGCATCCGGACGCTGTTGAACAAGAACTGACCCGTTCGGTGTGTCCGTTATCGTATCAACGAATCAATTAATTACTTTTTCTTTCATTTAAACTACTAGTTGTTACTTGTTGTGGTTTACAAACGGTCCGGGGTTCTCTCTTCCATGATGCACGGGTAAGCTAGCTAACGTTAGCCACGGAGCTAACGTCCATGGTCCAGTGTCTGTGCGGGGAGAAAGTAGCGTAGTCTGCGTTCCTTTTTTTAGGGTGGCTGGGGGCGAGTAATTGGGAGTAAACATGGAGAAAAGTAATCGTTTTGTTGAGCTGTACTATTATCTCCAAGACCCCCATCTTGTCGCTCGATTTCAGCGCTTTTGTGGGGTACACGGGACGTTTTCGAAGACCGTCTCCAGCAAGGAAGCAGACCGGACTCAGTCGCACAACAACGGGGCTTGCCATCGTCCCATCACTGGGGGAAATGAGAGTGAAAACATGGCCGGTTTCGGAGGAGCTGGGGAAGGAGAAACAGCAGGAGTGGGTGTTCGGAAAAGGGTGAAAAACCGAGGGGAGGAAAGTGAAAATCTTGCCCAGAATGGAGCACCTGTGTCTGCAACAGACTCCGGGGGAGAAACGGTTGCTGTGGGCAATAACGGTCGTAGTCTCCAAGGCGCTACTACAACCGTTGGTAACAGCGGTGCCCGTTCGGACTTTTCACGGGCAACCGCCGGGGGAGAAACGGTTGCTGTGGACAATAACTGTCGTAGTCTCCACGGGGCTACAACCGTAAGTCACAGCGCTGCACAGCATGTCTTTTCAGCGGCAAACGAAGAAAGGGAGACGGGGAAAGATAGTGACGACCCCCTATCTAGCAGCACGGTAAAACCCCTCCGTAAAAACTCTCTAACAGGCGACGCGGGTCAGGAGTTCCTCATCGGGAACCGGTTCCTGTACTACATGTTCACCTTCGCAACCGAGCTGGGCAACGAGCTGTTCTACATCATCTTCTTCCCCTTCGTTATGTGGAACATGGACGTCTTAGTGAGCAGGAGGCTGATCATGGTGTGGGTCTGGGTCATGTACCTGGGTCAGTGCACCAAGGATGTGATCGGCTGGTCCCGACCCGCCTCACCACCTGTGGTCAAGGTGGAGATGTTTTACAACTCTGAGTACAGCATGCCGTCCACACACGCAATGTCGGGCACTGCCATCCCCTTCTCCCTGTTCTTCATGACCTACTGCCGGTGGGAGGTACAGTAAATCAATATTTGATGTGTGTAAAGAGTTATATAATGTGTCAAATGTGAAGGGCGTCTGCAGCAGAGAAGGGGAAGTTTCTAGCAGCTGATTCTTCCAAAGAAGAAATCTTGCGAAAGTTCCTCATGTGATGTTTCACCATTTCTCTTTATTTGCATATACAGAAACACGAGCGACATAAATACTGCAATCATCTCTACACAGTCACACTTCGTCAGTAAGTGTAGTTCAATGATAGAGCAGCAGAAAAGGCTAGTACCTTAATCATACTTGCATAAAAACACAATACCTAAATTGTCCCATTGGCACTGTTCTAGAAATACACAACAGACAAAAGGTTTTTTAGAAATATCCCTCTAAACATATAGTTAGGTCACAGATTAAAGAGTTTAGTCAAGACAAAAGAGGATATAATGAAAAGTAGAAACACCACTTGGCACATAATTATTTCAAAAGCATCTCTAACTACAGTCTCCAAAAGTAAATACAATTTGAAACAACATCTCTAAAACAGTTTTACCAGTAACTGGCAATCTGGAAAACTAAATATTTTGTAAACATTACTCAAATTTTAAATTGTTGTATTAACCACAGTTAAACGAAATACAACACACAAATGCAGCGTATTTGTCTCAAAGTCATTTAAATCTGGAAGTGAGTTAGCATTTTACCACTACCGGTTCCCTCGTCTCAGAGTCAATGGGATTTATCCATAGGATGTTGGAAAATAGCTCGAAATAAGGTCTGTGGTTGACACACAGTTAAGAGACGGATCACGTTTTGTTCTACGACATTAAATACATCAGCAGTGACCCCACTGGTGAAACGATGGTTGTTAACATGTGGCTGAATAGGACTACAGAAGTTGTCGAGGACGTTGTACGTCATTACGCCGAACACGTAAACACTCCCGCTAAGTTTGTTTGCCCCTGTTCTACTTGAAAGCAAATACCTGCGCTCTTGCAAACTGTTAAAACAAACGCTTCAACTTGTACAATTTTGAATTTGTATGTTTGAATATCGATCTTAAGTTGGCGTGACGTTGACATTGTGCGACCCTGCTGTACTCGGCTGTAGTTCGTTTATAGCATAAAGTTAGCATTTTGCTTCTGGCGACTAGATTTATGATTCGAAAATGATAAAAGTAGGGGTAGACATGTGGATATTATCCGGCTGAACAAAACGTGCATTTATCAAACAGGTTCGTTTTCCACAGACCTTATTTCGAGCTATTTTCCAAAAATCCTATGGAGAAATCCCATTGCTTTGTTGTCGAGGGAACCCATGCGCAGCTTATTTCTGGGTAAATACGTCATCCCTGCACCACTCTATACTCCCCACATTGCTAGAAGGAAATTGCGTTTCCTCACTGCCTTGCTTAAGGACACAGTAATTTAATTTGGTAATTTTGGCTCAAAACTTGTGTTCAACTTGTACAAATGGACCCCCTGCAATGCTACAACAACACAAGAAAACATCTGGTGGCAACTCTTGATACAGGACCACTGAGAGCTTGCCCTCTGAATCGCATCATTAAGAATTAATGTGTGGTCGGCCGAGCGGATACAGTGACGGGAGGTAATGGCCTTGGCGGCTGCTCAGATGTGAACATATTTGTGGACTCTTATTGAGTCTTAAATGCTTGTAGAACAGCGACATCAAGCTCATTGTTGGTACAACGGGACTAAAAGCCAAACTATGACGCTAAAATGCTAATTACAAAGAAGGAAAGCATGCTTTTTTTATGTAAACACATTTAGAGACCGGATACACAGAGATTTTAACAATTTTAATTATAAAGTAAATTAATCAAGTCATATTTTAGATTTTTTGTTTTAAAGTTAATTGGTCCTAGCTTCTCAAATGTAAATACTTAGTGTTTTTATTATAGAATAAGATCATAAATAGACATAAAGGTAAAACAAAGACAACAACATTGAACTATTATGTACAGATATAATGTGCCTGTTGGTTTATGGATACGAGTATGCATACACATTGTACTTGGATTGATATTTAAAAAGCACACTAATTATATTTTGTAGTTTTGGTCAGTCAATCAAGCCTTTTGGGTTGTCGTGGTGTATATTGTTTACTAGTTTCTGACATTTTATAGGAGAACAAATATTATTTAGCCAAAAGTTGATGCCATTTTGAGAATGTTGTGGTGGCATTAAGCATGTTAACGGCTCAGAAAGTAATGCTTATCCTTCTAACATGTGTGGCTACAAATTAAAACAAACTTTCACCTCTTTCTCAACTTTGGCCAGATTCATAAAACCTTATTGAAGTTTCCCAAAGCATTGAAACAACACACAGTCAGGAGTTTTTTGTTTTAACAGGCCCTTCTCTGTTGTTCTTTTCTTAATCTCCTCCTATTCACTCAGGAGGAACAACACTCCATTGTGTGTCCAGTCTGTACAAGCCAACAGAAAGTCCGTTTAGTTCACCTCCATTGTCTCACTGTGCATCCACTGTGAGGACACGATCAACAAACTGCAGGAAGCCCATTTGACTTTCATAGAACTGAAGGACGAGGAAAGCTATTCGTGGATGCTTATCACGCACCTCAGACTTTGTCAGATTTATGGAACATTAAGTTGATTTATCGTTAAGGCAGGAAATTAATCAGTAAATATAGTTTGAGTCATTTTTGAGAAAAACACACCATATATTTGCTAGTTTCAGCCACTTAAATATGATCATTTTTTTCTATTTATCATTATAATACAATATCTTTGAGTCTATTAGACAAATTAAATACTTCCGTCATGTTGTGCTCTGGGAAATGGTAATGAGCACTTATACAGACAAACAAATTGATTAGAATTAGTATATTTGTCACAACAGCATACCAAACAGTAATTCTAAACATGTATTCCTATAATGCTCTGTCATGCTCTCCAAAATGCATGGCTTTCAGCAGTAATTATTCTATTGTGTTGGGGGGGAAAAGCCCACAGTTTTAAAAGGAAAACTGTGTGATCCATGTATAGTTTAGTTTGAATCACACCAGGCGAGAGTAAGGGTGAGATTGATTTACGACCTTCTGCCTCCCCATGTGTCTGCCATAGCAGGAGATAAGAGTCAAACTCTGACCTCCAAGTGTGGGGATTCAAGATAAGACTGAAATAGTGTCTGTATATCTCTCCTTTCTGCCAACAGCTCTTTCTCTACTCGTCAGACACAGTGTATGACATTTGAGCTAAACTCCAAATAATCTGTTCATGTCATTGTTGAACACAAAACAATCTATATTCAAAGTCTGACAATTCAAACTGCTGACCTTATTGTGTGGAACATCAGATAAAACAGTCTGACGCATTTACATTTACTTTCACATGTTTAGCTTTACCCTCACTAGAATTAAGAAAATAGGACCTACTATATGACGATTACCTCAACGAACACTGACAGAACTGACCGTCTGGGTTTTCTCATGATTTGTGTACTTGGTCTTCTTTGCGAATAATTTAACAGATTGTTCCTTTAAAGTGCCAATACTGATTACATATTGCTTGATAGTCCAATACGTATAGTTTTGGACCACACATCAGTTCATAGTTTTTAACAAAAATATAAGCCTACTAAACAAATTCTAGCTTTGTGTTTTTCTTACAATGACGAGACTTAAACATTATGATTTCAATGGTTCAAATGTACTGTGAAGAACATTGACATTTATTTTTATTTTTATTTTTTACCATAATCTTACTTCTTTATAGAGTGCCACAGTGACACGTCCTAAAACCCGGAAGTAAGTTAGCATTTGACCACTTCCGGTTCCTTCGACAAAAACCAATGCAATTTCTCCATAGGATTTTGGAAAATAATAATAAGTTTCGAATCATAAATCTAATCGATAGATTTATGATTAGAAAATTATAAAAGTAGGGTAGACATGTGGATATTATCTGGCTGAACAAAACGTGATCTGTCTCTTCAATGTGTGTCAACCACAGACCTTATTTCGAGCTATTTTCCAAAATCCTATGGAGAAATTGCATTGCTTTTTTGTCGAAGGAACCGGAAGGAGTTTACTTCCGGGTTTTAGGACGCGTCACTGTGGCACTCTATACTGGTAAGGTGTTGTTGTCCGATTTGTTTGTCGTCGTTGACGTCACTTTCCCACTGTCTTACTGCGATTCATCATTTCTTTATTGTGGTTTTTATGAATTAGCTGAAGAACCTGAGAAGACGTTGGTGTTTGGCAGTGCACACCAGCAGACAGACTTGACTAAGCTTGTTCATGAATCATTATGAAGCTTATATAGGAATTATTGTCGGATTCATCAATGGCTTCTTATTTATCCAGAAATCACCCAAAGTTCTAGCGTGGTTCCCATGGAAAGAAATCGCCAAGGGATTTGGTCAATGTTAGACAATGCCACTTGGTGAACATTAGGTATTAGAAGTATTTTCTACTGCTCTTACTAGCTGTTGCATACTATCAATCTCCACCTTGTCTTGTGCACATTTGAACTCCATGCCAACACATGGAGTTTGGTACTAACATGTCAGAGGATGGAGGTGATGTTTCCCTGTATTTCTGGGGTTTAGTTTACCAAGGAATATAATAGATTATCTGTGCGAAGTATTTCGGGCATCCATATCACAAAATTGCTAACTTGAACTAAGAGTAATTGATTGCAGATTGCTGGGTTTGTCCTTAACTCCCCTCCTGCTTGCCGTAGCTGCTCTGTAAGCTGCTGTATCGCCGCTCAGCTGACTTGTCTCAGCAGAGCAGGAATGTTTGGATTTGGATTTGGTCCTCCTCCCATCCCACCACCCTCCTCCAGCTCATACAGTAACAAGAGCCAGATGTCCCTCTCTATGGAATAAACTAGTAAGATGGAAATGAAAGGCAGGAATGAGGGACACAACAGAAAAGAGCAGTTCAAGGAGAAGACAGTAGAGATTAGAAGAAATGAGACAATAGTCAGAATCAGAATATCTTTATTCGTCCCACAGAGCGCACATTACAAGAGATGGAGGAAGCATGGAGGAGAGAAGAGGGGATCAAGACAGAAAAGTGAGGGAGGAAAAAAGAAAAACTAGACTAAAGGGCAAAGGGATGGAGAGCAGATTAGATCAGCATAAAAATGGGACAAATATGAAAAGGAGATACGAGATTATAAGAGTTACTGGACGGAAAAGATTATAAATCCTCATTATGTCCTCCAGTAGAGCCAGAGCAGTTAACATTATGGTAAACAGGCTTTGTGTGAGACTTCCTCCCTTGAGCGGGAACATTAGGTGGGAACATTACATATTTTTCCTGAGCCCAATAACCATAACAGTATAGCGTTTCCTAACTCCAAACACCAGTTTTACATTGTGTTTTCAATGTGGAGTATCAAACTCAAATCTCTTCTGTTGCATTCAAAAGGAGTTGCATTACCGAAGAGTGAGGCACTTTTACTTGACAGTTTAGAAGAGGCCTTGTGCATAATTATTACTTTTACTTTTGACAATTCAATTACATTTATGCTGCTAATATTTCTCTACATTTACATGAAAAGGGTACTTTTCCTTATAACGTAGTAGGACTGTCGCATGTTCTATTCTAAATCAATATTTATCACTCAAATTAAACATACCTTATGAATTAATAAAGTTATTAGGTTATGGTTATGGGACTTTCAACACAAGACGTATACTCACAACTTAAGGTTTGTGCGTAACCCCAACAAATTGACATCTTGGCAGTGTTGAACGCCAATCGCAGCACACCCCGGGAGCAAACCCTACACTGAGGCTTACAGTCAATAAGCAGAGTGCAGCAAACCACAAGCACACGAAAAACAACAACAACCAGCTGGCTGCGTCCAACATAGCTTTACAGCTATTTCACAGACTTAAAGACAGCTGTTTCTCTGCCAATACCTTCTTCTGACATGACCTCATTTTGGAAACAGGCCTCAGTTTATAATTGACGCTTTGAATGGACGCTTGGTGTTTAGAGAGACACCTGTAGAGAGGGTCTCAGAGGAATGTTCTTACTGTAACTAGACAATAACACATTTGAGGCACTGTGAGTTTATCATTTTACCTGCAGAGTTTTGATATAAAATAGGTGAAATAAATAAATTATTTGAGAGAATATGATAATTAAGCTCTTGTTATTTATTTGTCACAAAGTCAAATCTATCTAATATTATAGGATTTCATTTCAATTATTTGACACAATGTAGGTTTAAAAGGAATGTGGTTTGTAATTTTAAGTAAACTATTTAATACTGAGTTAATGCTTTCTTGATCAATGCATTATTACATTTCACCAATTATTTTCTCTTACGTGTTTATGGAACATATGAAGTCTTAAATATTATCCGTATTTGCAGCTACTAGCTGTTAGTACTGTTGAGTTCCATATCCTATTCAATAGGCATCCAGCTCCATTCATCTGATGAGTCATTTCCCCTGAAGGCTGGAGGTGTGGGAGTCCCAGTGTTGCTTTGGGATTTGTGTTGTCATTCTGGTGTGTGAGAGGAAATCTGAGCTATCTCAGCAACAATGAGGAGAACAAAAGGCTTTTAACAAGTTTGCAAACCTCAGCGGCTTTCATCTGTCGTCTCTTTCTCCCTCAACTGTCACTCATTTTCTTTCTGGCTGCATTTATACGGCAAACCTGCATGCTGGTGCTCATATCCAGCTTTATTTTAGTCCGTGACCATAAATTAACCGATTAGTCCATGGATAGATCATTTTTATTATCAGGAAACTATTTTGATTTTGTGAATAATATTTGCATAATTTTTCAGGCCTTAATTCCAATTGTAAGTGTTTTGAGAGCCTGAAAGATGATATCTTCTGGTTTTGGACTGTCGAACAGAGAAAGCATGAAAGTCACCCAAAGCTGCGAGACGTTGTCACAAGCTGACTACTGACAAAATAATAAATTGAGGCAGAAATGTAAAAATGTTTCTGTTATGAACATAATCTAGTTAGAGCCTTAGTGTGAATCCTTGAGGTCTAACACATTTGTTGAACAGAGTTTTTCTTAAAAGTTGGAAACCTGAATTGGGTCATCGATGCTTGAAAGTAAATTTGAAATACCTTTTTTTTACTGATGGTAAAACAAAAGCAATTCAAAATACACCACTTCCCGCTGCAATTACTGTGTTTCCTATGGTATTTAACTAACATGTTATGGACTATTAGTCATGTAAAAATTGTTTTTCATTTTGTTTTGTTATAAACCTGCCTAAGCAGTTTGATCTCCAAGGTGTGTTTTTATTGTGTTTAAAAAGTGTCTCCTTTCACCTCCACAGTACCCGTTCTCACTGGGCTTCATCCTGGCTCTCTGCTGGTGTCTGCTGGTCTGTGTCAGCCGAATCTACATGGGAATGCACTCGGTCCTGGTACGTCCGCACACACACACACACACTCACTCACACACAGGAACACACACAGACAGTGTTGGCCGTGCCGCCTGCAGTGCCAGATTGTCGCCATTCTGTCCGTCCAAACACGATAGCTGACACGTGGGAAACGGTATCCGAGCTCCAGAGCAGAGCTGTCGGCTCTGATGTCAGCAACACAATCACCTGTGTAACCGTAGAAGCACAACAAGCATAACAAGCACACACAATAACAACACAAGTCTGAAATAACGGTAGTTTTTCATGCTAGTTAAACAGGTTTACAAAAAGTTGGAGAGAGATCTTTCATTGGCCATGATGCCACCCTCACCCAGACCACACCCATCTTCAAACTTAACCTTTATTTTTGTCTCAACCTCAAGTGTATAGTTTCGTAACTGCATATTTGATTTAACTCTGACATCATATATCCACAGACAGGTCTTTTAACACCTGGCAAAAAGTCAACTGGTTGTCAGGGTTAACAACCAGGGGGCAGTTATTCTAGTTATTGGTTAGCGTAGTTTACTGATCAGTTTATATTGCATGCAACACTTAAGCTGATAGTGTATTCACACTCTGTTCCTGTCTTTGAACACAGTGGGACAATTTAGAATCCACTTTTGGGATGTGGATCAGTTCATGTGTCAATTTCTCAACCCAAAGTCAATTCAGTTGATATTTAATTTTAGCTATTGAACCTCATCACTTGAAGACAATAAGAATAAGATTATTGTCATCAACATTTAATTTGTATTTTTCTATTAGTTTATTGTATACACCAAGGCACATTTCTAGTTATTAACCTACTTTATTAAAATTATCCTGATTATGAACAATAATCCATAGAGAGCATTATGGCTTATTAGATGATGAATAAGGTAAATAGCACTAATCACAGGGTTTTCAAAACAATTTAAAGAGACTAAGGTAGGTGACCTCAAACCCTCTGGGGGGTCCTTGGGCAAAGGAAACAAGGAAATGGCTGTAAAGATATACACTCTACTGCATCTGCCTCCACCTTTCACACACACACACACACACACACACACTCACACACTCACTCACTCACTCACTTCCCACGCAACCCTCTCTCTAAGCCAAGAGCCTCAGCAAATGTATTACAGTCTGTAACAAGGTGTTAAACTCAGAAAAACTGTTCCTCTTCACCTGATGAATGAAAAAAACATGTACATCATCAACATCCAAGAGCAGTAACAAGATGTAAAACACATTTTCCAGTAGAGCGGCTCTTTAAAATGTCCTATTTAAAAATATCAGTCCTGTGTTATTTGTGTGTTGCAACAAGCTGGCAGGGTGTGAAGCAGGAAATCATTCCACCCATTGATTATAAGCTTAAGACAGAATCTGAACAAACATGCTCAACATGCTCAGGCCCGTATGCGTCTCTGCTCAGTGCAGATGTAAGTGATTAAGACAATAAACGGTAGCATCTCATTTATTACTGGAGAAACATTGACAAATATTCATGCTTGCAAAAACTTGCTCCTACGTCTTTTAATCTGCTGCTCTCACATTATAAGATGGCTGCAGCACAGGTAGAGTCATGCAAACCATTATGTTACACCACTGTATGGGTGTGTGTGCCCTCAAGTATTACAATATCTTTCAAGTCTGGGTTGCACACCACTCATGGGTTGTGAGACACTGAATGGGTTGCCAAGAGATCACAACCCAACCAGTGTAAAATATGATATATTATAATTAAACTAGAAATTGCTTTGCTGAAACTAGTATTTTATCAAACAAACTCTTGTGAATTAAAGACAAACCAACATGGGGATATAAAAGTACAAATACACAACTGGATTTCGGTCAAAATAAGTCAGTATATTTGTGAAATGTGTGGCATTAGTTAGAGCTAGGGTTGCTAATGTATTTTAGAAAATATATTTGAGGAAATACTCTTGCATCACGACTGAAATAAAACAATCAAATTCTCTGATACATGTATTTAATATTATTATTATTATTATACTTTAAGTATCTGGTAAATGTAGACTTGGCACGACTGTAATAACTCTGTCCATCCAATTCATTTGTACAACTTGACTTTCTAGAAAGATTTTTAGACTTTTGAAACTAGTGCTGCTTGAGTTGAGTTGGAACATTTGTGCTGGGTATTTCTGTTGGATAATAAAAGCAAATCTGGGCTATCTTGGATAACTCGGTTATTATTAATTATGTTTAAGTACTTAAAGTGGATAAATAGTCTGTTTGGTGTAAATAATGATCTGGGAAATGATGTCATTCCCGGTGCGCTGTTGGGCTATGGCTGTCTGTTGCTTTGGTAACGGTCTCCGTGGTGTCGGCTGTGTCAGAGGGATTGATGGCTGGCGGTGTGGGAAAAGCAGACGTTACAGTGTGCTGGCCGTCCTCCCAGACAAACTTTAGAAGGTAATTCCACATCAGAGAATTTATTAAGGGCTTTTTGTGGCCGCCCCGGTTGGTGTCGCGGCTCAGACCTCCACCTCAGGAACCACGAGCACATCTGCCGGCTCTCACTGCTTCACACACTCAACATAACATCTGTAACTACATCAGCAGCAAACATATTCCTGTTGTCCTCTTGGTTAAACAAGACCTAGAAAATATATTTAGGACGATTCATTAATTCAGCAGTATTTAGATTTACAGTGAGAAAATTATAGGACACATTCCTGAGTCAGCCACGCCTCATTAATCCAGGGTTTAACCAAAGACCAGTTCATCCCAGCTCTAACAGTAGCACAACTGTCTGTGACATCAGAGAGTCCCAGGGAGTTCATTAATGTGATGACAAGCGTCTTCATAATCTTAATAAATTGAGGTGTTTGTAGTAGGTCTTCACAGTAAATGTGTTCCATATTCATAGAAAAACAGGAAAATATACCCAATATGGCTTCCTTGGATTCAAAGATTCCCTGTTTTGCACAATTTTTCACAGAGGAAGTTCATGTAACCTGACCGTTAATGTTGTAAATACCGTTCTAGTTTTTACAAATATTGATTAAAAACATTTGAAGTAAGTTTCGTCGCTTAATTTGACTTCCTAATCAACTACTACTTTTTTCACCTCTGGTGGTCAATCTGCAGAAGTATTTTTGTGGACAAACTGCATCGGAGGATGTAACACTGTCTAATCACAACAAATCTACCACACCGCAGGGCATTGTTGTTCTGTTTACTAACAGCAGGGAACCGTTTAACCATCTGTTTCCTTTCTAAAAGTACTTTTACTATTTCTTCCTGTTACAGTTTGTATTCCACATGTCCCCGGTTTCTTACTTTCCCTCCCTTTCCTTCTCCTCCTGTTCCCGCATGAAACCAAAATAATGAATGTGAGCACTTGTGGTACAGTCAGGATAAAATCCTCCGTCTGTAACCCACCAACTCCTGCTGCTCTTCCTCATGTTCATTTCTCCTTCATGCTCAATCTCATAAGGATGTGAATAATGTCTGTAACCATAAAAGCCTTTGTAATTCAAGGCAACTACTGCCTACTGGCTCATTTACAGCAATGTGGATTAATGTGCACTGTCCTTTAATTTTTTTTTAAATTCAGCCCAGACTTGCATTTTAAACTGACGTTCCACCAGTAACAAGCTGTCGGGTAATCTAAATAATCCCTTAATGTCTAATCTCCCTTTAAGCAAGCTCTAAGAAACCATATTTTCTGAGATATTCAAACCATAGCTGATATTTATTATCCCAGCATGACATCAAAGAGGAAACAAATCTCTGTAATTCAGACATATTTGGGTTGTCTGCTAGACTTAGAAGTATTTACAGTATATATCTCTATAATGGTGTCATGGATATATGGAGTTGTGTTGTAGGCTACAACATTATCCAAATGTTCTTTGTCTACATTCATTTTTTACATTTTTGTCTCCTTTTTAAAAGCATGCTGAATTGGCTGTTAGCAGTTCCTGTTTGTTGTGTAACCATTGACGTATAGACGGCAATTACTTTGATACTAAAGTGATTTAGAAACGTTATGATTCACAGGCAGGGTTAGGGTTAGGCAGTCTTTCCCGTTATGTCTATGCTGATTTCTGGATGTTTATTTGCAATGGACGCCTGTGTCGTGAGAGTTAGTCCACCAAAGAAGAGGTGTATAATTCAACTGCAAAGGGTTAAGATCACAAGTCACCAGACAGCAGCTTTATGTTTTCATTACCCGCCACATGAACTGGATTGGTTTCAACAATGAGCTCAGAAACACAACATTTGGGTCCAGACCTCCGAACTGAAGTAACATGAGAAGGTTTTAAATGTGCAGGTCACCATGCACAGAGCCCATTTCCAGCTGATAACACAGCCTGATGTCTGTTCTGGAGGCTCATGGGAACTGTTTTGTTTCAGGGAGTGGAGCTCCACATGGTGAGCCATTAGCGGTCTGCTCTGCCAGGCCTGCAGGGCTCTTAATGTGTTCTGGAAATCATCACACCCAATGCAACTACTTCCTACTGCTTTGTTCTGCTACTGATGATGTTTTTGTGACATTTACAGTACAAACCTTTTACCAGACGGCTCAAATATCACTCAAATGTTAGGCGTTTAAACACATTTTAAAGGCTTCATTTTTAACCCTTAGTTCTGTGTTTGTTTGGTGAACACGGCATCAACTGGACACTAGATCATCTTTTAACAGTTCTCCTCATTTCCTGTTAAATAGTTGTTTGGATAGGTTTCAGATAGAAAAGAACATTGTGCATTTATTCCAAAGTTTAGACTTTACAGATGTTAGCCGTAAGCTAGCTAGCGACCAATGCACATTCTGTTTCTATTCAGTTCAGCCTCTTACTGATCCAAAAAATCTCCAGTTTCTTCATGTTATTTTCTCTTGACTCACTCCTTTTTCCTCTGGTCTCTGTACATTTACTGAAGCAGATTAATGAAGGCCTGAGGTATGGTATCCTAACGGCTTTTGGGATTCCTCTCGCGTTAGGATAGAGGACAGAAAGGATAGAGGATGTTTTAAGGTCCACAGATTAAGCCCTCTGAGGCAAATTTGTTCTATGAGATTTTGTGCTGTATAACATATACAAGTTTACAAACACAATACAATACGGTGAAAGTATTAGTCCATTAATAAGTCACTTGATGTTGATAATACTTTGTTTTAATGATAAGCAGAAGATTATGTAAGTTATCCAAAACAGGTGCACTTATTGAACTTTTACAATCTTTATGAATGTCGGATCCATTAAGTCATTATAGGGTTCAGGTGGACAGCAGACAGGAGTCTAATTTAGGGTTATCACTAGCTCTATTTCCACCCATGCTGACATTATACACTCAAATATTTTCATTCATTATGTAAAGCACTTAAGATAAAATCATCTATCAAATAGCATGAACTTTGTGGACATTTTTACTTCAGTCAGCTCATATTGTTACAGAGCTTCTGGTCTTGTCAGTGGAGGAGAAAATAAGAGATGGCTGAAAACTCACTCACTATCATAAAAAAGGAGGAAGCAGACCGATAAACGTTTACCGCGGTAAGGGGGATAAATCACATCAAAGCTTTCGATTGTCGGACAGTAAAACGTGTCCTTGTACAGTAAAACGTGTCCTTGTACAGACCGGCTGCCGGGACATGGGTTCCTGCTGAGCTCTGAGGCCCTCGCAGTTCAGAGCTGGTTAATGACTGACTGAGATCAGGGCTTATGTGTAACACAACGTGTATTTAAGCAGCCAAATAGATATTTAAACTGTAGCAGGACCTTGGTCTCCGTCCAGTGCTGCCGTTAAAGTGCGCTAACATGCCAGGCAGCACTGGAAATGTTCCAGCGTTTGGCCAGTGGATTGAGGCTGGTGTACATTTACAGCAACACTCATTGATTTCTTATCCTGGGAAAGGTAGACACTGCTGTCTGCCAGCTAAGCGACTTTTAAATTGACACTCTCCACCCTCTGCACACAATAAAACTGGAGAGTATTTGCATTGGCATGTTAGTATATCTACACTCAAATATTTAATTTTTTCTACAATAAAATAGAGAAATTCAGAAATACTCATACTGATTACAACAAGGTACTAAGACATTCTGCAACAATTACTTCTACCATTTCTAACCTGTTAAGATCTGTATTAGTTCTGAATTATTAACAATATAACAATCTTGGTAGCAGACTTTTATACTCAGTTTGTTTTCAGATTTTTGTAGGAAAATGTATGTATGTACAAATGACAGCACCTCATTGTCTCGTTGACAACATTTTTATTTTCTGAATCATCAGTGAGGGTTTTTTAGTTCAGCAGGAAGTCTGTTGTATGTCTGAGCGGTTAAATCCTCAGTTAGTGGTTAAATGCTCAACATTGGAACAGGAAGCCAACTGTCAGTTTGCTGCTCGGGACAATAAAAAACGACCGTAATGAACTTTGTGTTTGAGTCCGCAGTTCATGGACACGTAAAGCTCGCTGACTTCTGCTTCCTCTTTTCAACTTCTTTTATCCATCAACAGAAAATATAGTATAATTAATGTGTTCATTCTTTTGCTCTCTCGAGTCATAATCTCTTTAGGAGGACCAAAATGTTCAAATGTTTTTTCCTATAAAATGTATTCCCAATCAAACAATTCTTGTCAATAGACTTGTGCGTAAGAACACTATTTTAAAAATAAATATTTTGCGCGCCTATGTTTGTTTGGGCAACGTAAACACTGAACTTCCTTCAGCCTTATGCCTAACGATTGTCAGATTAAATAAAAACGCATTGCAAACAAGCCCACAAATTAAACATGTAGTCCAATTATACAAAACATACACAACATGCACGAAAAATAAAATAAAAATACATAAATAAAAAAAATAGAAACAAGTAATAATTCTCAAAATGTATATTTAAAAAAAAAAATGTTATCCCCAATGTCCAACTTGAACCAACCATACCGTCATCATAAAAAGCAATAACCTTATTTTTGTATTATTACTTTTTAATGTAACACCTGCATTTTGACCCTGTGATTCAGTGGCTAAATACCTATCTTTCTGTTTCTGTTTATTTTTCCTCCAGGACGTCATAGTGGGCGTCCTGTACAGCGTCCTGATCCTGCTCTTCTTCCTGCCGCTGCTGGACCTGATCGACGGCTTCAACATGTCGCACCGCTACGCCCCGCTCATCATCGTCTGCTTCCACCTGGGCCTCGCCCTCTTCTCCTTCACCCTGGACACCTGGAGCACCTCGCGGGGCGACACCGCTCAGATCCTGGGCACGGGGGCCGGCGTGGCCCTGGCCTCGCACGTCAACTACCACCTGGGTCTGCTGCCCGACCCCACCCCGGAGCAGCTCCCCTACACCATGCCCCCCCTCAGCGCCGGCCTGGTGGGCCTGTCCGCGCTGCGGCTCGTCCTGGGCGTGCTGGTGCTGATGGCCATTCGGGCGCTGATGAAGGCCCTCACCCTCCCGCTGGTGTGCCGGCTGGTCGGGGTGCCCAGCACGGACATGAGGAAGGCCCGGCAGCACATGGAGGTGGAGCTGCCGTACCGCTACATCGTGTACGGGACGGTGGGCTTCGGCGTGGGCTTCCTGGTCCCGCTGCTCTTCAGCTACCTCCAGCTCTCCTGATTGGATGTGCTGGTTGGAAAACAGTGAAGTTACAGTCATCTAATGCTCTTCCCAGGTTCACATCCAGAACCCCTCTTTAAGTTCTCTGGGTTGGATCTAAGGGGAATTAAAGCCTAAAAGCTGATCTGGGTGTTTTCAGTTTTCTTAATGTTCGCTCGGGTTGGGATCAGCAAGCATGAGCCGGGAAAACTGGTACATTTTAACGATTCTGAGACCAGTGATATCTTTCAGATCTGTTCTTTTAGATTTATTTTAAATCAATACAAATGGCACCTCCAGACCCCGGGTCAAACCGGGTCGGAGCCAAACAACCACTCCAGCACATTAATTCATATTAGATCAGATTCTAAAGACTACAGACACCACTGATGGCTACTGATAAATGACCTGTGTCTTACTATTCACAATTTTTATGAATGCATTCGTTTTTATTGAGATTTCCGACAAAGAACCACACAAGTACATTTTTGGAAGACTGACATTTGCACTGCATTTAGCTGCAACGCGTCAGTGCCTTCAGGTGTACTGGAAGGCAGAGTTTAACGACTTCACACTGAAATATACCAAATGCTTTTACTGTCTGAAAAGGGTTTAGAAACTCAATGTAAGCCTCTTCAACAAGTACCCAACACAGCTAATGGTACAAGGCTGCAGTTGTATCTGTAAAATGAAAGAAGAAATTATGAAAAATTGTATTATGTACCAAAAGAGCAAAACCCAAAATATTCAGTTGAAATCCTAAAAAACAGAAATGCAGCAAATCCTCACATTTAGAGGATCTGCATCAGTGAATATATTTTGTTCTTGAGGGAAAAATTACGATTTATTGATTATTTCAATGTTTTTCATTCAGTATTTAAACTTTGTGTGGTTCTTTGTCACACAGCTTCTCAATCATTAATACACTTTTTTTACATCTCAAAGCAATATGATTTTATACTTCCATATTCCTGTATCAGAGCTTATCCTGATCCCCCCCCCCACCTGTGGAGTTGACACCTGGGTTTTAAATGTGTTGAACTTTGTCAGACTAAAACAGATCGACGTGTGTCAGGAATAATTTTGTAGGTGTTTAATTGCATGTGTATAGTTTTTCTAAAGGGCTCTCCCCACTATCTCTCGTTGTCCGTCTTTGTTCAGGGGAATTATCGTCTGTTCTGAGGTTGATATTTTGTTCCTGGCTGGAGAAAAGCAATGACCGGGCACAAACTGTTTGATCCAGAAGAAACTGAAGGAAGTGACACTTTGTTTGGGAAATGTACAGAGAAGTTTAAAATAGTTTTTTTTTATACAGGATGACAGGAACTGGACTCAGCTTATTTTTCTTTCCTCTAACACTGTAAACTGATGGCCCTCCACTTCCTGTGCAGAGAGAGTCTGTCGGCAGGAGGAGAGATAGCGCTGATCTCAGGAGGGAAGACGCGTGGCCAGGCAACAAATACATATCCTGCACAATACAGATTTATAGCTTTTCTCAGCTAAACCATTCAGATTTTAGAAGACAGAGAATTAGAAAATATACACAAAATAATATTTCGATTGTGGATCTCATTAGAAATATCTCAAAATGATCATAGTAGCTGAGAGAATGCATACAATCTAAAATAATCTGCCTTTTTTTTCCTCATTTATTTATGACTGTTCTTGAAATCTCGATTTAACTTACAGTGCGAGACAGTTTTTACTATTATTAAGGAACAAGTCAAAAATGCAGACATTTCTAAATGTGTACTTCACTTCTTCTAGTCCAGCTTGTCAAATCTTTTTAGTTGATTCTAAAATGTTTGTGTCCATGATCGCAGCTTTGACCGAAAAATGCTACTTATTTTGTCATTCTGCTTACAGAAATAGAACAAGTTTGATTGTGTTTCTGTTGGTCCTTGTATAATGGCAATATCAAGCTATCAAGTGAAAGTTCCGTTTTTTACACGATACAAAACCAGCTCAGTTATTTTTTCTGTGTCTGAAATAACTGCCTGCAGCCCTAAACAAGATGGATGCATGATAGATTTTCACGCAGGAGAAAACATGCGTTCCAACTGTTTTTGATGGGATAAAACTTGCTGTGAGAATTGTTTTTAGTTTTTTCTCAGAGTCTACACAGACTTTCTCTCCTGTCGACCTCTCGCACAACAGAGTCACAGGAAAGAAGAAAGACCACTAAAACTGTTTCAGTGGAAATCCACTCATCTATGGACACATCTGAACTGTTCCCCCTGTGCCTATTTTATATATAAATAATAAGATGATTATCATGAACTGGAAGGAAACGCCCAGTTAAACAGGTGTAACTGCAGACCACTGTGCTTCTCTTCAGCAGAACATCTTTCAGAAACACCAGGGATGTTTCCAGATGTCAGCCTCACACATTTCCCAGTGCAGAAAGACTGAACCTCTGCACAGATTCACACATTCCTCCTCGTGTTGCTCCACTGCAGCGGCTGTGGGTGAAGTGCCTTGCTCGAGGGCACTTTTAGAGGCTAGCAGAGTGCTGAAGGCCAACGGAGATCAAGAGACTTATTGGCAGCGAGTTGTATGTTGTTTGTACGGTACTGTCCTTGTATAAATGCACTGTTCCCAGAATGCACTGTGTCCCCCTGAGCCAGGCAGGCGGAGGAAGCTGGTCCTAAATGTTCATATTAGGCCAGAGTTTGTTATCTTATCAGAAAACTGTTAACGCTTTGTGAGGATTTAAAGCAGGGTTCAGGACTTTAACTGCAGTCAGATATTAGTGTTTTGTCTTTTAATTTTGTAATACATCTATTTATTATTTGGTTTAAAAAAATGACTCTCACACAGGAACTCAAACAAATTGGTTATCAGAAGAATTGCTGAATAGTTTTAACTCAATAATACATCAGTAAGAATAATCCAATAATTATTCAACATAAACCACCAGGAGTACTTTTAATTTGGAAACTTCAGGAATATTTTGCGGTCTGTTCAAAACTAATGCAGGAAACACACAATTACTGATTACTTGCAAACTACTTACTACTATACTACTTACTAGTACAAAAATCATTTTGACCAGATTAAATTGGAGTAATCTGATCCTATCCTGAAAAACATATTTAAGCATCAGATTTAAACCTGACATTTCTCTTGTAACTAAATAGAAAGCTAGAGGACATAAATGGACCTGCTTCCCCTTTAGCCCGGCTGTGATTGGTCGATTCACTTGGTCTGGCCTTGCCTTGTGCACAAACATATTTCTGTTGTTTGGTGTGTTTTTGTTTTTGTCTGAATGTGGTTTCCTCTGAACCAGTGAAACAGGAAGTCTTTCCCTGTTGATTGTTTTTGGTTTTTTTGGTTCAACAAAACACACAACCCCATAAACCTGAGGTTGAGTTACATTTGTTCAGTCTCACATGCCCTCCTTTCTGACAATAGATATTAAACCTGTTATTATTCATCATTTGATACACATGAAGGTTCAATATGAGTGTCTGTTTCTGCAAAGTGTGGATAACATGGAATTCAAACATGATCATTTAGAGGTTTTGGAAGAGTTTAGTTAAAATCTCCATATTTTTTCTGGTGGTGTTTAAGATGACAAGTAACGCAAAAGTGAAATATTGACCTGAAATTATAATTTTCAACCACAACTGGGACACTGTAGATATATTTAGTAAACTGCCATAATCAGAAGAAGCTTTGAACGTGTTGGTGTGTGTTTACATCTTGGCAGCCGGACATTTCCTCTGCATATGGAGAAGCGATCGAGGAAATAAGATAGAAACATCAAATTAAAACCAAACTTCCTGACAGTGATATAAATAACGTGAGGCCTCCAAAAGACCCACCCCCCCCCCCACATCGAGGTTCATCAGTGTGTGTTGTTGACCGACCTGAACAGAGAGTGTTGTTTTTATGGAAGATTTGATTTAATCTGTGGTAACTTTCAGCGTTTACTTAGCTGAGTAAAAGCCGCCTGATGGTTTTATTTGTTATAGAAAGCGCTGGCATCTGATAAAATAAAAATAAAACCGATTACAGCACCTGAAAACTATTTGGTTATAATTTCTAAATAAGTGGGAAAGATTCTGTGTTTACAGTCCTCAGAAAACCCCAGATTTAATACATTTTTATTACAAATTCATAATGAACCCCAACATTTTGTGGCATCTTTTATGCCCAAATGTCGTCTTTTTAAAACCCAAGGGCCCGGCTCTGCTCTGAACAACATGAACATATGTTTGTCTTCTTTCTTCCTCAAAGACTGGATCTCAGAGAGTTTTTATACAGAAAATATTTCTCACGTTGACCAAATATACAGAGGGGTTGATCTGGGTAGCTCCAGCTGCTCCTCGCTTCCCTTTAGTGCCTTGATTGTTCAGAAAAATGTTATGCTATGTGTTAAAATTCATTTGTTTTTAATTACCTTTCATCCTGTCCTATCGTGTTGCCTTTTGCACTTTGTAGCTGCGTTAATGTGGAAGAAATGACTGAAGCATTTTCCCACACTGTCGCTCATTTGTCACTGCCTTTTTTCAAATGTAAGTGAGTCACTGTCATTCAAAGCTTTGTCTCAATGTTAAATAAATTCAAGAAGATTTAAAACTTTTGCTGTTTGTATTTGAATTTATTGACTGTTTTCATGAGAAAAATGGGTGAAAGTCACTGAGTTTTGGCCGCTGTATAACTCAGTTGGCAGAGCTGCAGGCCCATATGGTTCGGTCCACTGTTTACTTTTCATATTATTAATACAACAAATAAATCCAAAAATGAATCTAACGGTGCTTTGGCTCCCACCACCAACGGTCTCCGGTATAAACAATTACACCAGGTGCCCAAAGATGCCTTCAAAATAATACATAAAGAACAAGTTTAACTAACTTAAATAATAATACACTTGGACAGAAAGAAAATACATGTTTTACTATTAAATAATATAAAGCAGTATATCGCTCCAACAGCTAACATGTTTGTACTTAAGGTCTAAATGCAAGACTTGTACTAGTTTGTCTGCTATGGTGTCACTTTTTTTAACTGAATACCTCTGAACCGCGTGACCATGTGCAGCTGCATCAACCAGGAAACAGCTAAATAATTTAAGACATGAAGTGAAACAGTTCAACAACGTTTTAGAAGTTACTTCAAAGTGTTCATGTTTTTGTCTTACCCTCAAGACAACAAACTCACGCTTTTTATCTGCAGTCCATGGGTGCCCTCCTTTAATGTGTGACAGACATGTGTTGTGGCTGATTATTTTTGAGGGTTTTTAACGTTGCTTCTCCAGTGTTTACCTTACTGCTGCTGCAGAGCTGCACCTCATCCACAGATGGTAGTGATGTGGTGAAGAAGTGAAGTGGTGGTGTGTCACAGGACGGACAGTTTTCCACTTCGCTCTGCCAGCGCTGCAGCACAGGAGACAGACTCCAGCCGCTGCCCTGAACATAAAGACATTTATCTTGGAGCCTTCCTTCATTTCTTACGTCATATTCTCATTATCTCTCTGTGTAAACTTATCTGTGCAATGCTGACTCTTAATGCTGTTGCCTGTTGCTATGAGACGCCCCTAAAGGAATTATTAATGGTGTATCTTATCTTCTTCTTCTGCTACTCCCCCTCCTCCTTTTTCTTTTTGTTCTTTTCTTTTTCTTTGTTGTTTTTTCTACAATCTTTTAGTTAGTCTGTTAGAATTATATCTTTGTTCAGCACTTGCATACAGTAGATAAGATAAAATGTCACATTTTCTTTTTTTCCACAGAAAGGTTATTACTTTTTTAAAGTCGGTTCAAGGTCTAACTGCTGTTTAAAACTTCAAGCAAGTAACACTAGCCTAAAACACTATATTGGGTTACTGAAATTCAGTCAGTCCTTGATAATACGTACCATGTTTGATTTAAAGTTCTAAGTAGATATGCAAACATGTTTAGGCTTCAGCATGAGGACAGTGCAAACTAGATAAAGAATAATTGTATTACACAAAGTATACTAAACAAGTAATATTTCTCTTATCTCAAGGGTCACATGATTTAAAGCAGACAGAAGGTTAAAGTATTTTTTGTTTAATTTGTTTAATTTATCCAATGTGTTTATGTGTCACAAACATGGTCACAAACTGCAAGTTGCTGCTGCCACCTGCTGGACTGATAGGCCTACAAGTAAATGTACAATCTCGTGCTCGCAGAAAATGGCAATAAAATGTTAGAGCAAGAGGCATCGATTCATATTGTTTATATATTATTAATTATTTATTGTGTATTATTATCTTTGAATTGATTGATTGATTAATATAGTCTGAGAATTGTGTAATGTGACAAAGTTGTCAGTATAGTATTTTAGTACTTCTTATCTTATCTTATCTATTTAAAAAAATATATAAATTGAATAATATTTGCTTAAACAGCAAGTCTTCGTGGTCCCATTATTTATTATTACACCTTTTTGTATTATATTATTCGCTAACCGCTCCCAGATCAGCGGAACCTTTTATCGGGGTAGGGTTCTGACACGGCCGTTAATATTGTGACACAACCTATTTACTCCATGCTTGTTATAGCCTAAAGTAGCGTGATTTAAATATCAGTTTATTTTTTTACCGGTTTTTCTTTAAAACATTATTTTAAAATGCTTTATTAATAACCTAGAGTGAATTGCGGTGTTTTCTCCCAAATGGCGACGGACGGGTCCTAGTAGACAACGAGTATGGTTCTTTTTTTCCTTTAGTTGTGGTGTGGACACTTCTAGCAAGAAGGTAGGTTTAAAATAGCACTTTAATACACATACATAACAACACATAACTTAGAAAGTCCAATAACTGATCCAAACGGTGATTGTGGTTTTAATCCCTCCACGTTTTAGGAACCCAACACCAAACTCCATTCAAAATATATATATATTTATCTTTATGGTTCTTTATTTAGTGGCAAATATCATTATTACATAAATACAATTCATGCCTTGCTATTTTTTATTTTAATGTGCCTTATTCGGCATAGGTAATATCCACCAAACGCCACATTAATTTCTATAAATTGCGGTGGGAGAGGTGTTAAATATGAACCTTTATTGTTATTTTTATTGTATGCCGAATTGCAAAACGGTGTCCTATGATTAATACAACAACACAAGTGATACTAATGTGCACGTAAACAAGACAAATAAGCGAGGACACATTCATTGATAAGAAACTTGAATTGAGTTTTGCTATAAAAGAGTCAGGACACCATACAATTCAATGAATAGAGGTTAAAGAGGTTAAAAGTATCAAAACATGATAAAAACACAAACCGGGGAAAGATTGAAGAGACAATCAAAATTGACACAAATGATGGGGGCAGGACATATTTAAATATTCTAAAATAAATAGGGTTTTCTTAACTGGACTTGAAAGTGAATCGCCATCAATCATACTTATTTTATCCAAAAGTATATTATTTAAACTGTCTGCTCTAAAGTTTGCCATTGCAAAGTGTCAAGAGCCGCACTGCATTTTGGGAAAGTTGAGTATGTCCAGTAAGATCACGTGTAGTCCTCAGAAAATTATTTTAAGGGAAACAAAAAATAAGCACTACAGTGAGTATAGGCTGATTTGAACAATGTGTTTCCTTCCTGTTCAGTGTGTTTGAATCTTGGCTGCCATGGAGGGTCTGGAGGAGAAGCTCAAAGGTTTGTCCCTCGCCCGGCGGTCTCTCCCGGAGGAGCCCACCTACCTGCTGGATTTGGCCCTGCAGCCGGCCGGCCTGCTGGCTGTTTCCTGCTCCAACTTTACCATCCACCTCCACAACAAGGACACTCTGAGCCTGGTGGGTCAGTATCAAGGCCACAGCGGCCCGCTTTGTGGGGTCGTTTTCTCCCACACCTCCCCAGACTCCCTGTACTCTGGTTCTGCTGATGGGACGGTCCGGGGGTGGGACGTCCGCAGCCCCGGGTCAGAAGCGGTTCAGGTGTTTAAAAGCGGCCCGTCACACAACTACTGTAGCTTCGACTTGAACTGCAGCGACACGCTCCTGTGTGCCGGCACCGAGCAGGTGAACAAAGAAGACAGCTTCCTGGTTTTTTGGGACGTCAGGAAACCAGGCGGCAAGCTCCTCGGGGTGTATTCTGAGTCGCACAGTGATGACATCACACAGGTGATTCTTGCCTATAACTCTAAACAACTATTTACCTCTGGCCAGCAGAGAACTCACCTCTCTATGGTGTTCTTGAGTTATGAAATTGGAATCTGTATGAATATAAAAACCCAATACATCTTCTGTAAGAAGCACTTACAAAGAGTTTGGCTTGAAGTGAAGCTAATGAAGTAGTACTTAATCTGGTTGGGTTTATAGATAGAAATGTAGGATTCTTGCTTTTGAGTTTCTTTCTTCATGGTTAAATGCACTTATTGACTTAAGTCGCTTTGGATAAAAGCGTCAGCTAAATGAAATGTAATGTAATATACCTTACCTTATCTTATCTTTAAGGTGTGCTTCCACCCTCGAGAGAAGGACTGGCTGGCGTCAGGTTCCACAGACGGCCTAGTGAATGTGTTCGACCTTAGCCGGGGGGGTGAGGACGAGGCGCTGCTGGCCACCTGTAACAGCGACTCGTCCGCGGGCTCGGTGTGTTGGTCCGGAGCCGAGTTCACCCAGCTGCTGTGCCTCAGCCACGACGAGGGACTTCACCTGTGGGATCTGGGGCAGCTAGACACCGACGAGCCCCTCACCATCTTCAGCACCTCCGACGCCCGCGGCCTGCCTCTGCTCGCAGACGGGGGGGGCGTGGATTACCTGGTGGGGTGCCGGTGGCTGCAGGAGGCCCAGAGGCTGCTGGTGGTTGGAGGGAAGAACAGCGGGGATCTCCACCTGATGGAGTGTGACCATGCAGGGCTTCGTCTGCTGAGGACCCTCGAGGGGGGTCACTCTTCTACGGTGCGCTGCTTTCTGTGGGACGCGGCGGGGGAGGCTTTGTTCACCGGGGGGGAGGATGCTCAGTTGCTGCTTTGGAAACCAGGAGGGAAGGAGCTCACGTCGGGGAAAAGTAAATCCAAGAAGAGCGAATCAGCTTTGAGACTCAAATCAAGGCCGCATAAAAAACATGGCTACCAGAGAGAAAAGAAGGGAGCGTAGCGAAAATACTGAATCTCACTGACTTTACTCCTCTGCCAGATTACAGACTGAATGTCAATGCAAAGGGAAAATATGGTCTCCCAATTTATGAATTAACCCAAGAGATTTTTTCGCAATTGCATACTGACATGACTGCATACTACATACTCAATTTGTATGTACTTCATTCTGGGCTCTATATTTATCTTTAAGTGCCATTAGATCAAGACTGTTCAAACTGAAGTAAAGTCAGGCAATATGCTTTCTCTGCACAACATGACTGTATAAAACATTTCAGATCAAAACTACCATTGAATTAACATTGTTAAACATCAATGTGAATCAACATTACCTCTCCCACTCTATTCAATATTTTCTAGTGTTATATCAAGGAAAATTGAAATATTTACAGATTCTTAAATATGTTTATACAGTACATCATATATAATGATATGATCTTATTTGTACTGAAATGTCACTTGCCATAATTATTTTATCTAAACGTTAGGTATTCAAACTTCTTCTCTAAAGTTTGCAATCGAACAGTCTTTAGAGCCGCAGTGCATTTAGGGAATTTGAGTATGTCCAGTAAGCTCAGGTCTTATACTCATAAATTCTTGCAATCTACTTCACGGATAGGCTTTTATTACATGCACAAAATCCACTTACTTTGCAGTCTGAAAACACTCCACATCATTTTGACATCACACCATCTTAGTATGAATAGTATGTTAGTATGCAGTTTTGTGATGTCCAAAGTCAATAGCACATACCAATCCTAAACAGGTTTGGAGTATAAAGTATGTTCACGCTGGAAAAACCAAACTAAGACTAAAAGATTTAATTAAAACGAATATTTTCCTTCCATGGAGCATACAAAGGTAACAGAATAACAACTCAGAGCCAAACCACAAAGCTCTTGGAAAATGAAAAAAACAAAATTAAAAACAACTTTATATTGGTTAACTTGCCAAATCATTTATACACATCTTGCATACTACGTGTAACAGCTCTTGAATACTATCTGAAAAAACAATATACTGTGAATCTTAATATATTGTACACAGCTGAGGTTTATCTAATATTTAAAGTTTTAAATAAAGATTTTTCAAACGTTTTATACTGTCCATTAAAGTGTAATTTTGTTGTTGTAATATTCCATTTTTAAAGCCCCTGCAGAACGAACTGTTGTTCCTGCATCACATCCTGAAAGTCACCGGAGCCGCTCAGCAGGATCGCGCTGAGGGAGCAGCTTCACTCTCAAATAGCAACGAGTGGAATAACATGATTGGCAGTGTGTGTGTGTGTGTGTGTGTCTGTGTGTCTGTGTGCGACTCCACAGAAATCCTGCAGTGATTGAGGCTTGGGAAGCAACATCTTTACTCGCATTAAGCACAAGAGTTTTTGGGAAATGTATGAAAAATGTGTTTATCACATTTAACACCCAGTTGTAATAAAACAAAACCCATGAGAGTCATGACTCAAAATAACTTTTGAGGAAAATCCTATTAGACGACAAATCCATTATTTTTCCACTCATACTATCTCAAATAAATGTGCAATTATTTGAGAAGTAATAAACTGGGTTAGTCTTTTCAAGTATCATTAAGGCAGTTTGCTCTTTTTTATGATACCGTTACAGTAACATTTCTGGAAACCAATCTTCAGTTGTACAAATAGCTGCAGCTGTAAAAATGTATTATACTGGAACTATACCTGCTTTTATGGCTGACACTGTAAGTAAACTGGTATAATATATCACAAATATATATCTTATTTGGAGAAAAAAATTGCAGTCTCAACTGCAAGTTAAAAAAACGGTCTTATTCTTGACTTAATAAAGGAAGGCATAAAGGAAACACTCTTGATTTTAGACCAGAATTACCATATTACCGAAGGAAACTGGACTTTATAGAGATATTGCCATGAAATGGGCCTATAAGCATACAGGATTCACAAGCCAATTGACAAGTGAATGTGGTTGATGCAACCTTTGTGAAGTGAGGCAATGTGAACTTTACAGATTTGTTTTAAATGTTCTTCTCACAAATTTGTGAATATCTTTTTTTGTGTGCAAATGTAAGGAAGGACTATAATCCTTTACATTTTTGTTTACGTTTTTTCTCTGAATATTAATTTACAGACCTCCCCTGGCTCAGTATCTTTTTTTTAAACCTACATTGACTCTAATTGCTGTTAATAAGTATAAAGTAGAAGTTCAAATATAAATAGGCCTACTGTAGTAAAGTACAAGTAAGTAAGGGAACACCTTGCCCACCCTTTACCCCCCCTTTTCGAGTTCGCCCACGGACATGCCCTAGCATTGGCTATATTCATAGACAGTATATGTTTAAGTTATGTAACACTTTTCCTGCTAACATATCCCTCTCTAATCTAGGGGCTTGCACAGAAATCCACTCATCCTTAACACAGCGCTGCAACGTGCTGGACATATAATAAACATCAATAAAGCCTGGACGTCAAAGTGCGGGTAAAAAAGTGTAGAAGCAAAGGGCTGGGCCTCGGACAGGTTTAGCCTCATTCCTACACGCTGTGTGTTGGAGACTCCGCACAAACACACTTTGCGTTCAGCCCCGATATCTCTTTCCTTGTCCCTTCTCCTCTACCTAACCATCAGATGCAGACGCTTGCACTTTGATCGACATTGCCTCTCGTCCAATTACAGCGCTTGACATTGCTCCGGGCAGCCAATCGGCGTCGTACGTCGACGTATAACCCGTCAAGCACGCTACTGTGCGGCTCTGTTATGTGTACCATGGTCTAACCCAGCCAGTGTTGACAATAGGGTGAAAAAGAAACAGCCCCGAATCATAAACGAGCTAAAGGATAAAACACCACAAATCCAGGGGTTTGGGGAAGACAAGCAATTGAATCAGTAACAGGAATGTAATTGCGTAATCGTTTTTTATACAGCCGTGTTTTGTTATTAATGGGAGTTTGAGGATTATTCCGTTGGAAGGAAAAAGGGTACTCGTGGGTTTGGCTGTTTTCAGGCCAGATTTTCCTGCTGTTTTGCCCGCTGCTGCTGCTTGGGGGGAAAGGCTGTTTTTGCACCGTGCTGGAGGTAGCCTGTTAGCCCCGATATATTTCCAAACATAGGATAAACTCCTCCGCCGCCGTCTCCGTTGCAAAACCCACAAGAGGATCAAGGTAAAGTACTACGATTGGAGAGCTAACAGCCAGTCGGTCGGCTGCAGCTTGTCGGGACTCGGGACGGTGTGTGTTTCCCCGGTCTGTCACTTAGCATTAGCACTGCTCCCCCTCCCCCTGTATTTACATCTGGGATGATGGGTGATCGCCCAAGTCCGCCCAGGTAATGTTATTTTATTAGCATTCATGTACATATTTAGATTTGATCTAAATGTTGTGTTTTTGTAAGATGCACTGGAAGCTAGTTGGTGGCTAACAAGCTAAAGGCTACAACTTGAGCTAACCCGCGATAGCCGTAGAGCTAACGTTAGCTAGCTATCTTAACATTCCTTTTTTCTTTTATAAAACTGGAGAGCTTTGATACTACGATGAATCATGTCAATGTCAGTCATATTTAATTGATTTGTGTGCTCTGAGGAGACAACTAGCTAACGTTAGAAGCGTTACATTGAGACGCTTTGTAACGGTTAATCGGGAAGCTATCGTTGCTAGCTAGCTAGCTGGCTAACGTTGGTGAGGTTATCGCGCTGTCAAGTTTTGAATAATATGCTGCTTTGCTGCTGCCAGGCCCAACATGGCCAAGCTAACGACACCCCTTCTAAAAAAATTACTTTTTAACATACATGTGTAGCTGATAAAGGTGGTCGAGAAAGTATTTAGATCTGTTACATAAGTTAACGTACACATACCACAATGTAACAATAATCTGTTACCAGTAGAAGTCATTCATTGGAAATGTTAATTCATTTAACCAGAGGTGGATGAAGTACTCAGAACTTGTACTTGAGTAAAAATACAAGTACCACAGTGTAGGAGTACTGTTACAAGTAAAAGTCCTGCATTGGAAACTATACTTTGTTTAACCAGAGGAGGTTCAAGTACTCAGAACTTATACCTAAGTAAAAGTAAAACAACTACAATGTAGAAATATTTTGTTACAAGTAAAAGTCATTCATTGGAAACCTTACTTCATTTAGCCAGAGGTGGAAGAAGTACTCAACTTGTGTACTTAAGTAAAAATAGAAGTACCAGAGTATAGGAATACTCTTGTACAAGTAAAAGTCCTGCATTCAGAATGTTAGTCAAGTACAAAAGTATTAGCATCAAAATATACTTAAAGTACTCATTATGCAGATCGGCCCATTTCAGAATAATATATATTATATGTTTTGATTATAATTATTGATGCATTAATAAGTCAATCAAAGCTAGTAAAGGTGTAGCTAGTTTTAGCTTACTCCAGGTGTAACTGAAGTCTTATTTAATTGCTGATTATATTTCACATCCTTAATCCAAGTCTGCAAAGTAACTAAAAGTACTACACAAATGTAGTGAAGTAAAATAACATGATTTCCCTCTGAATTGTAGTGGGGTAGAAGTACAGAGTAGCAAAGAATTTAAATGCCTCAAAATTGTACTTAAGTACAGTACTTTACATGCCTGCATTTAACGTATGTTAGTATCAGGAAAACTTTACTTTGAGTAAAAGGTCCCGGCTATCTCTATGCTTATTTATATTATATTATTAAACTGATAATAGATGTTATATTATTTGATTATTATTATCTCCCATGCAATAATGTAAAGCAGGGATTTTACTATTATCGTTAATTGAGGGGGAGTTTATTTTGTATTATCTAATTGTTATTTTCATTATGCTTTATCCACTGATTATTCTCTCCTTTTTTTTAATTGATCAATTGTGTGGTTTATAAAAACTAAACTTACTTAAAATAGTAAGGTTTGTTTTGTCTAAAAAAAACAGTACAAACCCTGAATTAAAAAAAAATACATTATACATTTAAACACATTCAAAAGAAATTCAAATCAACCAAGATTTAATATAAGAGCAGATCATTTAAACAATTTTCTAAAAAGTTGCTCTTATACTGAAACCATTCATATGTGTTCTGTGCAAAAACTAGAGCTGTATATGTAGTAAAGTACAATATTTCCTTTTTGAGTTGCAGTGAAAGGAAAGACTCGAGTAAAGTAGTAACCTATACCTTAAAATAGCACTTATGTACATTACTTGGATAAACGTACTTGGTTACATTCCACCTCTGAGCCAGATAGCTGACTTTGATGCCCCATAACGGTAAATAAGTAACATCAAATCAAGTGTAAATGGATATTATCCTGATTATGTTATTTGCCATAGGTAGTAGGTTAGAGGCTGATCCTTCTGAGGTTAGGAAGCAGTGGGAAGGTTTGCCTGATGTTCAAATCCTGATGTTAAATGAACTCATGGGTTGAAGGAAAAGCCCCGTCAATCTGGCCTGAGACAAGTTTAGATTTCATGTCAAGTGAAGCCAAATGTGTGGCGATAATCCGAGATGAACTTTGACTGGCTTTGCACTAAGATAGTGTGTCTTACAAACTCTGAATATGCCACTGGTCTGTCATGTTTTATTTCTACAGGCTACCATTGTTTCAATGTTTATTGTGTGTACAAGCAGTCAGAGAGATCAACACCACTACTGACACCGTAGTGACATGGATGATGAGAGGTAGAAACATGCATGGTGACGAGTGAGAGCTCCAGAAAGAAAAAGACGAGGGGTTAGAATCAGTGGTAGATACTCAGGTGTTTTACTCTAATATTCCTACAGTATAGAAACACCAGATGAGAAGTAAAAGTCCTGCATTCAAACTATATATTTAAAGTACCAAAAGTAAAAGCAGAATGGCCTATCACACAATAATTAGATTGTATTTGTTGATGCATTTATGATTCAATCACATTAATGCTTTTGCTAGTAAAGGTAGGGATAATTTAACAAATGTATATTCTGCTCTGCTAGCTTGTGGATTGTTATCCAATTGTAACCTATGATAATACCACGTACTGTATTGGTTGATTTGTATATTGGATCTAAAATGACAAAGGTAGTGGTGTAAACATTTATTCGTTTTTCCTCTGAAACTACTATAAAGTAGGAGGAAATAGAAATATTAAAGGAAGCTGAAATATCTCAAAATCAAAGTATACTTAATTGTTACTTTTGCTTTTATTTCCACTTGGCCTTTGTCCTGTTGGTTTTCAATCAACGACAGCAGCATGCCAAAGGCCAGGTGTGGCATTATATGTGATGGTATTTGCAATGCCAGTGTGTGTTTTTTATGTGTAGGCGTAACCTTACTTTGGATACTGTCACGCTGTTTCATCTTCAAGGTTTTTATATGTCACATTGTGTTGAGGGGCAGGTCCAGCCGCTGCTCAGATAGCTTAACATCCAAAGTCTCCTGTGTTTATGATGACGCTGGTGTGTAGTTACTGCCTCCTTCTTATCAGTTCTGTATGGCTTCGTATATGTGTACGTCTGAAAGTTGCTGAGTTCATTTGTTCTTGACTGTGTGAACAGTGTAATTATCCGCTAAACGAATCATACCAATCAGATGTGCCGTCACATTGCAGCATTCAGTCAGAATGGCTACAGAACGCACTACGAAGAAGTGAGTAGTAGAACGATTTGAAATGGTATATCTGTGATAAATACTGATATTATTAGGGCTAGAATCACTTATCTACTTAACCGACAACTCTAGGAAATTGTGATGTGAAATAATAATGTGATACGCATGAAACTTGCTTCTTGCTCTTTTAGTCAGATATGGCTGCTTGTTGGTGTTGAGTTTTTGGCTTAAACTTAATACATTGATCTAAGGACATTTTCTGTAGTTGTCATGACTAAAGCTTCCCTTTTTGAAATTTCAGAAATGCTCAGTTACCTGCGCAAAAAATGTAGGGTGACTAGTCACAGAGGAATAAGTCTTTTCCTGTAAGTTAGTTATATAAAACGTTATCACCTTTGTATGGGCAATGGCGTCCGCGCGCATATTGCAACAATAAACGAGTAGGACACAGCTCTTTTAACTCGATTTGAGAGTTTGTTCTTATTTATATGAATATATTTGAAGTTTCTGCTATTTTTCCTGACATTTTCTCCTTTTTATTTAATAAGGAATACAATTGGGATAGTAAACAGCTTTCTCTGGGAATGGGTGATTGTTAGATGCCGGAACAAATTTCACAGTGTCTCAGTAGATGTGGTTATGGGAATCATTATATGACACTATGAAATATCATGAATGTTGTGCCATAGCTTAAATATTGTCATTTGACTATTTCTTGAACTGATTTCACTGTTTTAGTTGAGTAAATCAGGAGTGAATGCCATAATTAGATAGTTTTTCATTACATTTTAGAGTTTAGAGGTATTGCAAGAACAATTAATTCATACCCAGACTAGTGTGTTTGCTTTCTGCACCTCCTGGGCTGTTTTGAATGTTAACCACAGACGAGAGATCCTTGAGGCTTCCTCGTGCCAGCCTGCTTTAGATCTCCCATGTGTGTGTTCCTGTTTGTTCCCTCACTTCAGCTCTGCCTTGCCGTTGCCTATTTGTTGACTTCCTGTCGAACAGCAGCTACCTCCCTCCTCTTCCTCCCTTTCTGTTTCTCCCTGTTGTTGGCTCTGCCCCCTCCTCTCTCCTTCCTCCTTGTTCTTTAATCCCACCCTCCCTGAGCCTGTTTGGATGTCATCTGGGCTCTTATGTAAGAGGCATGGGAGGGGAACGGCTTTGTGCTCGGTTGCCATACGCTTGACCAGCCGCTGTGCTCTCGCTGTCTCTCGTGTGTTGGAGTGTTTATCGCTATTAGCTGTCTAATCAGACAGAGAGGTAGACATTAAGTGACTGATGGTTGTACACGGGGATTCCAGTGCCCCTTTGCACAGGTAAGCTCGAGTCTGTACATTGTTAAAGATATTTCAGAGGCTGTGGTGGCATTCACCAGGTGGCGAAAGCATGAAAGCATTGACAGCTCTTGAAGTGTTTCATCGTTGCCATTGGTGATGTAGCTAGGAGTTGCTGACTGATTGGGATGTACAACTTCACCGTTGCATCCCAAATTGCGGCTGAGTGTGTTTGATCAGAGCTGAATGAAGCTGACTGGCTGTATTAAATCATCCTTGGAAGAGATTTGAAGTTGTATTTGGGTGCAGTGCATACGTGTGAGGGTAGTATTTCTATTTAAAAAAAACACCCGGCTTGCTTTAAAATTCATTGTATTTGCAGCCCTTAATCACATATGGCTCTACAATCTTTACATCATATGCACGTTTTTCTACTTAATTACGATTTAAAATATGCTACTTGTTTAAAAAAAAAAAAAAAAAAGTATACTCTTTTCCCTTGTATCGGCAGTGTACCATTTGCTGCTGTAACGCTGTAGATTCTCCTGCTGTGGGACGAATAAAGGATTTCTGATTCTTATTCTAAAACTAGAGCTGGAACCAACAATAACTTTCAACATTAATTTAATCGGCTGATCATTTTGTTGGATAAATTAATTGCTTTGTCTAGAAAATGTCACAACACAGAGAAAATGGTATCCCCGAATGTGTTTAAATGTATTTGTATGTCTCACCAAAAGTCAAAAATACAAAGTTATTTACTTAACAATGTTATCAAATAAATAACATGCACATCTTCGAGTTGGAGGAGCTGCAACCAACCACAGCCCGTATGCTGTTATTGCTCAGAGAATTACTAAAACAAATCTTGAAATTGGTACATTTTCTGGCCAACAACTAATTAATTATCAAGCAAATTGTTTCCGCTCTGTCACAACCTCTATTCTCACACCGTCAGTTTGAATTAGGAAAGCTCCATCAGAAAACTCCCCTTTAGCCCTTGAGAGAAACTGTCTTGGGATAGTTGCTGCTATACACCACCATCATCAAATCGACCCCTGATATAGTGGATTTTACTCTTTCTAGCAATATAAACCGGTGTCAAAGTTTGTGTACATTAGAGCCACCCCCTCGAAGCCTTTATCTTCAGATAATCTCAGACTGAAGGTGATTTTCTGAAGGCTGTGCTTTGTAAGGTCTTTGCGAGGCTGAACAGGTGTCGAGGTGTCGGTTTGCAGTTTGTTGTTGGGTTTTCACTCAGGCAGGAGATGCTGTTGGAACACAATTTGTATGACATTTGAATGAAGCCCTGTGCCAAACTTTGAAAGGCAAATTGTTATTATTGTTATTCATGACCACACAGCAGGATCCACAGATGAATGCTGTGCTACCAGCCAGTGATGGGACAGATCAGTGTTCAGCTGGAGGTGTTCTCCCACCCTGGTGATGCCCAACAGAAGGCATTCACTCAGTCGGAGCATTAACAGCTGTGTGGTTATTAAGGAAAAGACAATGAGCTGTGTTGACACATGACAAATTGGTTTTGTCATATGCAAGTATGTGTCCGTAGGGGTGTGGTAGAAAAGAGTTTCGCTGAGCTCTAGTGAAACGAAATGTATGTAATTATGACCGGTTACATTTTTAAGACTGGTTCAAGATTTAACCAAAGATTTCTTTATTGATCATTCAAATATCAGATCAAATGGTGAAGAATACTTTACAAAAGTTCCTGGAGCCAAATGGTGACAGGTTTTAAGTTGTTGTCTTGTAAAAATATGCAAAGATATTTAATATAAAATGATAAAAATCTATTGCTAACCTTTTATAAAGAGCTAACAATTGGCATGTATTGCTTGATATATGATTTGAGTGACTAATTGATTACCAAAATGGTCTGCTAATTCATTATTGTAGTGATTTATTGCCTTACTTCACCCTAAAAAAAAAAACGTTCCTAATTACATTTAGTTTAATTTATATTTAAGAGTAATATTAGACTCCAGATCATACAGTTCATGTTTTTGTCAGGCTATGGTTTATCCATCATCTAACTACATTAGTTGTGTCACAGCAATTAAGTTAATCAGCATCACATAGCAATGTCTGGGGAAAAAGACAACTTTGTTATAAGTTAGGAAAGTAGGGCACATTGTACAAATTGCGTAATTGGGGAAACCCTGAGTAGGGCCTAGATATGGGTCTGCTAAAGAATAAAAGGTCAGTTGTTTTGAGGGCTGTCCCAAATAGTTTGAAGCTTCATTCATAGGGTTGACATTTAAATTCGTACAACATTTGGATGCTGCCCCTCTCTCTTTTTCCTTTTTGCACGTCTAGTAACTTTGTTTTAACTCGGCTTATCTGCAGAGTACTATTTCAGTTTAGACTTCTCTAATATTACACGAAAACATATTTATTTAAACTTCTTATGAATTGGTCTCTAACCACATGCAGATGCGATGCTACTCAACAATCATTTATCACTTTGAAAACTGCAGTAAACATGATGACAGACGATCAGCTTTGCAGCCTCATGTAACTTGCAAAAGGCTTCCACTGTCTGCTAGTCAGGCAGCAGGATCTGGATCTTGTGTGTGTGTGTGTGTGTGTGTGTGTGCTAAAGTCTGAGTGTGTCCGTGTGCCTATCCTTCTCTGTTATATACGGGGCCTGCAGGACATACTGTACGACTGCCTGTGTGACTTTGACAGAGCATTAGAGATGCAGCCAGCGCAGAGTACGGCCTGCAGCGTCTCATTCACGTCTTATTACATAACTGCTTCTGCTCGAGTTGTAATTAATTTCTCCCTAAAGCCTTCATGTCATCCAGCTGAGTTTGTGTGGCCTGCATCAGGACATCAGTGTCTTCACTGTTGCGTAGGTCCTAGCTCATGTGGAAGTCAGAGTAAAGGACACAGAGTAAGACAAAATTGGTTGATTAAAAATGTAAATAAGTTTCTCTCCTACATTGCTAGCTTGGAAGGAATCCAGTCAATAATGTATCTGAATTGCTTGCAACATGTTATTGTGTGACTTTATCATATCCAATGTAAGTCTGATATCGGGTTGCATATTGACATGCTAGCCCTACTGTGTTTAAAACAATGTAATTTAAACCTCCAGCACACAGTCTGGCTTACTGCTGCTCTAATGGGTGTTTGTGATGTATCAGGTAGATGAACACGCGTTAGAGCAGCCACCGATATGTACATGGATACTACGTTGACGAATGATAATCCAATTAGAATACTCAAACTTTGAGCGTCACAGCCGTTGACTTTGGCTCTCATTATTACCAGACGGTTCCTCAGGAAAAATCTTTATTTAACTTACTAAGGTTTTTCTAATGGGTGTGGTTCAGGAAAGTATTTTAGCATTAGTTTGGAGTGAGAAGTGTGACTTCTGCTGATGGTTGTCTGTATGTTAGAAGTTTTTTTTTAGACTATATTGGCAGCAAACACCCAGCAGTGGACGTTTCCTCAGCTTCCTCCCTCTGTGGCGACGCCTCGCAGCCAAGGCTCCATTGTTGTGGGTAGACTGGTGTTTCTGGTGTGTGTGTGCGTTGGTCCGTTGGCATGTAAGAAGGAAAGGCAGTGTGTCTGTGCACCAGGCCTCTACTGAGGGGTTAAAAGTGGTCTGTTGTGTCTGCACTCGTTTGTTGTGATGCCAAAAAGGGAAGGTGGACTGACACAGAATAGAAAAAAGTCAGTGGGGAAGTTTTTACGAGCTCACTACCGTAAAAAAAGTTAATGTAGGAGAGCTGCATGATAATGTCAAAAAAAATTATATTTGGTGATTCACTGATCGTTTATGTAAACTTGGAACCTCAAAGTAAATCAGAAGTAACTATATAATACATAAGACAATGTGAAATATTTTAAAGTAACATTTGAACATTTTTTTCACGTGATTGTCTTAATAGTCTGTGGTCACAAATGACTTTAACTATGAGAAAAATAGCATGTCATAGACATTTCTTATGTTATTTTTAAATACAAATGTCTATGATGAAAAAGAACCCATGTGATACATAATTTTTTATCATAACGTGTTTTAACATTTTATCAAATCATTTCCCAATTTATTCATTTATAGATCCAATTAGTCAGTGTGTTTAATATTTAACACATTGGGGCTCCATACACTCAGAGGCTCTTTAAAAAATATTCAATCTCAACAGAAGGCAACTTAACAACACTTTCATAATAGATTGCCTTTTAATGTGAAACTCTTACAACTTATTTTTCACAGGAACACGGACTAATTTATTGGTATTTAATATGCTATAATTGCTATTAAGAAATCCCCTGTTGTGTTTCTATTCTGCTAAACTTTCAATTCTGTGTTAATCACCCTGCCCTCAGTTCGCTGAGCGCTCTCAACTCATTTTTGATATGATTGTATTAACCACCCCCCCCTCCCCCTTTTATGTTTCCCCCAGCAGGGCTATGTCCTCGGCAGCCACCACATCTCCATCTGCCGACAAAGTGGACGGATTTTCACGGAAGTCTGTCAGGAAGGCCAAGCAGAAGCGGTCGCAGAGCTCGTCCCAGTTCCGCTCTCAGGGCAAACCCATAGAGCTCACGCCCTTGCCACTGCTCAAGGGTAAGAGGGGAGGATGGTGTGTGTGTCTGTGTGTCTGTGTGTGTCTGTGTGTGTGTGTCTGAACTGATGGTGTCCCAGCCAAACAATAACATTGAGTTAACGCTGAATATTATGAACTTGTCACGGATGATACAAAATAAGCTCGCGATTTAGTCCGATGTAGATCACTTTCCAGACAGTTTTAACTTGTGACTTCTCCATTTATAAAAAAAAAAAAAAAAAAAGTTAACATGAATGATAACCTGAACTAGTTGGACCATCATGTAGCCTAATCTCAAGGTTCAAGGTTCTTTATTAGTCATACAACCCTAGACTGACCGACAGCCGTGGTTTCATCGTTGGTGCAGACGGTGTTTTTAACAACTCTAATACAGTATCCCTGAAATTCAGATTGACCTTTTCTGGTGTCTATGAAGACTTATTGATGGTAAATCATTAAAGTCTTGTCTGCACAATGAAAGGGCCCACCTTATCTTAAAGTGAAGATGGGTCAATAGATACCATATTTTAATGTTTACCTTGTCGTGTTGAGACTCAGCTGTGAATCAGCATCACCCTCATCGGCCTTTCTTTGAACATGTACACTACAAGATCCTATCGTACATTCCTGAACCCAGAAGTTCTTGTGAAACTTGTGCTGTGGTGACCAGAGCTGCTAAACCTGCCTGTAATTGTCCTGCCATGCCGGTTTTAAGCATCTAGCTCGGTGTGTGTTGGTGTGCATGTTATCTACATGACTGGTAAATCATGATGGTGATCACACAGGGCGGGTCAGGGCTGATGTCTTTGTTTGTCACTGATGAAAAGACATCTTCAATCTTCGTGTACCATGAATGTTTATTTTTCCTGGAAAATCTTTATATCTTTCAATCATACACCAAACACACTATGAAAAATATCCAACCTTTTTGGCTTTTGCTCCTGTTTTTTAATTGAAGCAGTTATTTTCACTCCTTATCATATGTTTAATACAGTTCGTAAAAAAACAAAATAGTTCAAATTGATTTAAATATCTAATATATTTTCCATTCTGTTTTATATAAATTTTCTGAAAATTCTATTTAGATTCAAGCCGATGTTGTCATCAGAAATGCTGTCTAATCATGTGCTGGATAGGGACAATTCCAACAATTCAATACAAAATCTTAATGGTCCTTACACACCGAGCCGATTTTCGGCGTCGATAGATGTCGGGCCGTCGATGAGCGTCGTGTCGCCCCACTCGGATTGGTGTGTACTGCATCGTTGTGTCTTTTCGGCCGTGCCGACACCTTCCGCCGCCGATTCGACATGTTGAATCGGGAGGCTGTCGGCTAAAGGCCGTCGGCCAAAGAAATCACTCTGATTGGCTGTTCAGCTAGCGAATCAGTGCATGAGAAGCGAAACGGAAGTGAGGGACCCAAACAAACTATTAAGAAGGCAAATCTGAGATTTCATTTAACTCCAGCTCTCGACACAGGTTCGGGAAAGCCCCATGAGCTTCTCGTTGTAGAGTGAAAATGGAACGCACGCGCTATTTGTTGTTTGTTTATATCACGCAGTCTGTTCTTCTTCTCTCGGTGTATCACGCAGTCTGTCTTCCGGTTGTTGCCTCTTTTGAATGACGAATACACACTACCGCCGCCTGCTGGTAAGGAGAGTTATTGCCACTCGCGCATGCGCAGTTCGTACGTGCTACTTGGCCATTGGCTGAAGTCTTTGCGGTGTGTTCCAGTGCGACACATGGCCAAGACGCAGGAGACGTGAGACGACATTCCGTCGGGACGTGTTCTTTGGTGTTAGTTTGGTGTGTAATGAGCTTAAGAGACGGAATGAATATCAATCAATCTGGTGTAACTCAACATTGGAAATGTTCTTTATCAAAATTGTGCTTCAATACAGTTTATATAACTAAACATTGGATGCTTTCCTAAAATAAAGTGCTCTAAATCTAGCTGGTAGTGTCAAGTGAGTGACATGATGCTATATTGTCTTTGAGGAATGCTAGTGTATTACTACACGGAGGAGTGTATTGATGTGTACACATCACACTGCAGGCCAAAGTGAATTGGGCAATGTGTGGTATGCATTTGGGCGAAGCATTACACAATGAGACATCCCATTCACGTTTCACACAGCAGTGGTGTGGCTCCATGTTGACTGCAGGAATGCTGCCACACAGAAACCAGACACATCTGTCAGAGTTTAAATGGAAAACCACTTCCTGGTTCTTTCTCAGGTCGGGATTATAATGAGCACAGAAGGTTAACCCTGAGGCGTGAGCTCTCTGTGTTTGTGTGCATGTAGGGCTGTGACATAATCAATAATCTGAAACTCCTTTTCACATAACAAGAGACTGGGAGAAAACGAGTTAAGTGAGTTATAGTGTGTGTGTGTGTGTTCATGCTCCACTTATACTTACTTTCACTATGTCAACATGTACATGCTGTAGGTACACAGCAGAACACCTAACCTGACCCCCACCATCATGCAAAGACAGTGGAATACACACAAACAACAGCAGGCCTGTTTGAATTGCTTAAAGTGAGAATGTTCCCTTTTCTGAAACCCAGGATGAAATTCTGAACATTTGATTTAAACTGCATCCTTACATATTTAACAACATTCATACCAGTTTTTTTTTTACCTCGTTATACCTTTGACGAGCTTTGGAAAACAATTGTGATTTCCCTTGTGTGCGGTCACATTTTGTCGAAATGCAAAATTAAGATCCAATTTTAGTCTATGAACCATTTCTTAATTCTGACTCGTCTCGCCTGTTAAAATTGATAGTTCTATTTTAGCCAATTTCTGCATAAAATGTACTTTTTAAATACATTTTTTCCCTTTGTATTTTCACAAGCTGTGAACATTTTGTTGAGAATTTCGACTGGCAAAGAGTTGAAAACCTCCAATTGAATGGCAGCCTATATATCAAAATACGCACTTTGATGTAGTTGTGTATTTATACAGTGAGCATGCCAGCTATATTTGCCATATGTGTTAAACGGACAGAATGTTCTTTCACTTGTCTGAGTTTATTTTAGTTTGTGTTTTATAGTCGTACTGTGTTTATCTTCGCCCGAGCCGGCACATGGTTCGGTCCTTTTCAGCACCTCGTCGCTTCAGTTTCACGCGTTCACTTAACATTCACACAGCTCCGCACATTTCTCACCTCCTCAGTACAATCACAGTCTGCTGCTCCTGACCACAGAGCAGCTCCACTGGAACTTTTGCTTTCCAGGAGGACTTGTTACTGATAACTGGTTTCATTGCTTGGCATTTTTCCCTCTCTTTTTTTAAACCAGAATTTTGATTATGCTAATGTTCAGGTTCAGGTATTTAGTACCTCTACTGTGACATGTCTCCATGCTCTAATGTTCAAAAAGCTCTTTATTTTTCTCATACTGCCTGTGCTGCAGCACCTCTTTTCACCCTGTGTCTGAAAGCAGAGCCCAGTCTGCTCTGATTGGTTAGCTGGTCAACTGCTCAGAGATGTCCCGCACCTTAGCCTTGTTGGAGCACTAGCCAATAGAAGCGTGAGTGTTACGATGTGATGTCACTATGTTCTGGAAGTAAACAAAGGAGTCCAATGGAGGGCGAGAGAAACTCCCTCTGGAGGAAACTTGGGGATTTTAGCCTTTGCAGACCATACACAACAACCTATATAACACACTACAGGAAAGGGAAAAGCAATTGCCCAAAAAGCATAATAGGATCTCTTAGATGTGACATAGGTTGCAGTAAAGGAGTCATGCTGAACATGTAAAGATTAGTGTGTGATTATGAAGAGTTAGAAGCTGTCTGATTGATGCACATTTTGAGATTTAAACATTGAGTAAAGGCTCACAAAAGTTAAGAGGAACCATATTTTCAGTTGTAGGGTCATTCAGAGACGGTACAGAAAGAGTTAGACTTGTATTGCTCAGCTTGTAGTTTGTGAAATCACTGGAGCGTCTCGTACATTTCCCAGGATTTGGATCAGGATACCTTCCCTGTGGTCACAAGACAACCTTTGAGGCTTCCTTTCACTCCCATATATGTCCGAGTAAACCAAGTGGAAGAACAAGGATTATTTTGCCCCTCCCGCTTGTCTGTTGTGAACTTTAAGCCACAGACAAACAGTGGACTCACTGTGACGTATGCCAAAAGCCCCGTGTTGAACCAGTAAATAAATAACTAAAATAAAAGTAATAAATTGGTAAATTAAATTGCCCATTGTAGGAGCCAACCTCATATGACCATAAAAGAGATGTGGTCTTCAGGAATGCCGGTGGTTTTTTAATTATAGGGCTATTCTATCTCTAATCTCTTCACAATATTAAGCTGCCAGAAAGATGTGTATCATGGGCGATTTATTTTATCAACAGGCCCTGAGGTCTTCCTGATTCTCAACCTATTGGGGGGATTTTTTTATACCAGCGTTCAGTGAAAGAAGTAATGGATATAAGTATTTCTATTTTTATCAAGATTTTGCGGTTTTCAAGATTGTTTCTACATTTGATTCAGTTTTTATTTGTCACATCCAAGCTTAATTTAGATGTCATTTTACATTCATTGTTGTATCAAAGTTATTTTTGTCTGTAATTTCTCTACAGACGCTTCCATAGACCTTTTATTAAAGCTTGCCCTCCGATTCTCTGCAGTGTTTATATTGCTTTTTTTAGGACTGTTTGTGTTATTCGTAAGAGATGGAGATACAGAAGGTATTTTTTTATTTCTAGAACACTTTAATCGGCATGGTTTGCCGTGTTTTAGAACAGGGATTTCCTTGTTTCTATTATTCTTTTTTTATATCTGAAAAGGATATAATCACTCGGTGTAGCAGTGGGGTTGCAAGTGCCATTTCCTTTTTATATTTTCAGGCCATAACTCGACCCAAACAAACCTGTTCTCTTGCGTGTCCTTTATTTAACCTTTTCTTATTGGATCATTTTTCCTTTTTCGCTTTCTTAGACAAATCTGCTCGGCTGTGTTCCTTTGTCCATTACCAAGAGACATCTCTCTCCCGCCTTGAGGTA